TCCTAGAGGCTGATGCAGTCGTTCATGCGATAGGCCGCAGGCTGACCGAGTCCGCGGCAAGCTGCGCGAATCCGTCGCTAGGGGCTGTCAGCTAGATACCGAAGGAATCGCTGTGGGGGCTAAGTTGCTGCCTGTTGGGAACAATGATATGAGCGTCTATCTTTTTTGCCTTCGAAAAAAGAAATACGGTTGAATACTTGAAGTTGACATGTTCGGGGATTTGATTGCGACGCTAGCATAACCCCCTAAACTTCTAGCCGTCCCGCCCCCCCGGCCCCCCAATAATATCTTAGGTATATCATCAACGGTTGGCTCATGTGACAGACGACGCTGCATATGCAAGGCGGACGAGCTAATCATTCGACCTTGGGACGGCGCTTTGACTTACCGACATAAGATGGAGACTTCTTTTACAGAGCTGATACCAAACTTTTCCCGAGAGTCGTGTGTTTTAGTGGAGGACGACGAAACCGCTGGGAGCGTGTGCTAAAATAGACCAGCGAACCAGATCATCAAAGCCTCAAGAAACATGTTTTAGCGTGAACAACAATTCTTGACCCTGAAGCCAGAGTCGTGTTTCTTGGGATTGTTGCGGATGGCAATAGTAATGATCATGAGGCCAATTCCTGTTAACGTGTGTCGTGTGATAGCTACAGGAGACACTGGGTGACAAGCCATGATCTTAACAAGGCATGGCTCGGGCGTGCTCGGTCTTCGTGCAGCACAATCTAGTCTTGTATTGTGTACTCTTAAGTCGTTTCAGGCCGACTCCGTGCAGGGCTACGCTAATGTACACGTTAATGCATGTATACAGCCATGCCAATCGATTGCTTCCAACTTTATGCAGAGCTTCCGCAACGCTGCACTTATAGTACCACAGCAGCAATGGCCGCCAAGGCACCCGCTGCTCCCATACCCATCGCTGGTCCCATGTGCATAGCAGCACCACTCGCTTTCGTTGACGCGCTGGTGGTGCTACCGGTTTGCGTCTGTGTTCCACCATTCGAGGTTGTAGAGCCACCGTTCGATCCTCCCTTCGCTCCCCCAGTGGTCGATGCAGCGGTAGATGTGGGTGTTGATGCAGTATTAGTGACTGAGCCGGCCGTGATAATGACGGGCAGGTAGGAGACGTCGGTGCCAGATAGAGTGGTGGCTGTCAGGGTGGGTACTCCAGTCTCCTGGGTACGGATAGCACCGCTGGCTGCCGCGGTGCACACTGCTACCGAAGTGCCTGAAAGAACGCAGTTGACGGATATGACACTGCACGGAAGTCAGTCGCGACAATGGCCAGACACAGGGACAAAATCTTACGAATCATCGAGAGCGAGTGAATAGGCGACAGTCGATGGGCCCTCCACAAGGGTTAGAGGAGTTGGAAGCCCGCATGAATCACTCCCATCGTCGCCAAAGTCGGTAGTTGCCGCGGCGGGTGCGGTGGTGGCTGCTGCTGCGGTGGTAGCTGCCGCACCGTTGGATCCACCATTGGCGCACTGAACAACATAGGTGGTTGCTGTGGCATCCTGATTGATAGATTCATCGTCAGCTCCGCATATTTCAGGAAGTCAGGTTAGGATCTCTTACTCCCCCAACGATCGACCCAACAAGGCTTTGCGGATCCGCATTAGGGAGGAATAAAGAGACGGTCTGGTTCTGGGCGGCGCTGAGAGCGATCAAAGACAGTAGAAAGACGGTGAGGGAAATCATGTTCGGTGTGACTATGTAGATTATGCGTAGTATTTTTCTCCACAGTGCTGTATGAAACCTGCTTCAAACGCTGCAACGTAGGAGATGCTGTCAATGAGCGTCGGAGTGGTCGTATACAAGGAAGAAAGACAAAAGTTGCAATAGGAAAGAATGTTTTGTGGAGAAGAAAGAAGTACGAGATACTCCTTTATCCCCTTTAAACACAAGAAAGTATTTTAAGCATGCCAAGCCAATTTGAAGTTTGATACGAGACCCTTGGACGGCTGAGCACATCTAGCGCCGGACGAACCGAGCCCACTAACGATAATTCATAGTTGCTGTGTTAAAGTGTTCTACCGATTTGTATATCTTGGTTCGGACGATAAGTGTCGAGTCATCTGTAACCACTCGTCCAAAGTAGTAGGTAGGGTTGATACTTAGCGAAAGAGCTTCATGGCAGTCTTCAGACTTGGCGACACCGTTAGCCCAACGCTAGTGTTACAGAAATGAAATTCAGGAAGCTGAAACAGAAACACCCAAGATCTACGCATAACGGGCCCAAGCAATAAGTCCTGGCCATCACTTAGAATTTCCTAAACGCAGAAGAAAATGCCTATTTCAGTGAGTTGAGTTGCAGCTAGGGATGCGTAATGACTGACATTTGACCCCTATGACAGTCATCTGACGGTCATAGGCTGACATCCCTTTGATATGACATATGACACGCTAGACTAGTTAGGTTAGATCTTAGTCGACACGAAGTTTAGCCGAACGCCGAATACCCTCACATTTCCCCGCAAAGCACTCGATATTTATTTACCACTCTTATTTCTACACCATCACACAATCAATAGAGACTCTACTATCAAGCATAGCTAGGCGCACATTACCTCTATCAGATACGCTCGTCCATAGTGCTTTCACACCATTCATCGATCAGTAGAAGAATAGCGAGAAGGAGAGGGACGTCTTATTGGCTGACTATAAGGATATTACGATGGCTGGTACCGGTTAGAAAGAAGAAGAAGGAGGATTGGAAGGGTCATGAGGTTTATAGGGAATACATATCAAATAAGGGCCAAATTTGAGTGGGGGATCCTCGTAAGATAATGGCAAAGATCGAACGATAGCTATTTCAACGAATTGAAATCGTCCGTTATTTGCCTGAGGGTTTAATTGATCAATTAGAATATAGCAAATATAGTGGTAGATATTTATTAGTGCGGTCATTTGGCCACATATGACTGTCAAATGACAAGGGAGATCTGACCTGACGTTACGCATCCCTAGTTGCCAAATAAAAAGGGACTGGCATTGAGAGACCCGGGTACGTTGTGGGGTCATCTAGTCCATCAGCTCTCGTAGAATTCGAGAGCTGACGATGTGGTCCACGGTACTTTGGTGTCTAGGAAGGGGAAAACAGGACGTTGGCGATGAACATTGCTTGTTCGGCGTTGCCAAAGAAGCAAAGCTTCCCACCGCACTTCAACAGTCCTTCAGTCCTTCGTCCGCGTAGTATCTACTTACCAGTGTAGTTAGGAGTATCTAGTTCGTATTAGGTTCGATTCCTAATGGCGCTGGTACAATGGTGTTGCGGTGCTTTTTATTTTCTGACCAGCGGGCGTCCTCGACAGGTTCGCCGCTCCGCCGTACCTCTAACAATCTGCTACCTCCATCTTGCTACTGAATAATCGACGAATCCCTACTTGGTACGTTATGGGTGAACTACCTTTCTCGAGTGCAGACTTTACTACGCTAGAACAAACCAATCCTTCGATAATCTTTTCCATTCTCTCTTCTCCGACGTTCGACTTTGGAGTCAGTCAAGAAAGAAGAGAATGAGTTTGTCAAGACCTGTGGTTATGAATTGCGTGTCCATTGGCGCTGAAACAGCGACGGCATGCCCGATTTGGGCAGTCGCCTCAGCCTCAATGTGACATACGCGCAACAGACGCCCCACTCGAATGGGACTTCTCTGGCACCCAGCTTTTCTATCAGACTACTAGATAACAGAACAGATCTAATGCTATACGCATTGCGGAACGTGAAAAGAGCGAAGGCGAAACAAGCCCTCTGCCAGATCGCAATAAAACAGCACACCGCGATGTATAGCCAGGAACGACGGCCGCGTCGTTTCAAGTGGGAGGACTGTGCGCCTAACTATCAATGCGCTTCTGTATAAAGACCTACAACCCGTCGATGCCCTTTCATGAGATACATCTGATCCCATATTCTTGTTCTAGACTTTTACTACTAAGAATACGTATGTCGCAATCTCAGAACCGTCTCGTCGCTCGCTCATTCTCACAATGTTAAGTTCATTTCCTCATTTTGTTGTGCCAGCTTCTACATTCCTCGCTCTTGCGGCGGGGACACCTATCGAAGGTGTCTTAACCTTTTAGTCTATTGCAAAAAGGCAAGCTTCCAGCTGCACGCAACTGAATGGTAACTTCGACAGCACATGCTGGGACCAGCTGGACATTGCAAAATATCTCGGCGATCCAACAACAGGATGGAGAGCGACGACACCCAATTGCACCAACGGAGATTATGTAGGAGCAGTGACAAACTTTCAAACACCAGACACATACTGCTGCAGGCCAGATGAACCCTGGCAAGCCAGATGAACCCTGGTCAACGTGTTTTCTGCGCCGAGCAGCGGCAACAGTCAATCTGGAGGATTGGACAAGCATCAACACCACTGGAGGAATTGGCGCACCACTTGGTTCCTGTGATTGGACGCAGCCAATTCAGTTCTTACCGTTCCTGTCTCCAAGCATTGCACCCCAGGCCACATATGTTGTGAGGAACATACTGGCCGTCAATGCGTTCTTTACCAATTATTATACTGGTCAGTCATAGATCGTTCAAATATGCGTAATCAATAATTCGTTGCTTTTGATTAATCCTGATTTAGCCCTTCAATCAACATCGACACAAAGTTCGACACTCTCAACTATCGTGGCAACGAGTGGAGACGCAAAGATCAAGTTGAGGGCTCTCTTGACAGCCTTTACTGCCGGACTGCCATTCTGGGATGTAAGCAGTGTCCGATCTAGCCTTCATCGATTACCTTACTGACTTTCCTCTCAAGACTGCTGCTGCAGGAGCTTCTATGCAGCCATCAACAAATGTCTCAAATCTAGCGAACATAGCTATTCAAGCCTTCACAGAAAGTCTGCGTCACGGGCCTGGGTTTAGCTCTGCAATGTGGCCCTCAACCACGAACAGCACCGAACTCGCCGAGCTATCGCAAGCGAGCTTGCCGTCCGCATCCGCCATTAATTCGATTTCTGGAAGCAGGTCTCCAGCTGATCATGAGCGATGTCCCAACATTCATCACATTCGCTGGCGCCGGCCTCTTCTCCGGTGCGAACGGTACTGAAATAATTCCCCCTAAACGTCACCAATCCTGACCAATTCCCTCCTCTCGACGCCGCGGCCAACACCATCGCTTTGTCTGAGGTTCTGTCAAAGCACAACTTCACCACAACAGCCCTAGCCACATCTACTCTAGCGGCCTTCCAGCTAGACAGAACCTGCAGTCCCAAAGGTACTGTGTGTCATTCAAGCGTGTCTACTGGCGGAGAATTAGACACCTTCTACTGGAGCTCCGTCACGCAGCGTCAATATCAGGTCTCTTCCGCTGGAACGCCCGCTGCCAACGGTGCGAGGGATCCCTCCGCTGCTTTGACGCTTTACGAAAACCTTCAGGGACTGAGTTTGCCGGTGCTGTTTGATGGTGCTTATGACTGCACGCTTGAGGGCAAGGCTAAAGGGTCCTCGGTGGTTAACGTCAATGCGGATGGAACCCTTGATGTGTCTTGTCTTACAGTGCTGCCGATGTATTTGCCGAAGAATACTGCGTGTCCTGAGGGGGCGGTGACGGTGGATGGGAATTGTCCGTTTGGGTGTGAGAGGTAAAGAATGGGAAAAGGGCAATTTCGGGGTTGTATTCTGGCATTGTATTCAGAGGATCTTCGCACATCTGTAAGTATAAGAGAAAGCTGTTTGAAATCGTACACTCTGCCCAGTCCGCCTTCTCCACGGAAATTGTGCTACGCATTTACCTCGCTAGCGTCGAGGTAGCCAGCTAAGTGCGTGGCAAAATTATTAGCATCCTCTCCAAGAGTAGTAGCGAATAGCTTCATCTTCTCTCTTTAACCTTTTCACCACTCGTAGCAAGTAAAGTTCCTATACACCTTGCTTAGCAATTTCGTATTATCTCTTCTTTCGCCCACAATATCTATTGGCCTCTCCTTCATTTGCTATAGAATCGTATACTATCTACGTTGGCTGGGAGCTATATGGAATCATCGAGAAGAAACACTAAGAAATGGCTAAGCGAGGTATATAGAAGCTTCGCTTGTTACGAAGGTAGTAACGAAATTACAATATTGGAGAAGATGAAGCTATTCACTACTGTTCTTGAAGGGGTGTGTGCGATTTTCTCAGCGCCAAGGATTCCGGACCTTTGTGCATACGCTAAACCCCCCACCATGCTCAAAGCCCTTCTCAAATCACCGACTTCGGAGCGCTGTCTCAACTAAGTCTCCCTTGCTTCTCCGGTCCCATGAACCCGCTGCCCGCCGCTGCATTGCCTCGTCCACAGAGCAGTGCTGGCAGCGTTGGCAATACTGCTCCCACAAGTACAGCCGCCAGCCCCACCGGTGTCAAAGGGAAACGCAGCAGGAAGAGAGAGAGTTCGAGCGCGAGTGAGCAGGATGAATATGAGGGCAGTTTTGGGGATAAGAGGAGACAACCCGGAGTGAAGAGGGCGTGTAATGAATGCCGGCAGCAGAAGGTGGGTTTGGCATTGGTCGTGCGCAGAGAAGGTTACACAGCTGATGAGTCAACGATCAGCTACGGTGCGACGTTGTTACGGAACCGTTGTACACGACATGCACACGATGTCAGCGCCTAAACCTGGAGTGCAAGATCGAGTCCAACTTCAAAAGAGTAGGAAAGCGGAGCAAAAATGCGGAGATGGAGCGAGAAATCGTGGAGTTGAGAAGGCAGCTAGGCCTCCAACAGACCTCACCACCTACGACTGGACCTACGATCAAGGCTGCATTGAGTACTTCTGTTAGCCCTACTATATCCCACCTACCTGCACATCAGGATCAGTATATGGGCTCCGAGGAGGCTGTGGCATCTTTGATGGACTTGAGATCTGGACTTGAGGGTGGATCCTTTTTAAGGAGTCCAAATGCCCAGCTGCTGCTTACCAGACGGATTGGGGATATTGTTCTTACCCACGACCAGGTGCAGGAATTGTTCCAGTAGTATGTGATAGTCCAGACCCTACATGAATCTCGTCTGACAGGATAACCAGCTTCTTTACGTTCCACCATCCTTTTATACCCTTCCTCGATCCAACAAGGCCCCCAGACGAATACCACCAATCATCCCCTTTGCTATTCTGGGTCATCGTCAGCGTAGCGACTCGTCGATACGACCTCTCTCTTCTGACCGCGTTGGCTGGTCCACTATCTGAACTACTTTGGAAGACGCTTGCAGAAGTTCCCCAAAACTACATTGTTGTGAAAGCATTATGTATTCTCTGCACGTGGCCTCTACCAATAAGCAGCACTTCTTCAGATCCGACATTCATGCTCTCCGGATTGATGATGCAAATCGCAATGCAGATTGGCCTGCACCGACCCTCTCATGCCCAAGACTTTACCAAATTCAAGGTTGAATTGCGGGAAGAGGAGTTAAGGGATCGTGTACGGACATGGGCTACTTGCAATGCTGTCGCACAGCGGTAAGTCTTACCATCGTGCATTCCACCCGCCTACAGAAGCTGAACCTCAAAAGAGTCGCTACTGGCTACGGTCAACCTCCAACAACGTTCTATGACTGGACGCTTGCTCCTTCAGGGGCACACGAACCTAGCTTTAGACTTTCTGATGACGTCTATGGACGATTGTTGATTGAAACGTTTAGCAACAAAGTTACAAAGGCGCTGTACAGCAATCATTTAGACCCTGTAGGGTTGGTCAGTGACAACGAGCGATGGATGCATACCACTTTCCTTGCTAGAGATTACGAGGATCTGGAGCAAAAGCTGCACCTTCATGGTTCTTGTACGTGCATCTTTTGCCACCCCAACTTTCGCCCTTTGTGGCCACCTTTCTCGTGTCTTCAGATCGCCTCGACCCTGGCACCAGCCTCCAAGAATTCTAACACTTTGGCAGTCTCTACAGTCTATCTCCGCGCCGCCAACCTTCATCTCCGTCTCTCAGCCTTCTTCGACTCCCCATCTTCAAACCGTTACCACATCGACCTCTTCGCCTTGTGGCGCTCGACGACCTCGTTCCTTGAAGCGGCCTTCAACGTCAACACAGCCGCGGGCAACGTACTCATTTACTCTACCAATTACATCCTCCAAATGATTATTGCCGGTGGCTTCTCGCTGTTGAAGCTAATGAACAGCTTCTTCGCCAGTCACGTCGACATCGAATACGGCAGAAACTTATTCAACCGCACCATTCAAGCAATCCGATCCATCAGTGTTTTCACAAATGATCTGCCAAACAGATTAGCTGAGGTCTTGGCACAGCTCTGGAGAAGCAGCGGAGCTGGCTCGAGACGAGCGGTCGCGACCAATGACAGCACTGACAGCTCATTGCAACTCAAAGTCAAATGCCGTATGAGCATGAGCCTGGTTTTCGACTCCGTCTGGCGATGGCGGGAGGAATTCCAAGCCCAAGGTCGCGGCAACCTCGAATGTATGCCCATTCTTCCTTTCCCTGTCTACAAGTACTCGTCAATCGCTGACAATGTCCCCAGCCGCGCTCAGAAACCCAACCAACCCCGACTCCGCCGTCGAATCCTCCGCCACCTCCCTCGCAGACACCGGTCTCGCCCCCTCAGCCCTGGTCGGCGGTACCCTCACCCCTTCGGATGACTTCGGTGGGGAATCCAATTACGAGGTCTTTGACCCGTTGAATTGGATGTTGGATGGGCTTGTAGACCTTCCATATGACCTTCCAATGGGCCCGGACTTGGAGGTTCAGGGCTTGACGTAGACAGATTGATGAGATGATGCCTTATGAATCACGAGAGCATAGACACAAATTCATCATTTTGGATCATTTCTCCGGTTCCGGACCATTCAGTGTGTGATATTTGGGGTATCTCCCCCAACAACGAAGTATTCCTCGGTTTACCCTCAACTAAATAACGTGCCATTTCATGTCTTGTTCGGGGTATCTTCCCCTGCATCTCGCTAAATCACATCCAATCCTCCCCCTCCATCCCCGCCCCTTCTCCGGCTACTTCCCCCCCTCTCCGCCTTCCTCCTTCCCCTTCGCCTTGGCCACCGTACTCCCCTTCGGCGCACCTCCGTGGCGCCCATTCGTCCCGTTGGCCTGGCGCTTCGCCCACATCAGTCTCGCGGCCGCCGCTCTCACGGGGTCCTTGCCCTCCGTCTCCTCCTTCGGCTCCGTCTTGATGAGTGGCTTTGGAGCAACTTTGGCGGGTCGTTCCCGCTTCTTTGGTTCGATCTGAGGGGCTGCGGAAGCTTCTTTGGCCTCCGGTTTGATGGTGCGGGCGGTACGGACCCAGTCCGGTGGCGTGAATGAGCGGGCGCGCGTGTCCTGATTTTTGGTAGCTGGCTGGTCTACTGCCGGTGCATTGGCGTCATTGGTATCGGGCTCTCGGGCGCGTTTGGTGGACTTTTTGGGGGCGGTTACCGCTGCGTCGATGTCGTCAATGACGCGTGGCTTGCGGATACGCTTGCCTTCGACGGGCTGCATGGGCTCGTTCATGTCGATATGGAGCTCGTTGCGGGGTCTGCGGCCATTGAAAGGTGGCTTATTGATGGGGTTGGTGGCACGTGGTCTGGTTGTGTTTTGGGGGTTGTTACCCGTCGTTTGGGTGATGTTGGGGGTAGGCTGCCCTAGAGAGTCGTATTCGTTGGGATCTTCGACTTTGCGTGGGTTGGCTTTGCGCTTCTCTTTCCTGTTGTGAGGGGATCTGCGCATGCGAGTGATTTCGGTCTTGAGGGCCATGTACTCCTCTTGCCATTTCACCATGGCTTGCTGAGCATTCAATGCCGCATCGTAGAGGGCATCATCCGAGAGGGATTCGTAGTTTGCGAGGGACGAGATGAGCTGTATGGCGTCTGGAGATGGGGAACGAGCCGGAGACTGAGCCGGAGAAGAGGGGACGCTGTTGTTTCCAGCGGAGAGAGCAGGGGTAACAAGACGAGTCTTTGATCCAATATTTGGGCTAGCAGCCGATCCAGCGGTCGTGAGAGGAGTAATAGGACGAGCAATGGCATCATTAGACGGGCTAGCAGCCGGTCCAGCGGTCGTGGTAGGAGTAACAGGACGAGCAATGGCGCCAATCGACGGGCCAGTAGCCGGTCCATTGTTGGCGGGAGAAGGGGTAGCAGGACGAGTATCTGCTCCAACCAACCGGGAAGCAGCCTGTCCAGTGGTAGCAGTATAGGGACTGTCGTAAGGAGAGGTAGCTGGATTCAACGGGGAACCAGCCGGTCGAATAGCACCACCAAAGCGGCCAACAGGAGCCAGATGCTGGACGTACTTGGCCGGCGTGACGCCAAAACGGTAGGGACTGTCAGGACCAGCCTGACCGGCTTGATATGACTGCATTTGTCAGAGAGATGGGAACGCAACCGGAAAAACAAGACATACATCGGGGTCCATGATAGCTTTGAGAGCAAAAGAAGCTTGCTGCAAATGGAGAAAAGGGGGTGTTCTTGTAGAAACAACGGGTACCAGACCTCGGAGACGATGCAACGGTACGAGAAGTAGCCAAAGTAAGTGAGGAAGATGCTTGTAGAGAATGTCTGCGTACAGCAATGTAATGTTGTGGATGTTGTAGAATGAGAAAATTGGAAGAGATTCGGACACCTACTTATACCCCATTCAGAGGCGAGTGGCTGGTCAATTCGCCAGGATGGATGGACAATAGCCATCTTTACAATACAATCAATAGACATTATTTAATTATTTAACCGGTCAATGATATTATTGTGGTGTTGTTCAATTCACTTCTATCAATCTTTCAAAAGAGCAACACTAGCCGAGGACCCTGGCCCAATCCCGAGCAACCAACTAGCATCATCCACTTTCACTTCACTTCCACCCCTTGTACGAGTTTGAAAACCTGCACATCATGTCGAAGAAAGAAAAGCTGACGGATGAAGAGCTTTTCGCTCAATTCGAGGGGTTGGAGGGCGATGGCACTGCAGTCCAAGCCCCCAAACCAGCAACAGACGGCCAGCAAACAGATGCAGATCTCCTCGAAGAACTAGGCATACCAGAGAGACCAAAGCCCAGCAGTCGCCCACATACGCCTCGGCCACAGAGTACATCAACAGCATCGGGAACGAGGTCGTCTCCTAAGCTTACTCGAGCAGCTACACCGAGCTCTACCGATGGCGCGCGGTCCAGTGAGGAGAAAGCACGTCTACGCAAGTCTGGGGACAGTACCCGATCTTTCCATAACAGCTTTACCCCAGCGAGCAGTGGAGAAGGGGAGAGTGAACCCGAGAAGTCTGCCTCTTTTGTGCCAGAAGCAGTGCAGGCGCAGAGCTCGGGTGGAGGATGGTGGGGAAGCGTGTTTTCTACGGCGAGCGCTGCTGTGAAGCAGGCTGAAGCGTTGGCAAAGGAAATCAGGCAGAATGAGGAGGCTCAGCGGTGGGCAGAGCAGGTCAAGGGCAATGTGGGTGCTTTACGCGGTCTAGGTACGCTCTTCCAATGTTCCTCTAGCTGTGATCTTGATGTTGACATTGATCCTAGGCGGCGAACTTCGCTCTCGCGCCCTTCCAACTTTCTCAAACATCTTGCACACCCTCGCTCCACCTATTTCCTCCCACGAGCGTCTACAAATCCACATCACCCACGACATCGTCGGCTATCCTTCACTCGATCCCCTAATTTATTCTACCTTCTCCCGCGTCATGGCACAAGTCGAGGGCGGCGATCTCATGGTCATCCAGCGGGGGCAAGAATCCACTCAGAGGCGGGGCGAGGATGCGGGTTTCACAGGCTCAAGCAGCAGTGGCTGGAGCGATGGGCCCTGGTGGAGGCAAGCGACCGAAGCCAGAAACTTGGGAGCCGTCAAGGGACTTGTAGAGGGAACCAAGCTCTCGAAAGTCAGCGCCGAGTCTTACGCAACTGACTACTTTGCGCCACGCGGTGGGTTGGAGGAAGCGGCCAAGCAGGCTACGGAGGTCCTGAGTGAAAGCAACCCAGTCCGCAGCAGCGACATTTTCCTTGCCATCCAAGCCATCAGCCAGACCTCGCCCGAAGACTTCTTCGGCGGTCCAACGTCTCAGCCAAAGGGTGAGGAAGGCGCTGTCGAGCCAGAGGAGGATGACGAGCTAATTTCCTTTGCTATCTACCTCCACGATCCTATCCACGGCATCACATTCAACACCGTCACACAAACGCTGCCACAGAGATGGACCGAGTGGCTTGACGCGTCCGCAACTTCCGAATCAGCCGAGTCAGGCTTACCCGACGAGATTGCGGAGATTGTGAATACAGGTGGCGTAGATCCGAGAGAGTGGGTTGCGGAGTGGGTTGAAGAAGTGCTTTCCCTGGGCGTGGGCGTTGTTGCGCAGAGGTATGTCGCTAGGAGGATGGGTGTAGGTCTAGGTGGTATCGGAAGGGGAAAGGCGAGACAGGAGGCGTTGGAGTCGGGTGGTGGAGAGGCGGCGAGGGCCGTTTGATTGTCCAAGCGGACTTTTGATTGGAACTGGAAGTCTTGTGGGCGCTCGGGTGTTTTGGCGATATCCACGCGCGGAGCAGCAAGGGGTGTCTTTATCGCTCGCACTTGTACTTCCAGGCTGGCCGGCGCATCCCGTCCCTCTCGCAGATGTTCCTCGAAGTTATCCCAAGCAAACTCCCTCGGCTATGCATAACTACCCTCCTCCTCTGTCAACCCAACAAACCCCATCTCCTCCCCCCCGCCTACTTCCCACCCTTCCCCTTCCCCCCCTCCCTCCCCTCCCCGTCTCCAGCACCACCCCCCTTTTTCTCCTTCTTCTTCTTCTTCCCCCCCCCCAACATCTCCAAATGCCCCGCCCTCTCCGCCAACGCCCGCTCCGTCTTCCCCGTCAACCCGGCCGTGTACTTCTACACCGTTGCGCACACACCGTCAGCGGCACACACACCCTCTCTCCCTCAACCGAACAACATCCGATATCTGACGTACCTTGGTGATCTTCTTCTGCGTCACCAGATTCCTCTTCTTCGGCGCGATGGCCCGTTGGCCTTTTTTGGGACCGGCGGTTGAGGGTTTGCGTGAGGAGGGCGGGGGTTTGCGGCTTTTGACGACGCCTTGTGCCATTTTTGGGAGGGGTTGTTGGTGGGGATGGGGTACGGAGGGAGGTCGGTGAAGGGGGTTGTGGGGGTGGAAGTTGGGGATGAATGGTTTGTGGGTTGGAGACTTCGGTTTATGTCCGGGATGTTCGGATTTAGCGGTTCGACAAATGGCGCTTGTCCTTGAGCTTTTTGCGCCGCAATGATGCCAAGTTTGGGTTTTCTCTGCAGGCTTAAGCTCACGCTTCTTTTCGACGTTTTTTCTAATCCTGATGCTGGAATGGATTTGTACCACTTCAATCAGAGGGCTGGACTTCCCCTTTCGGTTCCATGGGAATCGCGACGATGAGGTTGATTTCCCTTTTTAAAAAAAATCCCTCTCTTTCACCTCCTTCAACAATCGAGCAGCCCGCCCTCTATCTCCCCCCCCCGCGCGGATTCATTCAAACGTTGATCGACAACAAGCAACGTGGGACTGTGTCCAAGCTGTCGAATAGTCCTGAAGCGTCTCCGCCTCCGTCTTATATACGCCCGCCATCTACAACAGCCTAGGGCTCTTCCAACCGCAACCTCGAGATGGGACAACGTGTACAGCCAGTTCTCGCGCGCTCTTACAGATCCGCAGGGGTAGGATATTCGCCTTAGAGTCCATGCTGTTCGTAAGGTGACATTTCGGCGTTCAAATCCCTATGATGATGTGATGCAAGGTGTACGTCAAGGCCGTACGCGCCTGGCATGAGAGGGCCAATGCACCGAAGGTTGATCTACTACGTGCTATTCATGGCGTCATTCTGCATCGATACAGCGATTAACAGGCTTTGAGTGCCGGCGGGTACTTTGGGGAGTCTCGCTGGACCCCTTTCGCTTGTGATGTTGATACAGATACCTCGTGCAGGGTCAACGGTCTGTCGTACGGAGAGTAGGCCGTTGGGGAGACGCAGCTTCCTTTGGGTTGCAGTATGCACGTGTGGAATGAGACTGCGGTCTGCCTGTTCATGTGTCCTGTGTTTGCAAGAGGAGTGTTATCTTGAATACTCTACTACGTTGGGGGGGTTTGCGCCACGAGGTGAGGACGAATGGGTATTGTTGGTAGGAAGGATGATGGCTCTTGCGCGTGGTGAACCCAGCAGTGAGAGTTGTGAAGGAGGGTTGGGTGTGTTGCCGGCGTGGTTGGCTTGATTGTAGGGAGAGCAGAACACCTCTCTTTATTCTTGCAGTGTCAATGAGTTGTCAAATGTAGCACATGTACTGAATCTGTTATACGTTTGACTTTGTCCCTTTCGTGTGTTTGGCTGTCTCTTGAGCCCAACTTTTCACACTGACAATAATGTATCGAAGTCGTTAAATTTCTTTCTCTTCCTTGTCCGCATACAAACATCCTCATTTCGAAACCATGTTCCTCAAATGATCTTTCCAGTCCCGTTTTAATACATAAAATCGTCCCAGTCGTCAACAAGAACCCTTCCGCCCTTCCTCCTTGGACATACATACATCCCTCACCCCCATCCACTCCCTCTCACTCCCAACCCTCCACTCACAACTTCTCCCCCTTCTCCTCCCCCTTCCCCACCAACTTCTTCAAAAACCTCCTCTTCCCCCCCACCTTCTTCTCCTTCCCCCCACCATCATCCTTCCACACCCTCCTCTGCCCCTCCCCCTTATAACTCGAATACATACTCGCGTTCTCATCGAACCCAATCGCCTCCAGCCCCCTCGCGCTGTGCTTCAGCTGCGGCGGCCTACCCGTCTCATCAGCCTGGTACGGCAGTATGCCCGACGCTTTGAGGTTGTTGACGAGGAGCTGTGACCGGACGCGGTGCGGGGTGATTGCGTACGTTTTGTCCAATAGCGGGTCTTGCGTCACGCTGTTGTTGTTGTTGTTGCTGTCGTTTTTCGGGAGCAGTTTTTGAGAGTCGTGATGCGAGGAGGTGGAGGGGTTGATCCGGGAACCGTCGGCGTTGAAGGTGCGGAGGTTGGATGGGCAGGCGGCGTGCGGGGTGTAGACGGAGGCGTGGACGGACATCTTTGTTGTACTTGGGGAAGAGAACAATTGGGGTTCTACTGGCAGGCGCAACAACCGTTTTGAATGGGTAAACTGTTGACGGTTGGAAACATACAAACCGCGGAGCAGACACCGTTCTATTATAACCCCCCATCTCAAAAGGTTTCTTCAACCCCCCATTGAAACCTCGGCACGACTTTCGGCGAGCGCGCAAAATCATTGGTGTCGCAAATACGCAGCATATGTCCCAAGAAAGGCATGTCGCGGCTTTGAAATCGTGTGGCGATTGGTGTCGCCAATACGCACTCGTACCAGCCGTTGCGGGTAAGTAACGAACTTCCTTCGCGCGCCGTGCCTACGTCGGGTCTATATATCCGCAAAGGTGGGACCGCTTCTGATTCGATATGGTCGTATCTTATCTTCGTTGACGTTTCCAGTAAGGGTGGCACAGCCCGGAAGTTATTGTGATTGATGAGACGGATCTGCGAGGAGAATTTGGCGCAATCAGTAATGTTCTGTGCCTGGTGGAAGTTTGTACTCGGAATCATATGGCGAATTAGATTCTGCCGGTGTGATAACGGGTCGTTTTCTGCACGTTCGCATGCTATGGTGTGAGACATTTGGCAGTAGTGTATGTAGGCTTAGTATGCAACAGTCTCACAGAAGCCCGCGCCAATCGAAGTCTTTTCCATGGAACCGGAAGTGCACTAGACCTCTAAAGGCCTCTTCGGCCTTTTCGTCTCCAGTCCACATCAAGGCCTTTTCGGACGCCTCTGAAGCATGCTCTGAAGTCAGCTTGTGAAATACAGATATAGTGAATGCGAGACTGTTCTTCAAGAATGGACGTCTTCCACTAGACGATTACGAAGGTGAAGTTGCACGACTTCCTGCTTTGGCAGACGCCCAGGTTCCATGGAAAAGCAGTGATCCATACTTTATGACGTTAAAAAGCCAAAAATTCTCCGGCAATTTTAAGAATCACAGCGATGTCTGACTGCCATACCTGGAGAACGCTTGTATTCGGAAGAAAATCTGACCAATGAACATGCTGCGCTGTTGAGATGTCTCGCGTGTGGAGAAAAAGCGCTTGCTCGGCGTAGACCGTGGGGGGCTGATTTTGCTAGCTGAACGAGGGAGCACTGCCTCTGCAGCGTCTAGCATCACGTCTAAACAGGGGACCTGCATTGAACCTCGCCAATCGAACCCTTTCAATGCGGTACATATATAGGCCATTGGGCAACAGGCCAGGCCTTCATGTCCTTCCTAGGGTTTTGCAAACCTTCGATCATGACGTTGCCATAAAGCATAGGGTGGAAAGGAGCCGCCAAGCTACCGTAGCTTCCTGAGTTTTGCTATTGACACGATTGACTCGGATAGCTTGAAAAGGTAATCCCGACAAATAGTAAAGTTCTCACTCCTCCGCCACTATCTCAAGTGACCAACGCATGACCTCGAGGCCCCATTTGGCAGATCAGTCTGGAATGACATCTCGTGTATGAAAAATATGCTCAGACCTGCAGGTTTTCGTTTCCATTGTGAGCGCTCACACCCTCCACGAAGTGAAACCAACTCCACCGCAATTGCCATCCTCGGTTGATTACCTAGTGGCTTGGGATGGCGCGTGGATCTCGAATTTGGCTAATGTACTATAGTAGTCAACGGGCCGGTGCCTACCAGCTTTCCATGAGACCTTTTTGATCTGCGGGGGAGAATTTGGCGACACAATCCTCCGATTCGATATTTGGAGATAATAGGTAGCGGGAAACGCTGGTACGCGGGGAATTCCTAGCCTATGGACTGTGTACGATGGCCACGTTGGAATCAAACGGTAGCATCGTGTGGCTTACCTGGGAGTCCTTCTGAATAGACCTGTCGAATAGTTGTCACTGTTGAAATCAGCGAATGCACTCCAGACCTACGGTCTGGAACCGGTGATCTGGTCCTGCAGTGAAGAAAATGTCCTAGTCTCGCAGGTATACATATTTAAATGAACATGTTAATGGAAAAGAAAGCAATGCTCAATATGTGTACATATGCGCATGATGTACACTCAGGGTATAAAATAGACGCCCCCAATGCATACCGAAGCCTTGCCACCGGCACTGAAGCCCCATCCCTTTAACATGCGCCTGCGAGCCCTGAAAATGTACATACACTCACATCACTATACACTTCGCCCCTTTCTCCTTCCCTCCGTCCTCGCCAACAGGACTGTCCCAACTCTGCCCTTCACTCCTTGCCTTCCTATATTTGCGAGAACCCAACCACCCCTTCTTCGTCGGCGCCCTATCCAACCTCAGCGCCGGGCCCATACTCTGGCTCCTCCTATGTCCTCCACTCCCGGCTCCCTGCAAGTCTCTTGATCGTGACCTTGTACGTGAATAGCTAATGAAAGAAGACACGCTTTCGATCGTCTCCAAACGGCGAGGCGTGGGTCGTAATAGAGCAGGCGATGAGCGGGAAAACGAGTTGCTGGCGGAGAGAGACAGATTTCTGCCTGAAAGCGATCTTGCAGGAGCTTGATTGGCCGGCGACGTAGGGCTACCTGCTGCGCCCAAAGCGCCGCGAGGTGGTGCGGGCATAGGATAGCCTCCTGGAGCGACGATGCCCGAAGGGAGCGGACGACGTGCTCCAGCCGGAGTAGCTTGGCGGGAGCGGTTGTTCAAGTTTGCGAGCTGCTGGGCGGTGGGTCCCATTGCAGTTGCTACCGTGTTCGCAAGCAGATCAGAGCGGTCGGTTGACCGCTGTGGTGTCGAGGGCATGTTCGTCCCAGCCAGAGGAGATAATTCATGCGGACCTCCGCGCCGATGCAGCGACTCAACGCTGGAGTTAGAGGGAGCTGGTGGGAGGGGGTACTCAAGGCGCTGTTGAAGGTTTGCCCCAGTCAAAGTTAGCGGCGAGCCCGGGCGTTCGCTGCGCGTCGGACTCGGCGGCAAAGACACGGACTGGCCAAAGACACGTTCGGGGACCGGTGACACGGTGATCGGAGGGACCCGCGAGATGAATCCAGCCGTACCGGGTCTTCGCAGCGATGCGCCCATCCGGCCGACAAAAGCAGACATGGGTCTCCTAACCGACAAGGTCGACGTTGATTGCGGACTTACAATAGAAGGCTCGCTGGTTTCGTCGCCGAAGGAGAAGTTCACAGTGCTTAGTGGGCTGACTGTGTTAGACCCCTGCGAAATTGTGTCGGATACCGACCGGTGAGTCTGCTGAGCGGTTGATGATGCCTCCGAGCTCCGTTGTCTAATTGGCATTGCGGGCCTTTCCGGAAGAGAAGTAATCCTTCGTGAAGCCACACTAGAAGCTGGGCTCCCGTACATGGTGCTAGCGCGACGAGGTTGTTCTCGTCTCATCCTTACTCGACTCAATGGTGAGAAACGGTCTGGCTTTTTTGGCAACAATGTAGCGCGAAGGTGCTCTGGAAGTGGCCTATCTGATTCAGCAGTATACGGTGGAGGTGGAGGAACCCAGTTGTCAGCGTCGCTTTCATGAGGCAGCTCTCCACGTCCGTCTGCACGCCTATATTCCACCCGTGCATCGGAGATTATACGTGGTGGATTGCGTTCACGGTTTGCGGCTACAGCTGTAGCAGATCGATACAGAGAGGTGCGAGATCGAGGTTGAGTGTGAGAATATGGTCCATCAAAGACTTCAGAGGCCTCTTCCAAGCTAAGTCCTTCGGCTGGAGAATCGGCAACCTCTGGTAGACTCGCCTGGGCAGCAGCGACGCTGGTACTACCAGCGGCGGCTGTTGCTGCAGCATTAGCATTTGCGATGGCGTTTGCTGTTGGAGGCAAAGGTGGCATTTCAGGCGCAGACGCTAGCACATCGACTACAGTTGTCCTCCGATCTGGCAAGTTTCGAACAGTGCGTTTTCGAGCGAGGGCGACCTCAGTGTCCATATCCACATCTTCTTCCTCTAGAAGCTCCGGAGTTTCATTACCAACCTCGAATTTAATTTCCTCGACCATGCCACCACGGGAAGTTCGATCGAAATCAAGCATGACAAGGCGGCCGCCATCGACAGATGCGAAGCCATCCTGTTCCAGGTCCGGATCTCCCGGTATGCCACCTGGCGCAAAAATAAGTAGTCGTTCTCCGAGCGATGGTGAGCCTGATATTTCCCGCTTCCGGGTGACCCAGCACACTCCTGAAACACCAGATATCTCTGCCACTAGTCGGCCTTTTGCAAAGACGTTGCGATACTTGTCGACCAGAACCTGCCATTTCGGCAACCTAGTCAGCTCGATAGCTTCGCCTCGAGTTAGCGATGTTGACGGACTCCTGACTCCACCCGAGGGTGTGCCCTGCCCAGACAAAGGTGCTCTTTGAAGGTTTGGATCATCTGTCTGGGTTACGGTAGATATGTCCAGGCCCTCCGGAACACCATAGAGCCAAATTTCTTTGCCCAGAAAGCCTGCAGCGACAAGCTCGCCATGGTCACTTGGAGTAGGGAGTGTGCAAGGCGCTAGCTTCTTTCTCGGATTCCTCGAGCCGTCACGTTTGGGCGGCCTCGGACCAGTGAAGTATGTAGAGCCATTTCGTAAATCATCTGTACGCACTGCTCGAAAGCTCTCGAACACCTTGTCGTAGGTGAAGGTCCAACTTGTGTCTCCATCCGATCGATTTGGTAGCAGCGCTGCATTACTACAATCCCGGCTACTGTTGGGAAAGAGTATTTGCGACGTCCATAGCTGACTTATCTGCTCCGAAGCAGGTAAGTGATGATGATCTTCGGAGTAGTAAGGCGCGGACAGGATGACAGTGTTAGGATTTTTGCTGTTCTTCGTAGTCCCAACGAGCATAGTTCCATCGCCGGAGAACCTCAAAGCGTCCACTCGATCACATTTCACAGCCCGGTGCTCTGATGCTAGAGCGCTGGGGGCCAAAGAATGAAGCTCAATCCCGCCATCAAAAGCTGCAGCGAGGACTTCGCCCTTTGGTGCCAAGGCTATAGCGTGTGGAGATTCATCCAGCGAAACAGCGCGCAAGTGCTTCACCTCAAGGTTCTGTAAGTTGTAGACGTTGATTCGATGATCGCTCGAGAGTACAGCCAGGATTGATCCGTCATCAACTATTGCTGCTGACACCGGTCGCCGCAAAACCTTGAGCTCCCTCTGTACGGATATTTTGGGTGAAACCGTATCGATGACATATATTCTGGACGAAGAGAGAGCTAGCACCCAGTGGCCATTGGGTGAGAAGACGAATTCGAAGGCTTCGCCCCCAGGAAAAGCTGCTGAAGAGCTTGTAGTCGTCGATACAAAGCTTACGAACGTCCTCCGCGGTTGTAGATACGCTTCAAACAAGTTCCTCTTCACTTCTCTTGCAAATTGTCCCTTCAGCTTTGGCAAGCTATTTTCAGTGAATGGACCTCCAACGTAGTTGTGTGAACGAGAAAAGGAAGGACATCGTGAGAGATGATGGGCGTAGAGATGCGGCGTTTCTGAAGCAGAGCGCCAGGCATGGTCGACAAGAACGAGGGAAGCGAAGGTCTCGGGGTCTGTAAGGTAGAGAATGCTGCAAGTCAAGCAGTTCAAGTCAGTAATCTGGAGCTCAAGGACAAGAAGTAAAGAGTCCTGACCGAGGCGGACGATTGGAGTGCATACCTTTCACGTATTTCAGCTGGGAGCGACATGACGCCATGCTTCTTCTGATCTCTGCCTTTCCCTTTGTCCGCCGTTTTGGTTTCCTTGGCCTGATTTTGGGCAGCTTCTTCAACCTCGTTTTCATCTGCGTTTGAGGGATGTGGAATATGGACAGAAGGCGCTGCGGCAGCTGTGTCTTCCTTGTCTTCCCTGTCTGACCAGCTTCCCGGAGCTGTGCTTATTTCCATCGCTGCCATCCCGCAACTTGGTAACTATAAGTCAAGACATCTGACATCGGATACAGTGGTTGTCGCAGGATTACCCTGCGATAAATCATTAAGAGTGATAATCTGACGCGAAGGTCTGAGTGACTACGTATCATGTGTCATGTCGGTCGCAGTAGGCGCCAAATAGGAATAGGAAGGGGCTATGCCACTATTCCCCAAAGGAGGTGCGATGACGGAGGAAGAGCCGAGTTACTGCGGAGACTCAGACCACCTATACCTACTTTACTTGTAGTTGGCCGCCGCCCCATCCTTTTGCCTTCCCTCCCACACATCCTTTTGATCCTTCGACTTTTCCACCTTCCTGCGCACTTAAGAGGGCATTGGCGTGGCTTACAAGCGCCTTGATTCTGTATACCGCCTTGAGTCTTGTGTGTCATATCCGGACCATGCTCATGATCGGCAAGGACAATCCTACCCCCAGCATGGCCCCAGATCCATGAGAGAAACAAGGGACGCACATGATACATCACAAAGGCACACAGAAGGGAAGCGAGAAACTGCGAGACGGTGAAACCAAATTCAACACCACGGTCACCACCTGGACAAGGATGTTGCTCAGTGGCTGTTCGAGTCTAACAAATTATTCCAGGTGCAGCTCCAGGGTCGGAGTATTTAGGTGCAACCTCGCTATCTCCCTGCCGTGGAACGATATCCTTCCTTGAAACAAGTTCCCTCTGTTTAGGACACACGATTCGCTTATTCTGTTCTAATTTCAGCCATCGTGCTTGGCTTTTGTTGTCTGACTGGCCGGCCATGGGCGGGCCAGCGTAATTAGTCCAAGGTGCACAATGGTCCTGGACCGTTTAGCAAACTAATCGTCCAGACTAGTACTATCATCCAATTCTTCATGGATCTAAGGCGCCACAATTGCCCTTTCGACCGTTTTTGTCATTGTCTAATATCGATGCCGCTACGAGAGAAACTACATAAGTAACCGGTTTTTCAACTTCAACTCATGCAGGTCTCTTGTGTTACCAGCAAATCTATCAAAGGAATCTCTCCCAACTAGTCCACGAAAAGAAACCCCAAATCAGGCCCGTCAAGATGCGATTGAAGCTTCTCCAACTGCTCTTTGTGATCTCTCTTACTCCTCTTACCGCAGCTCTTCAAACCATCTACCTCGCGTACCTCGCGTCTTCCGGCTCGTACGTACCTTCAGGAGTGTTCCCTTTCAAACCGTTAGTTGCAAGACACGTCTTGCATCATCGGAGGGGGCGTTCTTTTCATACATGTCCTATAGATGCCTTCTAGGCTTGTTATCCCTGCCTATAATTTGAAAAACAGACCTTGACTCCATCCTCGAACAGACCCCACTTCATCGCCTTCTTCTCAGACAGCAACCCCTGTACAGACGGCACACTGTTCGGCTACACGCCCGAAGGGTTCGAGGATTGCAATGAAGACCTCACCATCTTAGGCCATCAAAACATCACCTTCACCGGTTGCAAACCCACCACAGCGTTTCCCTTTTCCCTGCCCACAGGAGTCGCGGATAATGGTGCGCCAGCGCTGAAGTGCAAGCCGGCGTCGAACCCGCCCGGGGGTCCGTACGGAGACTATGCTAACTGCGCATATACTCCCAGCGCAGCCATCGTGGGGCCTGTGAGCTTGTTGGAGTATTGCTCGTAGATCGGCGCAGGGGAAGTGGTGGGGGATCGGCTACGCGCTGTATCAAATCGATGGAAGGAAGTACACGCGATCAACGGCGGGCAATGTCAGAAACAAAAGACACTCCGAGTAAGAAGTATCGGATTACATACTACGTACACAGAATGAAGCCCGAATTGAGAAATGAGAGCACCTACCCTAATCTTTCCCCAACCCCCCAAATACATACAGCCTACATGTTCTTACCATCGACTCGGCGCTGCTTCGCTCATGTAATTGGGCAAACTTCTTGCAAGTATCGGTATCGAGGCTTGAACTGACGGGCTGGCCTGCGGACGGGGAGTATTTGGTGTTATATAAGAGGGGGAAGTTTTATACAGTCGCTGAATTAAAATCACGATCCAGGCCGCGCTATGAGTGGAATCATTCTGCCGTCCTGACGCGGGAGGCAGGAAATGGGTGAAATATAGACCGCAATGTCCTCATGGCTGCTTTCCGTCGCCAGACCCTGAGCCAAAACCTCGTCCCCCGAAGGGGAAAACGCCCGTGATGCTTGACTTCATGCCCTTCATCGCCTCCTCATTCGCCTTCTTTTCCTCCTCCGCCATCTCCTTTAACCATTTCTCACCATTCTCCCGGACTTCTTTCTCCATAATCTCGTACTGCTTCTGGCCTCGCTCCCGCACCTGGTCTTGGAATGTTTTCCCCTGCTCAAATCCCTCAGATAGACTGTGTTCCATACCGTCCACGCCGCCAGCTTGCGGTTTGGTACCTAAGACATTGCCCAGAAAGCCCACGGATCGTCGGGGCCGCTTGGCTTTTGCCTCGGCGTTCTCCTTTTGGAGCTTTTCTCTAATCTTGGCTTCGCGCCGGGCAAATTCGGTGGGAATGTGTGTCCCCTCGAAGGACTTAAGAACTTCCCGCGTGTCACGGGAGTCGAATGTAGCGATGAATTCGAGGAACGGTATGTATGAGACGAGCTCCTTGTCTTGGCGATCGCCTTTCCATTTTGGTAGTATGACTGCATTTTCGGGTTGGAGCTTCGCATGTGCTGGCACGGTGTCAAGCATAATGATTTTACTGAGGTCTCGATTTAGAAACGAGAGATCCTGAAGCGATGTCAGTTTTCCCTTTAATCGGTGACAATTAAAGATCTCACCTTTATGTACTCTCCGCTCTGATACTTTGTAGCCTCCCGGTATAGGGGCCACATGACAAACAGTCTGTATGGGTCCAGTTTCTGTATTACGGGATGTCCGATCATTGACGAAACACTTGTGAAGATGACCAGCTCGTAATACTGGCTCAGATATCGTAAGAAATAGTCCACACCAGGTCGTTTCGCCATCCTCCACCCATGTTCTCGCGTCCACTCGCTGTGTACCAACATATCTTCTAAGCTTATCACAAGTGTATATGGTCTTGCCCACGCAGGATCTGTATCCGGTAGTAGCTTAGGGAAAGCAGGTTCCGTGTAGTAACTCAGCGACCCATTCCAACGCGCCTTCACCCGGTTCCAGAACAGGACAAAGCCCCATCCTGATGGCGCATCGAGGTGTTGCTTCTCCTCTTCTTCCGATTCCCAATTCCTTCCCAAATAGACGCCTCCAGCGACGAAGAAGGCTGCCATGGTAGCAACGGCCCAAGACGCATACCGATTCCGCCGCCTCTCTATCGATGATATGTAAGCTTCCTTTGGTAGATCTCCACGACCACCACCGCCAGGCTGCGATGGATCTTCAGTAACGTTCAGGCTTGCTGGGTCTGCCTTGGCTGAAGACGCCATTTCTGCGTCCAGTGTAGATGGTATTCCCTGTGTCAAGTCGGGCAGAGGTCCACTTGTCTCTTGCACCTGCTCTCGACTTCGAGCTTCGGCGGGGTCTATGGGAGACGCAGAGGTGGATTGAGGAACGGTGATGGCATCAGATGGCGCGGATGTGCCGACTTCATCTGGGGGTTTCGAGTATTCAGGATGAGGATATGATTCTGCGGAGTTCGTCGGAGTAGGGCCGTAGGTTTGCTGGGGTATAGATGCTTGTTTGCCGGATCTCGAGCTCATGATAGCATCGTACTCTTCCTGAAGCTTCGAGGTATCAGGGAATTCTGACTGACTGCTTTGAGATGCAGGATAGCCGACTTGTCCTCCTGCGGCACCCACCGCCGGCCCACCAGGTCTTGGAGCATTGACTCCATGCGCATTTGTAGAATTAGGGTTTGTAGGCGCTCTATATTCGAAAGGTCTTTTGGGCCTATTGTTTTTGGCGTAGGCACGAGATTGTAGATACGATATAGGCACTTGAATTGTGGGCGCTGGTGTACGGTAGAGGCGCAGAGAGCGCCTCGCAACTCGCGCCAACATAATGGACTTGCAATCAAACATACACTTCAAGATACCATTACGGTGTGCTATATCACACAGCTTCTCCAGAGAGTCCTCCAAAATCGAACGTCCTCGGATAAACGACGGGCCGGACCCTTTTCTTAATCCCGCAGATTCTCTACGACCTACACCATGAAAGTTTTATTATACCCAGCGCTTGAAATTTGACTCCGTATCTCTCAATACTACGGCTATGGAGTTGAAGTAGCTGGGAAGACCGATGACTCATCAGTCGTGTAATCAAGAACGGCAGTGAGGCTTCCGATGACTTGTCTGTTCCGTTAGCACGACATATACACCCCCGCTTTCTTTGGCCCGCTGCCAGTGAAGTAGCCAAGTGGGTTTTCAGGATGCTATGGAATATGAACGACCTCGCTATGTCCCATACCTGGCGGACGTGAGGATTATACCGACGCCCAAGGCTCAGAATTGAGGCTGAGCTCGGAGCCAACGACTAGGACGCTGCATCCTCATCACTATGTCACATGCCATACCACACGAAGATCGACTGTTTCCTTGAGTTTTTCACTCCTTGCATTGTAGTGCAGTTCCTGAACAGATAGCCTTTTTATAACAAGTGGATTGACGAAGCCTTCTGTCACCTCTTTGGCCCGTTCCTCGTGGACTCTGCCCATCTCTTCTCGAATTCACTTGGAAACCGTTAACGTTTTCGTTCTATAAAGAACTCGTGACTATCTCCTTCGAACTCATCATATCATAAAAAGCAGGCCCAAATTTTACTCCCACGGCCCCTCTTCCACAGGGGCGGAAATTGCGCGAGCTGTAGTCAGCCCATTCAGCTGCGTCACCCATTGGGTATTGAATTATGGGCATCAAACGTCGATTAAGGTTTGTGATCACGACGTTCCCTTTTACCCCTTCTGCAGTGATCAAATCCCCAGTATCTGTTTTTAATTCCATGATCATACTTGAAGTGTTCACCGTGTAATATGTGGGATCTTGATCAATGCCACCAGGTGGAGCGTCAAGAAATCCATGAGGCCCCCTGGATTGTAATTTCGGAGTCAGTGTTGCCTATTCGAAGGGTCGCATTGAGCCTTGGAACATGTCTACAGAGTAGAAACCTCCAAGACTTGTCTCAAAACTCGAGACTCAGTCCAAAGGAAGAAAAATGGCCTCCAAAATTACGTACCATCAAAAGATTCGTATTGAACGGGTGGGATTAGAATGGAAGGAGATGCCCTATTTAAAAAAAGCTTCTGGTCCCTGTGCAGGAATTCTCCGATGTAGAGCAGAAGCCGAACGCTAGAAACATGTTGTTCGTGCTCGATCAAGTAGTCCGCGAGCCGGCACATGACGGTTGGCATCAACTTGACTGCGGACAGTCCCCCTCCGACAGTCCCCCGTCCATACTAATGCAGCCTACCGGCTATACCCGCAGCCACCCGGCTTGGCATAGGCCTTGGCATAGTGGATATCTGACTGGTGGGTGCATTGTCGATATTTCTTTCATTCCACGGTATAAATATCCAAATAGGACGTTGCACCTTAATGAGTGAGGGAGGCCTTATGGTGTGGGTTTCTAGCGATAACTTTTACCACAATTCCAGGAAGGTTGTAGGATTGCAGCATCCTTGCTAGAAAAGACCTCGCCGTTGATAGGAGGACGCTTATGGGCAGCTGAGAAAGTAGCGAAAGTATATTTCTTTCTGTCTGTAACGGTCGTAGCATATTGGAGGGTGTTCATGATAAGTGAAAGAAGATGAGTGATACGAATAGTCTTGATAGTTGAACTTGGATAGGATGCGGAGGTATGGGAGAAATGTGGGTATTTCAGCTATCTATAAGGCTATTCGATATCGATCTTCTCGCCGAGTTTGGCGGTCTACTGACGATGATATTCTAGGAAGGAGGTGAGTAAGTGGCTTATTATTAATACTCTTACATATATTAGCGAGTTTTGGTGTATGTAGCTAATGATACGGCTTTGTTAGAATTTCAGGTATATAATGTATAGAACGGACGGATTAATTCTTTAAAACTCTTCGAGGCCAGGTTCTAAATATAGTATAAAATTAGATGGCTGGAAAATATGGTGGCTGGGATGCGCGGAGGCCAAAAACATGGTGGCTGGGATGCGCGGGGGCTACATTTCGATAGGTTTAGCAATAGATATTTGCGATATAGGCCCTACGTCTACTATTATTATACTGCCTTCGAGTTATTTATAACGAATCTCAAGTATCACGTCGTCGCCGTAAACGACTATTTCGAAGTCAATAAAGTGGGAGGATTTCATTCGAACTTGTAGTCTTAGCTTGACCTTATCGGCCTTGAGGTGGGTCTAAGTAGAAAACCCTGTCAAGACTTATTTTTTTGGTGTATCGCCCGATATATAATATTTATACTCTGCGTATATATGATTCTTAATAAAAATACGCATCTACGTAATATAGTCTTTTTTGAAATTTTTAAAAAAAGTCGAATAATATAGTTAAATAGGTCTTTATTAAATTAGAAGCTATGATATAGTAATTAAGAAGTAAGCTTTTAATTTCATTCTATTAAAAAACTTAGCTAACTTAATTATAGCAATAGCATTAATACTTAAGAATACTATATATCTTAATAAACGCGATACTATATAGAAATTTTCTTAAAGTATATATTCTCGAGGTAATCGCTATAGTACTCGCTAGATCGATAATATAGCGTATTAGAGAAAATGCTATAGTCTTACTAGTTAATTTATTACTTCGATTAAACGTCGTAGTCTCTCTCTATTTTTTAAATAGTCGACGATATGTATAAATAAATAAGTAAGTAAGTATATATATATGAAAGTAATTGCGGTTGAATTTGCGGAGAGTAGAGCGAAGAGCGAAGTGAAGATAATTTATTTTTTTAGTGTAAAGTTAGATATTGATAGTGACGATATCGATAAATAAGAATATCTCGTATAACGTCGGAGTCTCTTATAGGTATATGAAATATAGAAAAAAACGTCTTTAAATATAGAAAGGTCTGCGTTATCATTATGAATAAGCTAATTAAATATCGCTTAATATTTTTCTTTCTACTATCTAAAAACTAAATATATAACTTTTTTTCTTTACTCTAGAACTGGTTCGCTAAATATTTTAAAACTTCGTATTTATTAAAAGAAAGAATATTTCTATAAGCTATAAAGAGGTTAGTATATATAATTCGAAAATATCTCGCTATTATCGTCGAAGAGAAAATCGCGTATTTAAGCGTTTTTTATAGTCTTCTTATTCGCTTAAATTCGTTTTAAACGCATTAAGCGCGTTAAAATTATTTAAAATATATATTTTATACTTTCTTTAACTTCTAAGTAATATATCTTTAAGTTAATAAATATATATATAGAAGAGATAACTCTAGTACTCGATTTTTATTAGATATTAATACGATTAAACTTATAATTTAATTATTATACTCGATTTATTATATAATCTTTTAATAATATTAAATATAATATATTATCGTCTAGAATTTAATTATTAAAAAATAATCGACTAAAGATAAGTACTATAATTATTAGCGGAGAATATATATCTAAATAAGCTTATATAATAATAACGAGCTATTCGATTATAATAAAAAGTTTATATACTTATTTAGCGACCTCGAAAGATCTATTACTCTCTTAATTAATATTAAAAGACTATATGATAATGACTGGAAAATTGAAGGAAGTTGTAACTTCCCGTTAACGGGGTAATTATTATAGTGGGTTTACATAAATTAACGGTTAATGTAGCGATTCGGGGGTTTTCTACTTAGACTCTAAGAAAGGGATATATCGTAATGAGCCTGCGATATGATTAGTCTTTGAAGCGAGGCACGAGTGTAGAGCTGGTTATAGGTACCCCGGCTAGCCGTGAGTCTGAATTACTGAGACTACCGAACTTGAAGTTTCTTATAAGTGATGTATAGGGCTGGCGCGGCCTCTCACCTAAATTAGGTGGGGCCTAAAGCTTAGTGTGTAGATCGTACGCGGGAGGCTGCATTAGTATGGACGGGGGACTGTCGGAGGGGGACTGTCCGCAGTCAAGTTGGGTTGGCATGGCTACTAACACAGTCGCAGCGTAGGTTCGCAATGTCCAGGCTTGGTTCTCGAATGGGGCAACTCCAATTGACAAGTGAGAATTTGGGGTCGGGGCGTCTGTCAAGGCAAGATCGAGATCCAGAAAGCCCTTGTACAGATCCCCGCCATAAAGCAAGTTACCAAGACGGTCTCTGGCTGGAGGCCCGCACGAACGAGGCATGCAGCCCAGGACTGGGCTCCTTTATGAAGCTCTTCTCGCGTAACGTACGAGGGTTTGGGAACCGCAATTGTACCTCCCGTCCTGAACACAGCACCATTGGTCAATGGGGCGGTAATGACTTGGTTTCCAGGCGGTAGCCTGTCTTGGCTGCCCAAAAGCTTGCGTGATCCAGTACTGCAATTTCGTTGAGCTCAGACACAATATCGGAAGGTTAGCGTAGTGTTTACGATAGTATGGCCAGTTCTCGAGCGAACTTTACGAGCTCCTGTACAGAGCTTGTGCTTGTCAAAGTCATGGTTCGATGCACGCTCGATTGTGGCTCTCTTGAGGTGATCAACAAGACTCTGGAACGATGACCAGAGGTACTGTCTCAAGCAGTGTCCCTACGATTGGGAATTTGGTCTTCCATATATCAGAACGCCGCTCAACCGCGCGATTCACGGGTCCAATTAGCTAGTAGCCAATGCAGGCAGAGGACTCAAGCACTTCCTGCTGCTGGATCACAATCCTAGAGGCACACTCCTCGTGTATGGCGCAAGGTCGAATTTATGAAAGTAATTGAGACTAACGAAAGGTCTCCTTGAGGAGATGCTCGGTGTTTACCTGTCGATTAAATCCAATGATGGCCCCCCCGGAGAACCCCGCAGTGACACGTTCCTTGAGATTTTATCATCATAACATGATGCCTACTTATCAGAGCTTAACATGCCACATGGGTCGTATATCATGTGACCGCTGACGTTGCCCCCTAAGACCGAGCAATGCCATGTTCCTCAGACTAAGGTATCCTACGTATAAAGTATCTGCGCTAGGTGCTTAGCGTGCTTCGCGCCGAGGGGGCAAAGTAGTCAGAGAGCCATACAATGGAAACATCAATGAACTCGCTGTCTCACGCCCTGGCCGACTTGAGCATTGCTCCCCAGCCCGGACTCCCCCAACCCTTCCGCTTCTTTGACCTGCCATCCGAATTACGCTTCAAAATCCTAGGCTTCGTTCTCGTGACAGACCAAATCGTTGACCTCAACCCCAAAAACTATGGCGCCGCCCGTCACCGCATGAATGTCTTCCTCACCTCCCACCGCCTGCACGAAGAGTCCTACCCCGTCTATTACGGCGGCCACACCTTCCGTATCTTCCCCACCAATCACCGCTTCTTCGGGCATAAAGTACGACCTCTGGTTGCGAGATTACCGGCACGATATCGCGCAGCCTTGGTGTCTTTGGAATTGCGGCTGGGTCCAGGCTGGAGTAATCCGCCTCGGTCGTGGCGGGTGGACGACCGCCTGGGTCTGGAAGAAATGGAAGCAGTGCGGACTGTGAAGGTCTTTGTGGAGTGCGATCCGAGTCATGATATTTTCAACGGCTTTAGGATCGACAGGGACTTTTTTACGGGCTTCTCTGGGAGTCTTCTTGGAGATGTGCTGCAGTGTCTTCCGTCCGTCGTACGGGTTGAACTGGATGGGTGGCCGTCTGTGAAAAGAGAGGGCCCGCTTGTAAAGAGGTTGCTTGAAGTGACGAGAAATGCTGGAGTGAGGGTTCCAGAGGTTGGTGGGAAAGGAGAGGATGATGGGGATCAAGACTTCTCGATTTGTAGAGCACGGAGAAGACTCAATTACCCTAGAGAATTGGATTGACTGAAGATGATGCTATGCTATACACAATGGTCCAGGCGCCGTCGCTATCTATGATGTAAATCTGTGGCATTCAAAATGTGGATGTTGCCTCATAGTTCCTCGTCCACATCCATGCTTCCAGTCTGGTGCCCATCCTGATGGCCGTTCGCTCCGTTGGTCTTTGCTACGGAAGCTTCTTTGTCTATCATTTGCCTTGACACTGACACGATGTTGTCTTCGATCAGTTGTTGACCAACGTCTTCCAGATCTGTGAACGATTTAGCATGCAGGCACCATCGTCAACGAGGAAATCCAACGTACGCTTCTTCGGGTCAACCTTGCCGACATATCTCGTCTTCAATTGATCCTTCGTAAGCTCGGTCTCCTCCTTCACACGCTTCTCGTAGCCCTCCGCAAGCCCGACCAGCCTCTTCAGTTTGTCTTGGTTCTTTCCGCCCTCTTCCCGAAAGTCGTCCATCTGTAATGCTTCTGTCCAGACATGCTTGTGCAAGTTCATCAACATATTCTCCTCAAGACCTGTCTTTCTGTAATTGATACCTATGCTGTAGTAATGTCTATTCAGACCGTGGATGAGCGCTTGTATTGATGGCTTGTTCAAGTGACCGAGATTTGATGTCGTTTGTCGGGGCTCGTGGCCCATCATGAGGGTTTGGGGGTTGATTAATCGAAAAGCATCGATGACAACTTTGCCTTTGACTGATTGAATGGGATCGACAACCACTGCTACAGCACGCGGAGTAAGCTGCTCGAAAGACTGTTGCGTGTTGATGTCGACCGAAGATAGCCAGCAGCCAAATCCAGGATGTGAATGGTACCATCCCACGACAGTCTCTGGTCTGCATCCTGGTCAGCCCGGTAACTCTGAGAATATGCCAGAATCCACATGCCTGCCTGTCTGCCGTAGCATATCCATCATCTTAGTCTGAAATACAGGGTCCACAGCTTCAACGCTGACACCTGTACCACTCTGGGGCATAGCAAAGACGTCAACGACGCGCACAGTATAGTCATCCACGAATTCGCCCAACATCAACCCCATGACTTCCATGGGTACGCCGGCTCGGCCATGCCTTAACATTTTCAGGAGAGCTAAGGAGGATATGTAGACTGTCTCCGAATTATCGACGAGGTTGGAGTCCTTGACCGGCAACACAAGTCAGTACGTTGCTATCATAGCTTATACGCCCAAGGAGTACGTGAAGCAAGATGCTCGATGGTCCCCTCCGACTTGGGCTCACTTACGGCACCTGGAGGCGCTGAACTGCCACCCATCATACTCCCTCGCATCAAGCTGTTGAGGCGGTCCATCGCGAACTTCTTCTAAGATATAGATGAACGTTTCTGTGTGAAGAGATTTGGCGTAGTTTGCTCCTTTTTGAAGTTCGTGATGGAGTAGGTACTGTTGCGCGCTCAATCAGAGCTCCGCAAAATACGCTAGTAATGCTCTGCTAGTCCCAAAGGGAAATGACCAACCACCGACTTTCCGTCAGCCCTACCCTTAGTCTCATGCTCGCTTTCACTGCTGGACTTTCTTCCTCCTCCATGTTATAATTATCACAGCACTACAACGACTCCTTCTTGACACACCAAACTTGCGGCAAGGGAACTAGCAGCCATGACGTCTTTTGCCCCCGTGGACGTGCAGCTCACGGCGCCAACTGGTGCCGATAAGAAGACCGTTGCGTACTTCTACGATTCGGACGTGGGCAACTATGCCTATGTTGCGGGGCATCCCATGAAACCGCACCGAATTCGAATGGCTCACAGCCTGATTATGAACTATGGTCTATACAAAAAGATGGAGATCTATGTAAGTCTTAAACCGCTCTGCAATCTGCACATTCATTATATTCCCCTCTGTCTGTCAGAAATCTGCGGGGGCACTGCGCCGATCTTCCTTCTCCATCATGAGTGCCAGTGTGATTTCCACTATCTACAGGTTGCTGACATGTTTCACAGCGCGCCAAACCGGCTTCAAATCTCGAAATGACTCAATTCCACACGGATGAGTACGTCGAATTCCTTAAGAAAGTGACGCCAGATAATATGGAAGCATATCAAAAAGAGCAAGGCCGTTTCAACGTGGGAGACGACTGCCCAGTCTTTGACGGTCTCTTCGAGTTTTGCGGCATCAGCGCAGGCGGCAGCATGGAGGGTGCTGCAAGGTTGAATCGCGGCAAATGCGATGTTGCGGTCAACTGGGCAGGCGGACTCCATCACGCAAAGAAGAGCGAAGCCAGTGGCTTCTGCTATATAAATGGTATGAAGTTACGTCCTCATGGACTGGGCCCAACGCTGACTTCTGTAACTCAGACATCGTTCTTGGTATTCTTGAACTTCTCCGCTACAACCAGCGCGTACTTTACATCGATATCGACGTGCACCATGGTGACGGGGTTGAAGAAGCCTTCTACACGACGGATCGAGTCATGACCGTCTCATTCCACAAGTATGGTGAATACTTTCCCGGTACAGGCGAACTCCGAGACATTGGTGTCGGCCAAGGAAAGAACTACTCCGTCAATTTTCCTTTACGAGACGGTATCGACGATAAATCTTACAAAGCCATCTTCGAGCCTGTCATCAAGAATGTTATGGAGTATTACCGACCAGAGGCTATCGTGCTACAATGCGGGGGTGACAGTCTGTCAGGGGACCGTCTCGGGTGCTTCAACCTCAGCATGGCAGGGCACGCGAACTGCGTCAATTACGTGAAGAGTTTCAATCTCCCGGTTCTGGTTCTTGGTGGAGGTGGTTACACAATGAGAAATGTCTCCCGTACGTGGGCCTATGAGACAGGTCTCCTTGTGGGGCAGAAGATGGGGCCTGAGTTGCCGTACAATGACTATTACGAGGTAAACAATCGAGACTATGGACTTTTTGATCTTCTACTGATCGCCACCTTAGTATTATGCACCTGATTACGAACTGGACGTCAAGCCGTCGAACATGGACAATGCCAACTCCATGGAATACCTCCAGAAGATCAAAGTTCAGGTCATCGAGAATCTCAAACGCACCACCTTCGCACCTTCGGTTCAAATGACCGACGTGCCACGTGATCCGGAGGGTATGAATGATGAAGCTGACGCTGAGCTTGACGATCTCGACGAGGATGAGAATCCCGACTCCAGATACACCAAACGCCGATGGGATAAATACATCGAGAAGGACGGCGAGCTCAGCGATAGCGAAGATGAAGACGAGAATGAAGCCAACGGCGTCCGAAGACAGCCCAATGCAACTAAAAGACGGCGAAATATGATGGACTACCAAAATCCGATGGCCGCAGCTGATGACAAGGACATCAGCGGCGTCGTTTCTGCACGAAGTGGTCGCAGTCGCATCGGCAGTGCGAATGGAGTGGGCTCACATACCGCATCAGATGCAGAAGGACCTCGTAGTGATGAGAGCGAAGCCGAAACTTTCGATGGACCACGGGAAGATTCTCTGTCCTCAGGCGACCGGGAAGAAGACGAAGACATCGATATGGTTGATGAGCCAATAGCCAATGGGACTGGGCCAGCAGCAGGACCACAAGAAGCGACTCCTCCAGACTCACCGCCACCCGTCGCTGCCAATCCTACTGTACCGGCGCATGTAGTTGACGACACAGGCAACGACGCAATGGATGAAGGTGATACCCTCGACGACCCCGAGTTTGCGAAGGAAGAAGGCCACGATGAGCGCGAGAAGGAGGATGTCACGGCTGAAAAGGCAACAGAGGTCGTGGAGCGCTCGGAGCAGTGATGAAATCAATCATCCTAGGCATTGCGCATGGAGTTAGGTGGTTTAGAGCATCAGCGGGCTTGGCGCATGGAGTGGGGACGACAGATGTATGCATCTATGATACCACATGTTGTTTTGAATCCGTCTCTGAGCGAGAGAGAAGCATGTCCGTAGCTCTAGATTTGGGAGTTCACTGGGAACGGATCTAGCTCATGTTCTTTGTACATAAAACAATTTTTCAACTTCTGGGTCACTGATACTGATCTGAACTTGTCTAACTCAACAGTCGCCAAGCATAATCCGAATACCTCGTACGAGGAAGAGTATCAAAAATCGTTGCCTCAAAACGGTAACATGAGCAAAGAAGATAAAAGAAACAATAAAAAGAGTGCGTGTTCCCATTGTCTTTGAAGCATCGGGCTCCTGATCGGGATTCAAGAGATGCGCCAGTGAGGAGCAGATCTGGATTGACACAGGTGAGGAGAGCATGACAACTCCGTTGCTTCAACAAACTTCGACATTGCCGACATTCTTGACCAACACCAACGATAAATTACTGCAACCTTCTGTTTGCAATGCTGCGGCATCTCGGGAAGGGGAACTTGAGAGCGATGTCGTGATATAGGCATCAAGCCCAGACTACTTGGCATTGGAAAGCATTTGGGTCTCTGGAAGTCTGGGTCTGGGAAACGCCTTCATGCCCAAATGGACCGGTAACCAGCCAGGAATCGATTTGAACCGCCAATCTCAAGCAAACAGAGCGGAGTCTGATCGAGTTCAAATCTTACAGTCGATGACAACCGTTTGGGGCCTAGAACAGGAAATGTGTGGGTTCTCAACGTAGAGGTACTAGAAAAGACAATGTCTGTTGGGGTGAGGCCACCTGAATGTGTCAAAACCTGCAAGAGGTCGTGATGAAGAGCGGTAAATGAAACGGAACGTTGTGAAGTTGTCGCTGAATTGTTTACGATAGTGGATTCAGAGCCAGTCCAGCAGTCGGGGTTTACCGTAGAAGCATGGCTTTTGCACCGGAATGGTACGCTGGGGAAGTGTAGATATTAAATCCAGCAACGGTAAGATTGATTTATCAGAAACACCACAATTCCGCACACGCATACAACTACCACATCGTCTCATTGCACGCCTACCTTCCGCTGTGTCACAAAACGTCATTCGCCGCTTTGCTCTAGCAGATTCTGATCCTCAGTGTTGTCTATCTAGAGCACCGTAAAGCTCGCCCACGACAGGCGCCGTCACCTCGAAACTAGTGAAACAGCAATGTCCGACGCCGTCCTTCGTGCTTACTACACCCCATATCAAGGGTTTATCGGCGGCGTCATCGTCCTCAGTCGGGTGACACGCAGCACTGATGGCGGCACTGCAACTGCCGGCAAGTGGGATCCCGGGTTTGTATCTTCTGAAGCCGACCATAATTCCGAGGAGGACGACAATGGCGCCGAGTATGATGCCATTGATGATGGCTATGCATGAGTAGCCGACTGTTGAGTAGGAGGCACCGTTGTCTTCTTGACCGCCGTCATCAAAAAAAGCCACTCGCGCCAGAAACAGGCTTTGTGTGACTAGCCAATGCAGCGTATCAGAGATGACTTCAAGGGGTACACCATATCTGTATGGTAGCTGCAAACGGTATGTGGAACGTTGGAGGCCGCTGGGACTCGTCACGCGAAGAGGTTTGCGATTGTGGGCATATTGATTCCATTCGTTGGCGAGAAGCATACAAGTGAAGAGGCTGTTGTATGCGACCAACGAGAAAGGCAACAGCAATTGAGGGGAGTTAGCGACAAGATTTGTGTAGAGAAGTTCACTTGAACCGGGAAAGCTCCCTGAGGACATCATTATTGATTCTAAGGTGACAGTGCCATAACCCATCTGCCATGGATAAGACAAGCTTGGCACACTTGGCAGCATTGGGCTGGGCCAATTTAAATGCCAGAGCTTCAGTCCGAGCAAACAGCTGGCACTTATAAGGAAACAGATGCAACTGAAGAAAGGTGAGCGGACAGATCATCAAAAGAGGGTTGCAAGGTATGGGTGTTGAAAGGGAAGGAGAAAACGCGCGAAGAACCTTCTATCACTCACAGAACGTTGCAGGTCAGCCATCGCTTCCAGCTGGCACTTGATAGTCACTGATGCCGCAGACCCTTCCACTTCATCGGGGCGTTTCCCCACTTCTTTCCTAAAAACCCCCTTTTCCCTGCCAAGCACACGGCTTCTGTAGCAGGGTCCGCCCTTCGCAAAAATGATTCCAACGCGTCACCGAGTGTCACCAAAGGCTGACATCTCTGGAGCCGCAGTGTCAAGAGCATGCATAAGGTCTTGGCTAAGTTGCAGCATATGACGATACCCATGATGATTATGCTGAATTGGACCTGACAGCGCTCTTCAGTGGGCTTGCTGAAGCAGTATTGAACGTGGTACGTATATCCCTCATAACCAGAGACTACCCAGCTTGCTGCATGCTGCAGGAGGCAATTGAAATTTCTCTCGTTTTGCTGATAGGGATTGTGGATCCATTAATATTGCACTCCATAACGGAAAAAGGAATTTGAAACGAATCTAATTGGCACGCTAGCGTTGATATCGAGGGATATAACTAGCAGGTCTCTATGAGCCGACACGAACGTCTGGGTGTATGCTTTGCTACACGCTTCATTGTCCAACTTTCCCCGGTTCAGTGCGTTTCAGAAATCCTGTAGAGTATAGTTGGGAGGCTCCATGCTGTCTTTGTTCACGGGAATAGACCAATTGTGAACAGTACTATTGATCAACTCCGGTGAAGCTGCAAACACTGCGTATTCTTGCGAGACCAAAGTCGAGAAAACGGCGCTGTTGTACAATAGATGAAGTGGTATAGCGGGAATTGCAAGGACAAGCCAGAGGAGAGTCCTTTGTCGAGAGCTCCTTGTCAGATTCGTACACTAGGGACGCCAATACGAAGCCATACTTGCTGAGCGTGCGCTTTGTCAATTTCCTTGCGAGTAGGCGAAGCAAGGCATTGCATGCAGTAACTGCTTGCACTTAATTGCTTCAGACATTTGTGGCCACATAAGCCATAAACTTAGCTCTTTGGTCCTTTCGGCAACTTCCTGTTTGAAGAGTTACAAGTCCCCCAGCCACAGGGTATTTGCTGTATGCAACCGCAGTCAACACAACGTTGACTATCAATACAGTCCCTGCGGTCGTGGCGCAAAGGGTGACTCCCATACGCCAGCCCTGAAAGTATCTTGGTTTCCGGTGCTCTTCCTCGCGAAAGTCGCCAAATGAACCGTCATTGACTGCATCAGCCTTAAGATAAGCTAAAAACGTTCTCCATTGGACCAGCGCCATTAGGAATCGAAGCTAATACTAGTAATATAGCATCACCGCAACACCTTAGGATCGGCCAATCTAATCAAGGGTGTACTGCAAGACTGAAGTGAAACAGCACCAGGATCCAGCACTGGCGGACTTAGCCTGGACAAGAATGTGAAAGTTACGCCGAGGCTCAAACGGAATGACTTACATGCTGAAGTCTATCACTTCATGGTCATCTGCCACTGACTCGTCAGCAATATTGTTGTAGGCGCGAGAGTTGCCCTGGAGCCACCGAGGGTGCCTCGCGCCTGGAAGAGTCGACATCTTGGCTACAAGAAAGTTAACGCGGACTAGCCTCCCAAAGACTGGGAAACGTCGCGTTAAGGATTCAACTGCACAGGGACGCTAGCTTTACACGCCCCAACATCCTTTGTTTTCGTTGCGCATGACTCGTGCAACTTGGGTACAGCCTCCTATGGAGCAATTGCCAAACCTAGATGTGATACGATCTTCACGGGTAGCCACATTCGTAATGGTGTCCTGACAGAATGCGACAGCCATTCGGGCTGAACAGAACTCTCGCAGCTTGGTCAAAGACAACCGATCGCGGCCAGCATACACTGCTTCTAAGCTGCGGGCACGCGATCTTCGGAGAAACCCATTGTTCTATCATCGACATCGTGGTAAGAGGAGAGCCGCGCTGGAAATATCGAGATTGCCTTATGTCTGAAAGACTCAACATCGCCGTTGCCAACAGTCGAAGGAAGAAGTCGAAGACTAGGCACCATAGAACTGGAAAAGGTAGCCTTAAAAGACTCGACGGAGTGTAGCTGCTGGTTGTACACCCCTCCCAAATTCTCTATTCCCGTCATACATGACTTATCCAACGTAGGCACAGCCTCACATGCAGCATTTTCACATATTTCGAAGGCGTATGCTCTTCAAGGGTAGCACATTATTAGTGAAATCCCAACAGTGCTGTTATAGCAGTCATTCAGGCCGGACAGAGTCTCAAAAGCTCGGTCCGAGACAGATTCCGATCGATTGTTTGATGATCTGTCACACGCATGAAAATCCAGGAGGATTGCCGCTTGTGCGAGCTCCCTGTATTCTGACAAGCCCAACTGTCGCGAGCGTCGGAGAAAACGGAGTATCTGAATAACTGATGACTATACTGTGGAAGTGTGGGGTAGGAAAATTGTTTGTGTTAGTCTAAGAGTACTACGGAGGAAAGTGTGACAATGTAGCCCGACGACGTCACATGACCCTTGGCGCCCTGGCGCCCTGTATTTCAGATAGCTGGAAGTCTCGGCTTGATAACGATGAATCATGCCAAATTGAGAGTGATCAACGTTCAATACCGCCTTGATCCCGACAGTCTGTCTGAAGCGTGAGCCCGGCAAGGTAAGTGAACGAAGGTTGAAAACCAACTGCAAATGTTCTCGCGTATCTAAGCTAGAACCATTTGTAGAGATCTCACCCGACAAGTCTTTTGTCATTAAAAGTTCGAAGTCTCTCATCCGGTGCTTCTCCTTCTCTTTTTGTGGGCGGCTGTTGCGAGATCACATATTCTCTTTAACACGACTTCTCCATCTCGAACATGGCTTCTGTCAAACCTGATGGCTAGGTCGACTTGTAGGCTCCGAAGCTTCTCAAGCTGTTCTCTGCGAGTTATGAGGTTGTCTTTTCTCTCTTCCCTGATCGTCTTGGCTTTGTGGATGAATTCCGAGATAGCTGAGGTGGTCTCGGCGAAACCTCTCGGGTCCAAGTCATTAAGAACAGTTGCCAAAGCATCCGCTGCCGTAGATGCTAGAATATGGACTGGTCGGCAGTAGCGAGAAGAGTATATACAACGCTGGATCTCCTTCTGCTCCCTTTTATGGGTCATTTCAGTCTTCGTCATAAGTGGCGGTGTTTGAGATCCATATAGATATGCTTGCTTCTTCCTTCTGTTCGCGAAGTTGTAGACTCGAGTTGCTATTCCCTGCTATAACCTGTGAAAGTGTTGATCATCGGCAAGAAAGGCATTGACTAACCAAGGATACATCGGTTTTTATTGACGGCCCTTTGTCGTCATGTAAAGCATCTAGATCTATGTCATCCGTCTTTACGCGGGTTAGCTTCCTACTATAGCGAAAGACAAGATCAAACGGATCTATGATCTACCACGCCGATAATGAGAATAGTGACTCACATGTATGGTTTGATTAGGCAACATGGAGCCTGCTCCTGAAGCAGTGGAGGCCGGGGGGAAAGGCTTACTTATATGCTCAGAGGACGCAGCTTCTTCCGAAAGTCCTTTTGAACGATCGTTTTGAAGTCTCCACGAAGTATCTGAACCTCCACACCATTTTTCTCATACACAATGGGCCCTCGGTCATCTTTATCGATTCGCAAGGAGCGCATACAATCAGAGCTATGTCGTCTTTCCTCAGAAGTTCTCTCGCAAGGACCTCTGTGTCTGTCGTATTCTGCGAGGCTGTGGCCGTGCAAGATCTCGTATTTTCTGAAATAAGCCACCGAGCTTTCATTTAATGGATAAGCTTCTATATTATTTTCTAGGTGTGGCTTTCGCTCTTTGTCGTCATCAAAAAGTTCTTGCAAACATAATACAATGTCAGATCTGATACCTAAACAATTAGACCTAAAAAAGAACCCACCATCATAGTGTCATTTGTTCGCACGTCACTATTTAGCACAGACATAGTGTGGAAAACTTTAGCAAACCGAATAGACCAATGAAGAACGAAATCAGCTGGTTCGATGATCTCACATGGTGGACCCCATCAATTCGGTTCCATATCAGTGTCAATTCATTTGACACTACCGACCAAAAGAGTTACGTTATGTTGGCAAGTTTTACTGCTCATCGAAACTTGTCTGATCTGGCAGTGATAGAGGAAGTTTAATCTAAGGGTCGTTACCGTTCAACCTCCAGTGCTATAGTATCGGACCTCTTGAGGTAGGTACGAAAATTCCGAGTCTCGATCTTTCTGCCTACCCATTGACTCAAGACTCTGCCGGCTGCCCGGAAAGCTACTTCTTTGAGACCCTTAAGAAACCAGAGAAGCCAAGGAGCCAGGTCAGGCCTTTATGCTCCGGTCGACCGCTTTCGATTTGCCCTTGCCCAGGACAAAGTCAGTGCTAGCCTAGGGCCCTTCTTGATCACGAAGCCCATGCAATCTCTAAATGATCACCATGGACCTCTTGTTGACGCGTACACGGAAAATCCGACCACTACTGGGGCATTGGGTCCCAAGCTGGGGCTAAGACAGGTATAATTCTGAAGTAGCTTCGAGCGCTTTGTCTGGGCACACCTTCAGACGGGGCGTTATCCGAGATCTTGGCGCAGAAGGTCTTGGCATGTGCCAGATTTCGAGTGCAGATCTCTGATTGGCCAGGAAACTACCTCGGCTGCTGCTGTGCAAACGTCTCTCGTTCGCTTACCCTTTTGTCTCACTTCTTCTCCAACAACGTTCCTCTCGCTTTGCTTGTCATCATTGTTCTAACATTAAAATGAGCAGTATGTCTGGAGAAAGCAAGAATATGCCACCTAGTTGGCACACCACCGACGTCTCCTGGTACAGAAAGGACCTTCCAGAGATCAACGAGTCGGCACGAAAGATTTTGGAGCAGTATAGTGGGATCAGTCCTGATGGCATCACATCGCATCTCCATGAAGTGGTATGCTCACTACGAGAGACCTAACGCTTCTCTGTGGTTGACGGAGAACCTCAGCGAACACAAGCTTGGAACATCTTTCCCTATCCCTCAATCGGGAACTGGCATTTCCTCCACCTCGGCATCCTGCAGCAACCTCGCTACCCCGAGATCCTCGAACGCTTGCAGCAGGGTCAGAAACTCCTCGACGTGGGATGCGGATTCGCGCAAGATCTCCGCCAGCTCGTGTTCGACGGCGCACCGGCGGAGAACGTCTACGGCATCGAAATCGAAAAGCCGTTCGTCGACTTGGGATATGACCTCTTCCTCGACAGGGCGAAGATCCCATCTGCGAATTTCCTCGCGGCTGATATCTTCAAGTCGGATTCAGCGGCCAAGAACCTGTTTGGCAGCATCGACATCATCTACGCCTCGCAATTCTTCCACCTCTGGGGCTGGAACAACCAAGTCGAAGCAGGGAAGGCCGTAACAAAGCTGTTGAATCCAGCGCGCAGGTCTCTGATAGTCGGCTATCAAATCGGCGCCATTGTCCCCAAAGAACATCAACATTCGCCTACGAAGGAGGGGAAGATGTATTTGCACGATCGGACCTCGTTGCAGAAGCTGTGGGGTGAGGTTGGAGAAGCTACGGGGACGAAATGGATGGTTGAGGCGTGGCTGGACGAGGCGGAGATCTTCAGCAGTTATGTGAAATTAGATAAGGATGTGCGGAGGATTTCGTTTGCTATTGAACGGATGGAATAGATTAGACCTTGGGAAGGGATGGTTATGAAGAGGGATGCCTTCACGTACTGCCTCGTCCTGCTGATAACCACTCTTACGGCCCGGAATTGGTTATGGGCAGCCAATAGTCCTGGTAAATCACAGCAACCTCTTCGTTCATGAACTCACAGTAGGGAGGCTCGCCCCGGTGCCCCATTGTCGGTACTCCGAGAGAGATGAGTCGTTACGGTCTTGCCTTGGTCAAGTCAATGTCAACGAACAGATCTAGCCCCCAAAGGACTTTGTGCAAGTCGTACTGCCAAGTCCTCGCGCTCTCTGCGGCCGATCCCGTTGGGATTTGGATCAGAACTCTTGAGAGTGGAAATTGGTATATGCGTGTATTGGTTAAAGTACACATTTTCACATATCCAAGCTATGGAGATGTCTCGTTCAAGAATAGTATGGTTAGACTGGGTACACTACGGCCAGAATTCATAGTCCATGTCATGGAGTATACACATCCCCCGTTCTAATACTCCCCGACCGATTTAATCCTCAAACCCACATTTCCGGAAGAAACACACGACGTGAGTTCGTTTTTCCAATCCCCACCGTTGAGGTAGTGGCGAATTGCCGCAAGCATCTACATTGCATACCATCGAAGCAAATTGTCACCACCCGCCTGCATCCTCCCGCGGCTCGGGCACCGTGCTGCAGACTCGCCTTCTGCGATCCCACCGAGCGAAGCCAGCAGAGTATATCCTGCGCAACAGATATGTAGTCGGGAGGACTGATGTGTTACAGTTTGATGTACTCTCTTGCTGCTATTAGCTGAGGACAGATTTACGAGAAGGCTTACTAAAGCACTCAGGACATCATCGTCGACGTCTGGATCTAGGGAAGCGGGGAAAGTTCGCCGTGGTTGACGGACTGGGATTTTCTAAGCAATATCGGCGCCGTCAAGTTGCGTGTGTGTGGGCTTGGAGGAGTAGGTATGGCGTTGACAGTTCTCGAGATTATGGCCCTCGACGCGATGATCCGATGTCAGCTAAGGGGGTCGGCAATGTGTCGCATAAAAGGGAATGGAGCCCAAATAACACGAATCAGCGAGACGATTGCCGGGAAGAAGGATTGTTGTCGGAATACAACAAGAAACATTTTGAATTCGGTATTGCAAGCTAAGTACAACAGCCGTCGACCGGAAGATTCCTCCTCACGCCAGTATACCAGGTATCAACCCCTCGGTAAACCGCCACAGCAGCGACGAATCATGCGTATGGAACGCCGCCCCGGTATACCACGTGTGCCGCTGCCCCTGCAACGCGTACAACTCCCGATAAAACCCACCCCGGATCGCCTCCTCCGACACCGTCAGCTCGAACGGCGTGTGGCTCGCATACGCCGCGAATTCCGGCGCCGTCGCGTTCAGAGTCCCGGCGGTGCGCAACCGGAGCACGCTCTCCACGATGAGTGCCTGGACCTGGGCGTCGGGAAGTGCGAACGCGGAGCCGACTTTGACGTCGTAGAGGCCGGAGACGCGGCTTGGGTAGATGCTGTAGAGCCCCGGGAGGGAGGGGAGGTTGTAGGGTGTGCTGGGGCCGATGTTGGTGAGGGTGGTGTTGGAGGGGATGTTGGTGTTGCGGAGGAGGGCGGTGTAGTAGGCGCTGTTGAGGAATTGGGCGAATAGGGAGCTTTCGTTCGTGGAGAGGTCGAAGCCTTTCAGGTTGTCTGGTTTGGGCGGGATGGTGATGAGGAGCTTTTTTGCGAGGATCAGTTTCACACCCTGAGGTGTCTGCACTAGGACTTTCACGCCGTCGTCGCCGCTTCGGTCTGTTGCGATGACGTGGCTCTGCAGCAGGACGTCCGATCCGAGTTCTGCTCGTGCTTTTTCGTAGATCTCGCTGTTGTCTCGTCTTGCGGTGGTCAAGAAACCGGTTTGCAGAGCCTGCAAGACACCAATGCCGAAGTTCTTGAACACATACAATGTATACTGATCCAGCAAATTCCCAAGTCCTTGCGCAAAGCTGAATAGGAACCCCACGGCATTCTCGAGGTTGTATTTTTTTACGAAATCACCGAACGGAAGTAGCAGATCCGCAGGCACGGGATACGGGAGATCAAAACCGGCTTCCACATAAGGATATTTCTCCAACTGAGCACCGTACGCTGCCAAAGCGGCCGACGGATCTGGAGGAGCGTACCCAGCTACGATCTTCCCGGTGCTGAAATCCACATATTCAGTCACCTGACCAGGCACCGTGGACGGGGCCACCGTGAGCGGGATGTCGAATCTGGCGAAGTATTCCTTGACAACCTCGAGATTGTGGAAGTATACGACGCCATAGTCGACTGTTTCGTTGGTACTAGGGTCAGTATAGGTGTTTGTGTGGCCGCCCAGTCTGTCTTTGGCTTCGACGACGACGACGGTCTTGCCGGAGTCGGAAAGGCGGATAGCGCTGTAGGTACCCGTGGAGCCGCCGCCTATGATGCAGATGTCGCGGGTGATGACTGCGGAGGCGGGGTAGGCTGTCGTGTTTACTTTGGGAGGGGACGCGGTTATGAGGTGTGAAAAGGAGGCGACTAGGAGGAAGAGCTGGAAGAGGGCCATTGGTGATAGTTTGATATTTTTTGTGAGGGAATTATCCTTCTTAGCGCAAGTTGAGAATCTAAATTCTCGTTGGAGTCTTTTTTGCACGAAGATGTAGATGCTGCTTGAGAATCAACACAATATCCCTCTACTTTTCCAAGATGTTTCATAGATACGATCAAAGAGCGTTGCGCGCTTTAACTCTCACCTTCCGTGTCTGAAGACCTTGAATCGGCATCTTCCAGACGCACTAAGGCCTGTCACGGAACCCCGGCCGTCTCTGGGAATGCTCGATCCTTCCTTCCAATCGCAAGACGGATAATCTCAAACCCTCGACAAATATTTTCTAATTTTTTCTCGTTTCCGAGCGCATCCATCCATTCGGACTGACTGCCACTTTCGGGCTTATGATGGAGGATATGGCGTGCTTGGCGTGCATGAGAAGTGTTGGCAGGGTCCTTCCCCGCAATTCTAGAGCGTCTGTGCATGCAGGATGCATGATACATGCATAGTAAACGAATACGAGCATCCAATGATAAGTTTCAATCCAGGATATGACAGCAAGAAAGTACGAAACCCGCACAACCCTGGATCGAATTTGCTCTGGGGTGTTGTTATCAGGTAACTTTCCATCAACCCATATTGGAGGTACCTAGGTAGAGAGCATAGCCATCGAGCGAAAGCACTGCTCGTTACTCAGAGTCTACAGCACGAGAGGCAGTTCGGTCGTGCCGATCGAGTATTCCGCACCGGTGCTGTAAGGATCAATATCCTTTTTCCCTTGTCACGCGTCCCTGCTATCGAGGCCAATCATCCATCGTAAAATCGCGCATGTGTCATCCAATCGTTCTAGAGAAGTCGCCTCCCAGGAATTGCAGGGCCGTTCGCTGCAGTTCATGCTTCCGGCAGGCATGATGTTCGACCCTGTGTGTCTATCACACTTGGCGCGAAGAAGGCGAACGAGGGCGTGCCCACGGCGTGTGTGCTCATAGGGATTGGAATGCTCCTTACACGGGCTTCTGCCGCCCAGCTGCTGATGATTGGTGGATGGGGAGTTGGCTTCTTACACACACGCAAAGATGGAGGAGGCGAGAAGACCGGACATCGCCTGCTCCACTTCTGACACATCAATCTTCGGAGAATCTGCCCTTAACTTAGCTTCGAAGTGCTTGCCCTTTCACTAACGAGCAATGGCGCCGGTCTGCCTTCTTGTCAGCTTGCCACTCTCTCCAAGCCGATTCTGTGAAATTGCTCATCGATTCTGTCGTCGCACCAAGGCCTTCCATGTCCCTTCTCCCCCGACGTGACGCCACTGATTGTCGTCCTGGATTCCTCCTCGGTGGTGCATTGCACCATCGAAAAGAGGCACAGAGCAGGCCGGACGCCACGCCTTCGCGAGCTCTCTTGCCAAGTCCGCACCAAGATGAATAAACTTTTGAGCGGTCTCGAAGCCCAGTCCGAAGTTGGCGCTTGTAAGAAGAACATTGCGACCGTTGAACGAAGGCTGCGTACTTTGGAGACTCAAATTTCATCATGATGAGATCGAGCGCCATAGCCATAATGAGAGGTCTTTAGGCACGAAGGACTGTGCAAATTTGTTCTTCGGGTTTGACGATGTTGCAGTAAACGCCTTGACTAGGTAATGGAAAATGTTGACATACTGTTGGTTCTCACCTTTCTAGCGTGCTGCGAGCCTATACCATTCACTTTATGTACTGAAGGTAGTAAAAGGTCTATACCAATAGCTCCGTAACGCTCTAATCCATCTGTTATTGCTACTAACCATAAACCAACATAAGAAACCACAGGTGTAACAATCCCAAGCAACGATACGAGACGCGTGATTTGCGACAGTAGCCAGGCTCCGGCGAGTATATATACTTGGTCACCACGGAGACTTGCGGAGTCTAATCAGTGATCCTCGATATGATCGTAATCTACTATTCGTCAAGGTTTAAGCCACTGATCAGTCTCGGCACATTCGAGAATTCCGGAGCCTACTACTCTCCCAAGACGTGCGAGCTCAGACCTGAACCACGACCCGCGCTTGACATCCACATCTCCAAGGCTCGAAGCAATATTCAGAGGCCATATTATCAGACCAGCCAAATATGGCTTGATATCCTCGTTCGTGTTCAACCTGATCGAATCTTGATGAGAGGATGAGTTGGGACTGTCTGTGACCTTGAATCTTTGAAGACAGAAGGGTACGCCAGATGCTAGGTCATTGGTCATGATTTCAATATGGGAGAGACATTCCAAACGGTGCTCATAAGCGAAGTCGTCTAAACTCGGGCGACTGAGTTCAAGTGCCCTCAAGCGTGTACTATTGATAAGCATTCTCGTAGCGGAATATTGATTCCAGAGGGCTGCGTATGCAGGGGTTGAGTAGCTGTAGACTACTGGGGAATAGAAATCTCTCATGGGCCACGGATGAAGGTCTGACAGAGTGTGTCGTTGGTAACACCAGGGGCTTGGGAATTGGGTTGTCCAGTCTTGCAACGCGGTATCAATGTCTCGCGCCTCTCTATTGAGCTCCTCGGCAATTGAAATGAGCTCATGAGATGTGCGCTGTGGGCAAGTTGTCTCCTTGACAATCGTGGATAACCGCTGACGAACGTTGGCAATTCGTACAACGATGCTATCGTACTCAAGCCAAGCCATGCTCGCCGAACAACGTACTGGATTCATAGGAGCCTCCACGATGGATGGTGCTGCGTCTATACTAGGGATGCGGATTTGTCATATGACACGTGACGTCAGGTCAGACCTACTCGGTTATCTGACAGTCATATATAGCCAAATGACCGCACTGCAAAAGGCTTGTAGTAAGGTAAAGCGTGAGATTCGAGGTAAACGGTAGAATTCAGAGGTATTTAGGGTTGAAATCCAGTATCACTAGTGATATCTTACCGAGCTAGGGATTTATAACGCCAAGCCTCTATCTACTACGCCCGTCTTTGTTAGCCTTGTATCTTTCACGGTTAGACACCTACTGTATACGGTTAGCGCTGTCATCTGTCAGGTCAAACGTTTAACCGTCACATCACTGTCATAGGGGTCAAATGTCAGTCATTACGCATCCCTATTTCCGACCGCTTGCGTATGAGTTTTCGATGTTGAACCACGGAGCAAGCTTGTCCAACTCTCCTACCATAGCAAAACCACTGAGATTTCATACATCCATGACATACTGGCTAGGCCCCATCACACTGCGGCGAGGGGTTAGCTACCTCAGTGTAAGATTAAATGCCGCGAGTGGCTTGCCTTGAATCCGCCGGGTCTTGCATGTCTGGCATCCTGCACGTGGAAATGGTATGTCCCTTCACACAGGTTGAATCCAGTTTCGCCAGGATCAGCTCGCTAGAAGACTGAGTGAAGTCGATCTGGCGTATCGCATGATTTGGCGCTGATGGTGCCGTGTGCTGCTGTTTTGCTTGATACTCCTAAAAGAATCAAGATTCAGTCGACCGATGACATTTGAGAGTTTCTGTCTGACCATACTCATTGTTGAGTCATCATGCGATGTCTTGGCCCCACTAGATGATGAGATATTTTGTACTGAGATCGGTGATAATCCTGAACAGCGCTGGGATCCACTATAACCCTACCTACTTCCGGAAGGCGACCCTGCAGGGAGTGACTAGATACCTAGAGCTATCTCCTGAGATGTCCGGAGAGCGGATGGATAGGAACTTTCTATTGGGCCTGATAGGGGGGCATGAATCCCTAAATTGCGCGCCAATTGAACGCCCCCATGCAAAAGCGCAATGAGCATTCCAAGGCCCCATCATCAAGACGCGTCCCCCCAACTCCTGAACTGTAGATCTCAATCTCTCCCAGATCATCAACCACCACCGCCGCAGCCACCGCCACATCCTCCGCCCCCGCCTCCTCCACACCCCCCACCACTGCTCCCACCACATCCCCCGGCTGCACCCCCGGTTGCACCCCCAGCACAACCCCCAGATCCGCCTCCACCACAGGACCCAGCCGCGACACTACCTCCGCAAGCGCCCGCGCAACAGTTGCCAGGAGCGCCTGCCGTGAAATTCGCACATCCGGGATTCGCTGCATAAAGTCCACTGTTAACACATGGATCGCCCATGTACGGCGCATAGTAGGGCATGTATATCGGGTACCCATACGCCATTGCGGAATCAGGACCACTGTACTGATCTCTGGTGGGCGGCGTGCGGCCCTTCTTGCGGGCATGGTTGCAAGCTTTTTGATAGTCGCGCTCGAGTTTGGCTTTCACGTTGGCGTCACGTATGCCTCGGCTGACGTCCTTTTCCGCTTTGATTGCACTATGGGCGGATATGTGGGGGGATGTGTTGGGGTCTTTGTTCCCGGCGTGGAGGCGGTCGAGTTGAGACTCGATAGCCTTGTTGCCTCCAAATACGCGTTTGACCGAAGACGTGTGGGATTCTCGGATAGCTTCGCAGTACCAGCATGTGCACTCTGAGTAGAGCTCGTTGTAGGTTTTCTGATAGATTTTACTCGTCCATTCGAAAGCGTCAGACAAGATCGTTTCTTCGATCTTGTCGTCGTGGTCGATAAAGCGTTCGGTTTTGGCTACTGTGTAGGCGTAGTAGTAGGGTGGAGAAAGCTGGTGCGTGTGCCATGCCAGGTCAACGTCGAGAGTAGGGACCGCGGTGTGACTTGGGTGAGAGGCGATTATGTCAATGTAGCGAGTGTACTTCTGGATGAGACGAGCCATGGTGGAGGTGGCCGCTGGTGAGTGAATCCAGTCGATTGAGTGCATTTTCTCAATGAATGAACATTGACGGATGACAGCGCCGACGAGGTCGAGAGCAAAAGGAGAAGAATTGTCCCAGTAGCGAGACATCATGCGGCGAATCGCGATTTTCTCTGCGCGTTTAAGGACGTGGCTAGTGCTGCTATTTGTACTCTTGATGTAGGCCTTGTCTTTTAGAAAAGTTTCGATCTCTCTGCGAATGTCGGTCATCTTCTTGTTGGGGGGATTCCGAGGGAGAGTGAGTGCTTCTAGCTTGGTGTATAGTAATTTCCTGGGTCCGTCAATGAGACGATTCGGAAATAAAGAAGCAACGGACGCCTCTACAATGCCTGAAATTGCGTGAGTGCTTAAAGTAGATTCCTGCCCGAAAAAAGAGAATACACACCAGTTTCGTTCAAGATCGTGCCGGGCATTGGGACATCCAGATTACGCAGTGCCTGTATGTCTCTTCGGAACTTTTGAGTTCTGTGCATTTCGTGATCGATGACGATGCCGCATTGGCACTGGACTTCAAAGCTCTTATCTGCAACTCCTGCCGCGGTCAATTCTCCGTAGAGTTCGGCGTCTTTCCGTGAGCTTGTTCTTGTCCATGCACGTTGCGAATCCCATCTTGTCCGCGGCAGATACAGTTTTCGTCTGCAAAATGGACATTCGATAGTGGCATTGGGGTGATCATTTAGACTGTTCCATCTATAGCCTGTCGAATCCTCGAAGCTTTCCATCGCTGCCTGTGTTGCGCTGTATTCGAAGGTATTGTTATCGATGCAGGGGTCGATGACCGCCCATGGCAAGCCAGCTCTCCAAAATTTCATCTTTCCTTGACGGAGGCAGTCTTCGAGAAAATCTCTTGGGTTGAGCATGTATGCATGCCAAACCATGATCACATCTACTGAGATTAGTACATTTACATGGACCATATCTCTCCACAAGACTCACCAAGAGGAGGCAAATGGTCTTTGCTCCATTCCAACCGCTGACCAGCATCTGGGCTTTGACTGAAGACAATGGGGATCTTGCTCTGGCCAAGAAGCCTTTTGGTCTCGTCGTTGGTTTCAACGCATGTGGTCCACCATCGTTCGAATCGTTTGGAAGCCTTGTGAACGTAGACTTGCCAGCGCTTCTCGCGGATCTTTGTCAGTAGTTCGGCGCGTTCCCGGTCGGATTCGCCAGCATCGGCGAAAGCATCGTTAATGCCGAAACGACCATCTTCAAAGGCAACATCCTCACGAAGCTGATGAAAGGCTTCGAGGAGCTTGAGATGTGCGATACAGACGTCAGGGGTTGGTTTGGGGGAAGGGGTTAGGTTGAGATTGGAGAAGGCTGCAGTAATATCAGGCACCTCAGAGTGGTATTCGCCCTGTGTGTAGGCTGGAGGTGGGGGCGAATCGTTGGGTGGAGTGGGAAGGCCATTCTTCTCGGTTGCCGTCGCTTTTGAAGTGGGCATCGTTTGTATCTCGATTCTTTTTAATGCTCTTCGTGATTAGAGAGAAGATGTAGATATGCGCATACTCTTATGTGTGGTGGCTCCTAGAGGATATAGGTATACATTTATATTTGATGCGTCTTACAGCACGTAGGCTCGATTTGCGGCGGGCAGTGCTTCTGCTTTCTGCCTTGCAACGATAGCTATATAAAGTAGTCATTGCCCCCCCCTCCCTCGTCAAGTCTTTCTAGAAAGGGTTTAGCGGATGTAGCGGGCTCATCAACGGAGCCGGGATTTAGCGCCAGCTTTGCTATTTTAGGTGTAGCTTCCCTACGATGGAAGCTTTTTAGCCGGGTTCCAGATGCGCAGTTCCCGCTAAGCCTTCGGAAGGCTCACTGGCACATCATTGGGCAGTACCTTACTCTACCTTACCTTACCTATCAAATCATTCCCCCACTAAAGCTTCATGATGCTTAATGAGACCTCATAGGTGGCCACATAATCTTGATGGTTACCTACCTTAACCTATCCCTATGAATGACCATGAGTGAGATGGGGCTGTTTCGAGACTCGATGTTGTGACGAGGTAATCTTACAGCAGTCAAGATTGAAAGTCCCTTGAGCATCAGAAGTGGAGCTCAAGGTTGTTCAGTCGTCACTATTGCAGCCAAAACATCGTACAAGCTGGGATGAATGGTACTAGGTTGAGAGTGCTGCTGAATCCGAAAGCGGGGTTTGGAGAAAATTGCTGAGTATGCCGTTATTCCGGAGGAGGTGGTGAGTATATATCAGAGTGCCGAGAACGATGGGCGAAAGCGCGTAGCTGGTAAAGATGAAAGCGGAATGGAGGTCGAGAATGCGAAGACGCCAGGGCCACTGCCACTGCCGTAGATGGTTACGCATGTTTTCATCTCCGTTACCATGAAGCTGAAAGGATTGAAGGCGCTGGCATCGGGTCGCGGGATTCCCATCTACCTGACGCTGAGGCGTGAGTTGGATCTTGACCAGTGATGTGCTGTCGGCAGTCATTTGGACGGCTGTCACGGCAGCTTGGAAGCCAGAAATGCGAGGGCAAAAGATGAATGGAGGCGATGACGGACGCGACTGCGCGAGAGGATTGGGTAATGGTAAGAAGAATAAGTAATAAGAGATCCCATCTAAGGGCGGATCGTACAGGAAGGAAAAGGAATACTAATGATCCCACAAAAGAAAATCTCGCACCGAACAAAAAGTCTAGGCAAGCATTAGATCTCCGTCCCCTGCTCCGACACCAGCTGCCTTAACAGCAAAACGCATACGGCATCATCTGCAGCCGACCCACAACCAGCATCCCCACCCTCGCCTCCTCGCCCCCCACAAACCTCGCCCAAATCTCCCACCGCATCCGCGCAAACTCGACCGGGTAATCACCGCTCGGGGCTCCGTCCACGACATTGGTAGAGTGGGCGGGAGTCAGCGGATGATGTATCCAAGGCATGTTCTGACCTTGTCGATTTGGCTCTGGATATGGATCAGGGGAGAGGGGGACACGAGTGGGGAGGCGAGGTTGTGTGAGTGCGTCAGGATTCCGGAGGCGGTGTTTGAGGGTATTTGTATTGCTCTGCCGGCGGTTAGTACAGAGGCGTTCGGGAATAAGGCGGATGGGTTGGAAGTTGAGCGAGGAGCAGATGGGGAGGGGGAAGGGGATGGGTTGTTCAGTTTGCTGGGGTGGGGGGCCGGTGTGGAGGTGTAGCTAGACTTCAAGGTAAGGGCTGAGGTAGTTGAGTAAGTGAACTGCAGTAACGGAGAGTTTGTAATGTGTAAGATGCGCGCCCGTCAATGAATGCCAACGTTGCCGTCCTGGAAGCTGGCTCAGGCGGCTTCGTTATCAGGAGGTAAGCGTATTGGTGCTTCATCTGCTGCCTGTGGTTTTCTGCGACCGTAATATGGAATTCTCTTTCGAGTAGTGCATCAGCGCATACCTTACCAACAACAGCAGATTTTTTGGAAGTATGATCACCTATCTGATCCCTCCCCACCTCCAAATTCAAACATCAAGGAATCCTCCCACTCATCCCCTCCCTCCAACCTGCTCCATACCTCCTCAACCCTTCTACCGCCAACGTTCCCGTCACCAGCATCACGGTCCCCGCAGCAGTGAACAACCACCCATTACCCATGACGTCAATCAGCGGCTGCGCGATGGCAAAACCGACGCAGGCGAACAGGTTGCGACCCATGGAGTTGAGCGCGACGCCGGAGGCGGGTTTGTTGGGGAGGAGCTCGGTGACCATGGTGGTGACGAGACCGAAGAGTATCATGCTGGAGGCGCCGAAGAGGAAGCCAGCGATCATCTGGTGTGAGTTATTAGCTGGTCGTCAATGTGAGGCACAGGGGTAGAGGGGGGGAAAGGGGGACTCACGGGAACCCACCAAACGACACCCTGCTGCACCACCCATCCGTACCAAATCAACAATGAGGCAAACACCCCAACGCCCAGCCACGCATTCTCTCTTACCCTGTCTTCCGGCCTGTAGATCAAGCCCCCGCCTTCGCTCTCATTTCTGTACCTTCCCGCGTTCCTCGCTTCCCGCGCCATGATCGAATCGCTCCATTTGCCTCCATAAACACTTCCCAAAAGGCACCCGACGCCGATGGGTATGTAAATGCACCCTACGACTGTTGGCGATAACGAGTAAGGCGGACGCGAGAAGGTGGATTGGTAGGAAATGTTGAGCAGGCCGGTAGTACCAAAGGCTATGCTGGCGATGTAGATTGTAATTGTTATGGCGGGAAAGCGGAGGTATTCTAATGCGTGGAAGGGTCCGATCAGAATGTCGCCGACAACGCCTCGATTGAAGCGTGTTGTTGGAGGAGCAGGCTCATTTTCAGTAGTCTGTGAGTTGCTGCGAGATCTTTCGAGTCGGACGGTAATGATTGTCTGCCTGGGCGAGGTTTCGGGCAGATTGAAAATGATAAGGACCAAGACGACGCCTCCGTAGATTGCCAAAAACCACTGCGTGGCCCTCCATCCCCACGTTTCTGTCAGTATTCCACCGAGCAGCGGGCCCAGCACCAAGCCCACACCCAGGTTTCCCATATAATAGATACCCATTGCAGCACCGCGTTCCTTGGGCTCCCACATATCTGCAACAGTACCCGCACCCACTGATTGGAAGGATGAGGCAGCGCTAGCACTCAAAAACCGCATGGCGAGAAGCATGCCGATATTTTTTGAAATTGCGGCTAGTACACTCCACAGCACAAAAAGAAAAAAGGAGACAATGTAAACTGTGCGCCGGCCTAAGTGCTCTGAAAAGGGAGACCACCAGAGGGGGCAGAACGCTATGCCAATTTTGGAGAGGGAAAGGGTCAAGTCTGCTAGGTTGAGACTGGTGTGGAGGTCCGATGCTGTATCTTGCAATGAAGCTAAAGTATGATGTATACATTAGTCAAGAGATAGCCGTGCAGTTTGCTTGTTGATATTGGTGAGCTAAGCACTTACGGTAGAAGATGTTTTCGCCCTGGAGGTAGGTTAGTATTCCATGTTCTCCTTGGAGGCAAAAGGCGTTTAGAATATTACAGTGGTAATGACTGCAGCTCCTGCTGACACGGTGAAGGTGATGAGCCATTTGATGCTTCTGCTGTACTCTTTCGAATTTTCCAATTCAGAAATCAGCGTTAATTGACTCAGAAGTCCACGTCTTTTGGCTTTTGGAACGATCGTGGGGGTCATCGATGTCGAGGTCTCTGATGCGGGTGATTTGAGCCCACGATTAGGAGTAGAAGCCTTGCTTTGTGACGTCAAAGGGGTGGAATGCATATTATTCATCTCGCTGATGGATGCATTAGGTAGAACTTCATCTTTGAATGTTGTGTCCATATCGTGTCGGATATTTATGGCGGCCACTTGGACACGAAACTCGCCGAGACAGCCGTAAATATCTAACAGATCTATGCGCAGAAGGTTCTCACCGACCCTGGTTCTAATCTTTTGGGATCTATCCGTAGGCGGAAAGTCTTAATTATATAGAAAATTGGATTAAGGATCGCTAGTAAGGAACCTTTCCATGTCGCTTGCAGTCAGATATCGAATACTGTTCAGTGCGTGTAGATCCGCTCGGGACACGGGCTGAACGGATTGGCCGTGCGGTGTCCATCACTTCTGAATCTCATGACGGATATTAGGGAAGACTGACAGGTACATCGCGCAAACAATACCGTAGGGTAGTGGCCAGCTAAAGCACGAGAGAATCTCAATTGCGCGTTGGCCGTTGAGATTGAGTTTCTCATCTATCTTGCGACGTCGATCGAAAAGTATAGTCGTTTGAAATATTTCCCTTTCCAGTAAGGACCCAATTTGTGAACTTCGAGAACGCTGGCAAAACGGAAGTCAAACCACCTCCCCTGCCAATGTGGGGAGATGGAAATCGTTGAGCTAACCAGTCTTGCGCACCAACCAGACGGAATTACCGAAATGCTGGAGCACTGAAACCCACAAGTTGCATATTGAACAAGCATGCAGGATAATTTGACATGCAGTTTCCCCGCAATATGCCCGTCACAACGCACAGACTTGTTAGTTTTGCACCCAGACGAAATTTGAATCAGTTTCGACATGATACTTAGGTATTCGAGTGCGTTGGCAAAAACATAGCCTTGAGAGTGGTACAAGGTATGGAGCGATGCACAGCAGCCTGTGAGATACTGGAGAACTTGAATGGACAGCGTCTAGAGGAGGCACTTGCGCAACGACCGCCAGGTTTGTGGGGAACGCCGCACCGCCATCCGCATGCAGAGACGTTGAGGTTTAATGAACCCCACAGATGTGCAGTTGACAGATGCGCAAGCGGTGCGGATCGGACAACAGATGGGAGATAACAGCATCTGAAAGGGGCGCGATCGACCTTTTCTTTAGCCAAAGACTTGCAGCATACGTATCAATGCCTAACTGGATGCGTAACACATCACCGAAAAAAGCAATCTTCTTGCATGCAAAAGATTCAAACCACTAACCGTCGAGAATTAGGCAAGACTTTCCTGTGTAGGAGAGAGTGTGATGGGATTGATATGCACGCATGAGTGCAAGTCGGCGCTATTGCATGTCCAGATCCTGGCGCTACGCTTAGGCACCAGCAAGCGCCGACGGTCAGGTACACAGCGAAAAGGGAGCAGGACCTCATACCAGTGTATGCAATTCTTTGGAGCGCTCTGAACCTGGTCGAGCCACCTCGTTTACAGGTTGTTCTCTGTTTGGAAGCTCTGCTACCCTCTGAGCATCCTACGAAAGAAGCTGACGTCGGACCCAATTTTCCCAAGTGCATGATGATAGTAAGTAACTCAGTACTTCAACGGCTGATCAGGGGCCCCTTCGTTCGTACTGGGTCCCGATATTGTGGGGCATGACCTCGACATGTGCTTCGTTCCCGAGAATAAGGAAATATATTGACGAAGTTCATGCCATACAAGTAAGGAGCCCAGCAACCCGAAAACCTTGCATTGCTTTCGTTACCAAGGGCTCGACACGTCAAATCCCCGGTTCTGAGGTTGAATGGCTCTGTATTCCAGTTTGGTACCGGTTCTTTCGGCAGTTATAGCAAAGGGCAGATGACACTCATCTACCAGCTCCGTTGCTACATAGCCGAGCCCAAACCAAGGCTTCAGGCTCTTTGTGAACGGATACTCTAGCGCGAAGACTAATGCACAAGTCCATAGCATGAAATAGCTCGAACGAATCGGAACCCGGACTAGCACTCTCAGTGTGGAATGTACCGAGCCGCCTGAGATGTTAATGGGGTATGGGTTCGTAGATGGCCCTAGTGCTCTCGTAGCGTCGGTAGCTGGGTGAGGACATCAAGCCTTTGGCAAATTCGGAGTCGGGGTCGGAGGATGACGGAAGGAAGAGGGACTTACGATCTATTATTTTGTCAAAGATGATCAGTGCTGGGTCAATGTGAAGAAGAAGAGAAAAATAACAATAGACCAGTGGTGAACATACGCTAGGACGCATTCTTGTGGTTCGGACTCGCACGGTGTCTGAGCGAGTCATATTGGCTCCTTTGAGTGCTATCACAACAATGAGCTGCCAGCTCCACGTAGACGAAAAGTCAGCAGAATGCTGAAACATACGGCAACAGACTTCACGTTTCCGGCCCGAGTTGACTGAGAATTTATGACGCTGGTTCATGAATGCTGATGAGCGAGGCGATGAGTCTGCGAGAGCAATTGCTGACCAACCATTATTGCCAGGGTCCTTCCCCTGTTGTGAGAGGTATTTAGTTCGTATTAGGTTCGATTCCTAATGGCGCGGGTACAATGGTGTTGCGGTGCTTTTTATTTTCTTCCCCCGTACAAGATAGTTATTTTGATTAGGCAGGAAATGATCAAGACGAAGAGAAAGGGAGATGTCCTTCCAAGGGGGAAAGGTTTTTCCGCTAGGAGGCCTTGAATTCTTCGTCACTTTCATTGCGCTGCCTACTTGCGAGGGGGCTTTCAGTAGTCAGTGGAAGTTCCAAAGCGCGCATGGTTGCTGCCAGCCTGCCTTCGGTATTGGCTCCGAGTGTGTATAAGTGAAAAGTCTCCGTTGAGATAGGTCTTGCCGCTGTGCCACAGGCCGACGTTCAATGATGTACCTACGAAATATCTTTCGGAAACATCCTCTTTGCAGAGCAAGATGCTGGCTGAGATGAGAATGAAGAAGGAGATCCGAGCTCATCGGGAGATCATCCGCTACGAGTACTCTAGCGCCGGAGACAAGTCGGCCCAAAGACAATTCGATAGAGAAGTCGCGCCCTGCTCCACAAGAGAATCTTCATCATCCCACTATCTACACACCTCTGTTTGGATTCACTGCCATGGTTAATTCACACGACGAAGAGCATAGCCAGCTTTTAGTAAGGCTGGCTACAGGTTTCGGTGCGATGCTACAACAGGTCCAGGAGCTGGCAAACAAGAACACAGAGCTTGAGCGACGACTTGCTCGCGTCCAAGCAGAGGTATCTTCGTCCCCTCATTTTCTCGTTTTATCCGCCTTGCTATGATGTTACACGATAGCTCTAGATCTAGAGTCACTAATGTGACGGTGATCGACAATATACCGATAATTTCTGAGCATCCACAATGGTTTCGTTCTACCTGGTTGCCTTGTATTTGCGACTGCTGACTGGTTCTAATGCTATAGGCTCAGTACTTGACCCGATTCGACGGACCTCTATCTGCGGATGGCTCTCCAGATCAGCTCCAGGAAAAGCAGGACCGCTATTCGGGGCCAAGACGCCACCACTCAAGCTCAAAATCTGGAGAGGAACAGACCTTTATGGGGATAGAAGACCAAGAAAACGCCGTGGCAATTGCAGACGGCGTGGAAGCTTGGAAGACAGTCACTGATGGGAAAGGACCTTTATGGCGTCGTTACAACGCTCAAAAGTTACATGAACAGCGGACCCGAGATTTCGCGGAGGAACCCCCCAAGCAAGATGCAATGCCTAAAGGCCACCCTGCTGTAGATCAGAAGATCTCAGAGAACGCCGAGTGCCCATTCGCTGCGATGTCTCATTTGGGCGAACAGAAGACTATCAAGGTCGAGTCTTCAGTGATTCCACGACCTGACTCGCTACCTACGCCACCACATACCCAAGAGCATTTCGCTCGTGCCCCTCATGAGGACGTCCACCAGAGACACGAATCTCCTCCACCATCGACTTCGGGATCGATTTCCAAGTGTCCTATACGTATGCTCGACGAACGCTCTCCCGAGGAGATTGCAGAATTTTTCGAGAATCACAAGCACGAGATCCCGCGAAGTCATGAAGTATGTGTGAGGCGATATCAGAGCAACTCACAGACCATTCGAGAGCTGGACGCCAAATATGGGAATCTGGCCAACATGATCAAAGGATTGGGTGTGAAGCACCAGCCACTACTGCCCAGTAAAGAGGACGATGAAGAGGACGATGCGGCTCTGGATACGAAGTCAATGCGGAAGGTGGAGAGTTGGGCACATAATGTCGATGTGGTACATGAGGGCGCAGACATACCGAATGACACCAAGACACATCTTTCGGGGTCGAATGACAGGGAAGGGCACTTTGACAGACCGCTAAAAGAGATCAGAGTCGGAGAGTCCCCAAGCCGGCCTTGGGGGATCTCCGTCCCCACCACAATTCCACATTTGAACCTAGGTGAGAACGCTTCGACTCCTACACCCAAGGGCGCCCAGGCCGAAGCCCGCGATGCACATGTTGGGGATACGGCCAGGATTGCTACTGGTCACGGGACACATGAGCCTGGGGATGACAAACCACGCATGCTCTTCACGGGTCCAGTGTTCATTGGTTATGGGCCGGAGCAGGCAGCTGTGTTGATCAGGGAATGCGAATTGAGAACGCAAGGAGCGAGAGTTTGACTTTTGGTGATTGATACCCTATGGCTTTCATGGCCTTGGCCTTTACATTCCGACGATACCAATGCATCCAATAAGCAAGCATATCTTCACGTTTCACACGATCCGACCCTTTTCAATCATCTCGTGATGGCTTGCAATTGCACAAGCGACGTCAATGACTCTCTCCACTGCTAAATCACTCAACATCAGCTGCCTCACACCAGTCCCCCACCAATCCTGACCTTTCACAAGAGCTCTCTTTTACCTTTTCTTCCGCAGTCGGTTTGCCAAACACATCTATCTCTCCTCCAACCGCAACCCTAAACCATAAAAGCATGCCTCCGCCCTCCCTGCTCCAAGTCTCTCATCCAACCTCTCACATCTCATCTCAATTCACATCCGTACCCACAAACACAAACACAAACACCCCACCCCACCCGACCCCCCAATTCCACACCATTCTCCGGCCCAGAATCCAAAACGCCGCCATACCAGAGATCCAAACCCCGACGCCCAGCGCATCCAATCTACTCAGCTGCGTCGGCGTTCGTATGGTCCTTTTTTTTTCAGCGCCGCGCTGACGGGGAGCGTGCGTGATGGGCTACAGGCGGGAGAGATACGGGCGCGGCCGGGTCGCGGAGGGCGGGCGACTGGAAGGCGGATGCTTCCGCTGGCAGGGGTGGGACTGGTGGATAGGGACAGGGACGGGGACGGGGTGGGAATCAGTCGGGTGGGAGAGGCGGAGAGGCGACGGGACGGAATGGATGGAATGGATGACGTGCGAGTGGTTGGGGGATGAGTTGACACGGGTTGGGATCTTTGGGGGGATCTGTTGGCCTGGGAGTTGCAAGCAGGCTGTCGCTTCCGTCTTGAGACGCCATAATGTTTCGAGGATGGATGGTCGGTTCTGGAGAGCAGCTTTTTGGTGAATGTTGCCTCTCTCTGCGATATCTGGAACTTTTGCCCTGATCCGGCAGTATGGGGGTTTGAAACCGTTGTTGTTTGTGTAGCATTTCCTTTCATCGATGCCCTCTCCTTCTCCTTCTCCTCTCTTCGCCCCTTGAACCTCCGTCCCTTCACGGTAACGCCATACACGCCATCTCACACTCCACCCCACCCCCTCTAAAATAGCCCCCGTACCCCGCCTTCATCGCCGCACAATTCCTCCGTGTCCGTCAGGCACAATCGTCATCTTGCCCAGCGACGTGGACGGCGGAGATGCAGAGCGAGGTCTTGGAGCCGATGCTGCCGGCGGGGCAGGGTAGATGACGGTGGGGGTGATGAGTGCTTGGGACTGGTGGGGGTGGGGATTTTGTTTGGTCAGGTAGGTAGGTAGGTAGGTAGGTACCTAATTACTTCGATAGTGGGGGTGTCGGGTTGTGGGACGCACGTACGTAGGGTCCAGCGGCTGTGGGATGTTTTTGCTTTTATTTCGGGAGATTAGTCAACTTGGCGTCGTGGTGGGTGGGTGGGTGTTTGGTTGGGGGATGGGGGCGTGCGAGGACAGGCGTCTCTCTTTGGTGCTGATTGCACCGACTTGCCATTTGTTTGCCGAGGCAGGCTCTGGTGTCAGGGTCGAGGCTCAGGTTGTTGGGGTCCGATTTGCCCAAATTCGCTTGCCGAAGGGTGTGCCGGGTCCGGAGAGACGGATCGGGTGGAGATTTGGCGGGATGGGGACTGCATGTCTTGGGTCGTGTGGTGTGACAGTTCGGGGGGGACGGGAGAGAAAAGGGGGGGTGGGTAAGTGGGTTTTTGGGAGGTCTCGCTTATCTCGTGGGGCTGAGGAGATAGGGATTTTGATAGTACTCTACAATACTGTAGCATTTATATTTGTACGCAATCGAAGGGGATAAGAGGACAGGAATGAATCTGGGGGAAGTGGACTTCACGAGGAGCCGAGATAGTATTCTATATTAATATCTATTGAACAAACAGAAATGCTTTTTGAGGTGTGGCAGCCATAATTTCGCCCGGGTCGGATCCGACGATGAATACGTAGGTATTCTTCATTGCATAAAGGTGCCTGGTCGAGCCATTCTTCAGTCGGGGTAGCTTCAAGGGGTAGCTGGGACCGAGACTCAGGCCATGCGGTCGGTACCTGTGCCTTTCTTGAACCTGGTTCAATGTTCTGCAGCCCTGGAGTCCGATAAGGGCATCTCACTGTTGATCATTCTGATAAAGAGGTAAAGTGCAAGGCCGCGCTGAGCGAGTATCGCAATGCAATGCAATGTAGCACGCAAGTTCCGATATATTGTCAGAAAGGGGTTCCAAAGAGAGAGAATCGGTCTAGATGACTTCGCAATGATCTTGCTAATACTCTCTGTAGAACGATTGTGGAGGTCCGTTTTGGATGGGATAGCTTTTGTGGTTCCCGCGATGACGAATCCTTTTGTTGGTCACTTGTCCGATAATGTATGTGGAGCAGCTTCATGAAAAGGTGCGGCGATAAAAGCTGCCATCGGCAAATCCAGCAGGCAGGTGACGTAGCATGGCATGTCTTCCAACGGAACAGATATTGTGAGATCTCCGCGGGATTCAATCGGCTTCAAGTCTTTCCAGACTTGTCCTCCTGGCTTGAGAGCAAAGTGTAGACGGGAGCATTGAGCTTCTCGCGGCCTTTCAGGAAGTCAAGTTCGAGTACGAAAACGTAGCCCAGCAGTACACCACCCAACCTCTCAACCAGTGATCCAGCTGCTGCAGCGGAGCCACCTGTGGTATCTATCAACCAACGAACGTTTTGCTTAGGAGCGTAACCGTACCAGTAGCAATGATGTCGTCTACAATGAGTACCAGCTGTCCCTGTTTGATCGCATCCGCCTGTATCTGGAAGAAGTCTTGCCCGTACTCTTTCTCATAGCTTGCGGTTTCTGTAGGTCCCGGCAGCTTGCCCTGTTTCCTGACAGGCACAAATCCAGCTCCAAGGCGTAGCGCTAAGCTTGGGCCGAACAGCCAGCCCCTTGCCTCTAAGCCCACAATAATATCCGGTCTTTGCCCTGGAGCGTAATTGGTCTTGATGTGGAGCTCGAGAGCATGGATGAGGTCTTGGTGGAGGGTAGGATCACTGAAGAGAGGTAGGATGTCTTCAAATAAGATGCCGGGAGAAGGAAAGTCCGGGAACTGGCGTAGAGATTTGTGAAGTCTTATCTTAAGACCGGCGAGTTGGGAGGAGGAGGCGGGCTGATGGGAGGACTGTCCTGAGGTTTCCGTGGCATCTGGACGGTTTCTGGGTGGATGTGAGGAGGTAGAATCTGGCATGGTGAAAGAAAGAGAAGAAGAGAAAGAAGAAGGAGAAGAAGAAGGGGCAGGAAGAGCGGTAAAGGAGGGATTGATATAGCTCTGAAAATTAGAGGATATGAGTCGACAGCTGGGGGTTGTGTTGCTGAGTGGTTTTTTGCGTGGTCCCGGTATTTTCACCCATCCCAACTTTTTTTTCTTCCCTTGCGGGATGGATTGTTAGTTGTGTGCTCGTCCAGACGGAGTCTAGCGTAGGAACGCCAACCAGATTTCAGGCCTGTCTCGCCTGTAAAACTCTCCGAAGAGGATGCCGCAGAAAGGGTACCAGCTCGATGACAGGGAGAGAGGATAGCGAATGGAAGAGTCAGATGGCGTAGTATGCATCCAGGATCGCCTTCTGTGGAGTACGTGTCTGCAAGCCACGGCGCCTTTGATAAGACCTTGCTGCCACCTTCTCCTTTCTCCGGAAGTCATAATCGCAAACAAAGAACAAAGGGAATCATCTTCGACATCTGGACCCTTGAGGTCCGAGCGGGAGTCACATCAGTACAGGACCAATAGAGCTGCATCTTTGCACGCTTCGCCCCCACGTTGACCATGGACGCGTGGGGTATATATTTAATACCTTCCATCTTCGCTGGCGGCGGGATGTTAGGAGAGTATACCTACTAGGCTCTAGTGCGGCAGGGTGATCAGAAGACCGGGGATCCTCCGGGGCTCCTCCCGGCCATTGAAAATTTCGCCAAGTATAAAAAATTCCAGTAAGACCACTCTTTAATCTATCCCATGCCCGACCATTTCACAGCCCAAAATGAAGATATGAGGGGCTTTTTCTTCGCAGACACCAGAATCTCGGAAGTATTACCTAATGGGTGAATGGCGTACACGACATTCCTTTGTTTTCTTTCCGCCACGGCAGTAACAGTCTACACCATCAGGAGGACAACCTCTACCATTCTGACGTTCTAAGGCTTGGGCTCTGCTGAGATTGACTCTGTGGGCTCAGTGGCCACTCCCCGAAATTGACAAATACTTCACGAGCTATCGGACGATCATCCGCTGGCTTCACTCAATGCCTCTTATCTGGCTGGCAAACAGGCCGCATTTCCGTTTCCTGCCTCAACAAGATGCGTTAGGACGCCTGGGTAACACTCATGCATGCTGCTGCTTCAGGTTTGAGGACTGCAACCCTGGCTTTGTTGTACGGGCGCCGAGTCTGAAAGACACGAAAAGCGACGCACAAAGTGAATTGTGCTGGTCACTGACATGAACGCTTGCGGATCTGTCATCAGTTGTTCGATCGGTTAGAATTGCTTTGTCGGTTGTGCGGCATCATTGCCCGTCGGTGCATGGCCGTAACATGACTCGGGAGGACCTTGTGTTTTCACCAATGCGTTATGGTTCACAGAGGCGGACCATTGCATGGATTTCTCTCATGGAGAAGAAAAAAGGTAGGAATCGTTCGTGACCTTTTTTTGATTCGTGGCGTATTCACCTCCTTGTGCCACAATGCTGACAAGGCTGAGAAGATCTCCGATGACTGTATGGAGAATGAGAAATCTTTATTGGACACCCGCCCCCCTACGCGTCTTCTTTTCCGACAACTCCACTCTCTGGATCGTTCAAAGGCTCATAAAGTTCAAATGGATAATACTTCTCTTCGCAAAAGCCTCCAGAAGCCTCATCCTAACGAGGTCAGACCTCCGCTTTCCGTAAAGCAATCAGCCGATCAAAGTGTCTCGGGTCCCCATCAAACTCCTGATCTTCAAAAGCCTTCCGATATCCAAATGTACAGACGACTGACTTTGGGGATGCGAAAAGCTAGCCGGTACTCATTCAGCCTTCAGTCAAAGTCCATCAGTCACGCTGCTTAATTTGGCCAGCAATTCCCAAGAATGCCAAAGTATGAAGTTCAAAATTCCTAGTCGTTTACAATTACTAGTTCTTGACTCAATTGCTCGAAGCTGAAACATGCCATGCCTGGGTGGCTGCCACTTACACGCCGCTCAGGTCAGCCGTGGTACAAAAAGGCAGCACGTGACCCCGTGAACATGGCGAGGCCAAAGCCGTCCACGTGGCAACGACATTGATGAAAGCATGTTTGTCTGTGGAAAATCTGGATCGAAAATCATGGCTGGCATCCACTGCATTTAGCGTATGCAAAAACCCTTTTATTATCAACGTCACAAATGCAATTTGAAGCGTAAACATTCCCATAGATACAATATTTTTCTTATCGCCGCCATTACACTACAGCTGAATTATCAAGAATCTATCAACAAATATATGATTCGAATGCTTGGGATTTTACGCGAGGCGGTTCCAGATTCAGATTCCCTCTTCTCCTACTTGTATTATCTACCTGGATCGAAATAGTAGAGTAGCCCAAAATTAAATTCTTCAGACTTATGAGTGTAAAGTGAAGAAATCGAGCCTTGGGTTTACAAGGGCTTTTGCACACGCTAAATTCAAGATCGGAACCGTTCAACTTCGCCACGTTCGGTGGTCCGAGAGTCACAACCTCGTGCTTCTTAGCATTGGAAGGAAAACCCGTTATTGGGGCAAAGACGTTGATCGAACTGTGAGCTCTGGAATTTGACTGACCTCATCCGAGAAATCGAGGCTGTAGGTACCAGAAAGTGTCTTCACATATGGCCATGTCATCGTTCGACGTGTACCTGCACATACCTGCGGAACAGCCCAATGACCAGCGCTGATCAATCAAACCCTCAGCGAGTAGCTCTGACTTTGATCAGGTACAACCAACCGAGCCCGCCCATACCTATTCGAACCTCTTCAGCTCTGGCTCACATAGTAGAAGGGTTCGCTTCCTAACTCTTCTCGAGATCTACGACCGCAGCTTTGGATGCTATGAGCGCTGCATATTTGCCTCCGCAGTCAACACGTTTGGCTTCGATAAGCGGTCAACATTTCTTGGGTAAAACCATATATCTTGAATGGCAAGGTTCGACGCCACAAATCCATGATTTCCGATAAGACTGAGACTGTACCTCAACGATAAGCCTCCATGCTACACAGTTCTTTTGCTCAAGGTAGCTTTAGACTTTGTGGCCATCGCGCAAAGACCGGCTAGCATCGCTTTCCCCGAATCACCCGCTCCGCCCTCTCGCTTCTCACTTGCGACTTCAACGTTACTTGGCGTACTCAGAGGCCTTGTGATGCATCCGGATGGTTCCGCCCAAGCCTTCTTCCGCCTCGCGAGCCTTGAATGTCTTGGCAAGGAGAAGGCAGTAGCATCAGGGCCGATGGTGCATGTCTATTCATCTCAAAGACTCTAGCCATTTCGTGTTTGTCCATGTCAATGTATCAGCACTTCTCATCTTTTTCTATTATCTTCTCCGACTAGTTCGGGGCATCTAGAAGCAGTCGAGATCAAGGGTACTACTGTATGACTGACTTGTATATGCTCTTGACTTTACATCATGCCTTTCTAAGTGTCTTGTATATGCTTAACATTCTCCACACTCCGACGCCTCCAGCCGCCAGCCGTAATGGGTCTTTAACCCTGGTGGCTGATCGGAGTGGGGACAGCGAATTCTTATCTTCTTTCAATAGGGCTTTGCCACTGTGGGTACCTGAAAGCACACGTTCTCCACACTTTTTGGTTCCTGGCAACGTCTCTCTGTTTCAAGTCTCTTTGACTTCTTGCAAAACGTGTCCACGAGACCAGCTAGACTTTGCAAGCAATGGATCGCCTCGTGAGGCCGGTAAACGAGCACGAGTATCAACCGTCCAGCATGAAGCGTGGATTCTATAAGAGGGACTCACGAGCCCACGTTCCTTCTCTATCTTCCTCATCACACAGCCAACAGCCTCTAAGTCTCTCACTCCACGAGCATTCGACCCGTTCTACCATAGAAACTGCATCGCTAGAACGACAACGCCATCCAGCAAACGCCTCTTACCACCCAAACCTTCGCACGTTCGCATCGCCATGCGTTCTCACGTCATTATCCCTTCCCTTCTGGGACTAGCCGCTGCGGCTCCACGTGCTGCCGAGCAGAACGTTGAAGAACGTGGCCAGGACGCCGTTTGGGCTTCCTGGAGAACGGCTACTACCACCAGTGCCACCGGCTGGACCGGCTCCACCGCGGCTTCTTCCACTTGCAAAGGCCCGGTCACCGTAACTGTTACGGTTGATCATACCACCCAATGCAGCGCTTCTTCTACTGCTCCAACCTGGTCGTCTTCGCCGGCAAGCAGCGGCCATTCTACGACACCATCAACTTGGTCTCAGACATCTCCTTCAAGCGGCCAATCCACTCATTCGAGCATTCAATCGACTAGCTCGCCTAAGACTTCTCCAACGAGCAGCCAGCCTACTCTTGTCAGCACCAAGTCAACTAGCTCTTCCGAGACTTCTCCAACGAACAGACAGTCCGCTCATTCTAGCATTCAATCGACTAGCTCGCCCAAGACTTCTCCAATGAGCAGTCAGCCTATTTATTCCAGCACCAAGTCAACTAGCTCTTCCGAGACTTCTCTAACGAGGAGCCAGTCCGCTCATTCCAGCATTCAATCGACTAGCTCTTCCGAGACTACTCCAACGAGCAGCCAGCCTATTTATTCCAGCACCAAGTCAACTAGCTCTTCCGAGACTTCTCTAACGAGAAGCCAGTCCGCTCATTCCAGCATTCAATCGACTGGCTCTTCCGAGACTACTCCAACTCAATCCACTAGCCACTCAGCGACTGGCCCATCGACCAGCCCATCTACTGGCCATTCGACTACCGCTTCTAGCAGCCAGTCCACCCGTCAATCAACTACTGGCCCATGGACCGGTCCGTCAAGCAGCCCAAGCAGCTTATCTACGAGTCATTCGACTATCGCTTCCACAAGTAGCCAATTCCCAAGTCACTCTACTACTGGCTCATGGACAAGCCCTTCAAGCTCTACACCAGCCGATACAAAGACTACAGGATCTAGCTCATCAAGCTCCACATGGGTTACCACAAAGACTTCGGGCTCTAGCTCCTCGGGTTTCACACCAGTAACGTCGAAGACCATAGGTTCTAGCTCATCAACTTCCACTCCAGTCACCACAAAGTCTGCGGGATCCAGTTTCAGCTCATCAACTTCCACCCCAGTCACCACGAAGTCTGCGGGATCCAGTTTCAGCTCATCAACTTCCACCCCAGTCACCACAAAATCTACGGGATCCAGTTTCAGCTCATCAACTTCCACCCCAGTCACCATAAAGACAGCTGGGTCCAGCTCTAGCTCTACCCCATCAACTAGTCTTTCCAGCGGCACGAGCAGCACGCATACAGAGACGTCCACATCCAGCAGTAGCAAGATCTCTGGGTCCTCATCTAGTATACCTACTTGGACGTCCACTTCTGCATCCAGTGGCATGATATCTGGGTCAACCTCTGGGTCATCCTCAAGTGTACCTACTTGGACGTCCATTTCCGCATCCAGTGGCAAGACATCTGGATCATCCTCAAGCACCCCCACATGGATATCTACATCCAGCAGCAAGACTTCCGGCGCCTCAAGCACGCCAGCAACCGTAAGCAGTCCCTCAGTCTCGCCCTCAATCTCGCTCTCTGGAACGTCAACATCTAGCTCAAGCACACAAGCCTACACTTGCACAGCCTCACCAGCAGCGCAGTCCGGATTTTCAGGCCCGGTCACATTCAACGGCGCCATCCAAGCACCTTCCGGTTCCACCTACATTGGTGTCAAATTCGAAGCCGGTACTGAGCTCGATGTTGCCTTCTGCGCCCAGCAGTGTCTCGAGAACACTGCCTATGACAAAGCTCACCCTAACTCGGATGGCTCCTACATGCCTTGCAACTTCTTCAATGCTTACTTGGGCTACACTAATGGTCAGATTGATGGTACGCACTGCGCCGAGTATACAACTACATATGGCTCACCCTATGATACCAATGTCGGACAATACCAGAATGGTGCTTACTACGCCGTCGAATGCAGCTTTGGATACAGCTTGACCCCACAGGATTGTGGATCGATTGAGTGCGGCTCTAGCTCCAGCTCTGCCCCAGCTACCTCCGCAACTTCGTCAATGACAGTCTCTAGCCCCATCTTCAGCTCCACGGCTCCCAGCTCCACAAAGCCCGCATCATCAACTGCCGGCACACCAACTTCCCTCACCTCCAGTACACCAGCGCCCACCACCATGAGCACCATGACCAAGAACCGCCAGAGCAAAACCCCCGTCGTCCTGACATCCACCACGGACGTCATCACCACCGAGATCGTCTACACCACGGTGACCAGCTGCCCCGTCTCAACCACAACCCACCACAACGGCGGAAGCACATCCGTCGAAACCATCACCAGCACATCCACATTCCTCACCACAGACACAGTCACGACCTGCGGAAAATGCACCGTCACCACACCAATCTTCAGCCCACCCGCGCCTGCTTCCACGACGACAGAGCAGGCCTGGACTGCCATCTCGACCACGGCTTCCAGCACATCGCAGCAGGCTTGGAGCACATCGCCAGCAGCATCGCAGCAGACATCGAGCCCGCCGCAGAACTCCGTTACTCAGGCCGCTCCTGTCAAGCCTTCGACTACCATGGCAACTATGACCAAGGGCCAAGGATCATCTTGGTAGACGTGTCAGATCTAGGACAGACAGTCAGCGATCATACAATCATACAATCATTTTAAGCGTTTAGATTTGGATATTCACTCATTCGGCATTGGCGTTGGACTTGGACATTCATTTAGATATCGTATAGACTACTGCTCTTCAGCCATCCGGGGAACGTTTGGCGTCATTCGCTCTTTGATACAGCTTTAGCAATTCACAGGGTTTCTCACCACCTTCGACATCTCCCAAACCTCCTTGAATCGATGTGACCTTTTCTTCTGTCCCTTCTTTCTCTCTTTCTCGTTCCCGCTCATTCCTGATATGTTTCTTTTTCGTAGCGTACTTACTTTTTCTTTTGGGTGATCGACCGAGAGACAAGACATCTCTAAATAGCAGAAGGCATTCCACCAACGTAACAAGACAGCTCTGGAGGACCGGAGGACCGAAGGAGCTTTCTGCTCCCGGAATCTGGGTTGTGGCCCCGAATTGCTACCAAAGGGGAAGACTTTACGCCGAAAATACGGAATTCTCCTCTTTCTCTCCTGCTCCTTCCTCCCCTTCTTCCTCCCACCTTCTCTTTCTTCCCTCCCTCTCACCCTTCCTCCTTACTTCCCTTTCTTCCCTCCCCCTCCCCATCTCCCCCATCCCCCCATTCTCCCCTCCCCCTCCCCATCTCCCCCCTCCCCCAATCCTCCTCCCCGCCCATCTCCCCCCCATCCCCGCCCATCCCCACCCATACCCACCTCCTACCTAACATTACCCCCCCCCCAAGCACTCACTCAACCACCCCCCACAACCAAACGCACGCGCCCTCCCACCCACTTCCCCACAACCCGAACCAAGAACAGAAGGAAAAGCGCCCCCCTATCCGCACCCAGGCAAGCGAGACCCTATTCGCAAAAAGATAGAGGGAGATTAAGGGCGAGTCTAGAGGGCCACCTGAGGTACTTGGGCGAGGTAGGTCGTGGTGAGTTTGCAGATGTGGAGTTGGGAGGGTGGGCAGGCTGCGTGGTGTTGGTTGCTGCGGGGGGTTTGGAGGGTTTATTGATCGATTGGGGTGGTTGGTTGGTTGGTTGATTGATTGGGGTGTCCCTTGTTGGAGTTGAAGGAAGGGGATTTGTCGTAGCGAGTGTTTCTGCCATGTGGGTTTTTGGGGCTGTGGAAGAGGAGGGAGGGTCTGTGGGGTGGTTTGTTGTTGGCAGATGATGTGTATATATACGTGTCTGAGGGAATGAATGCATATCTGTGATATCGGAGTATTTTGTTATATATATGGATAGATGGAGATATGTTTTTACATCGTTCTTCTCCAGATATTCTTTAAATATCATCCCCCCTCCTGCTTTGACTCCACTAGTCTCCAGAGCGCCCTCAGGACCGCCACACCTCCGCTTTGCGTCTCTACCGTCCTGCCTCTTCCTCTGTCGTTGATGTCGTGGGATCTCACTTCATTATCACGCCCGTCATAATCGCGCCAAATCCTTTCCTGATTCCCAAGGTCCATGTCCATATCGCATTTGTACATTACATCGTCTTCCGGCAGTCGCCATATCTCATCCATCGGCACGCCCTCATTCCTATAATCCGTCCCTTGTGTATTCGGGCTCTCGAACTCGTCGTCCTCTGCATCTCCATGCCGTCGCCGCCTTGCAGGCCTACCCCACCATTCTCCAAACTCGCCGTCTTGGTTTCTCGTCAGGTATGCAGCGAACGCATTATGGCGTATCCAATCACCGTATTCATCGCAGCTCTTATGGTGCAGCTGTTTAGTTTCTTCATCGTCTAGCAAAGTCTCTCCGTTTTCGCCCCATTCCTGGCGGATCAGTGGACTGCAAAATAGCGTCAAATGATGAAAGTAGATCCCCTTGAACGTCTGCGAGTTCTGGCTGCATGACCCACTCCAATCGCACAATTCCTCCATCACGCCACCTCTTCCTAGACCGGCCCAGCGGTATCGTTGCTCCGTGTTCCGGTCTTCCCATCCAGTCGCGCGGATCACGTTGCGCACCAGTTCATGCCCGTCTTCCAAATAGCATCTTGAGCCCGTAGCTTCCCACAACCCTTTCAGCCCCGATAGGATAACGCCTTGATTGTATGTGTACAGGTTTTCAGCCCTCATATCACATTTTCCTGTCCCGTTACTCCCATTCTTTCCGCCTCGCCAGCCGGTGACGTGGAAGCCATCCACGTATAACCCGTCTTTGTTCCTCATCTTGCTCTCTTTCAACCACTTATAACCTTCCATCGCGTTGTCCAGGTATCGTACATCATGTGCCTTCGCAGGCGGTAGGCCCGTATGGGTGAGGAAAGGTGAGGGATCGCTATCCCCAGGAAAGTATAGGTACATGCTTACCGAAGCAGCGATGTAGAGTTCATTCGTTATGGCGTTCTTGTAAGGCGCGAGGTGGGGATTCCAGAGCATACCACCACCGCAGAGAGTAGTGTCCCAGCCGCGAGAGGCGAGATCATAGAAGAGGCGGGCGCGGTGGGCGAATTGGGGAATGAATTGGCTGGCGTACCATGTCGCATTCTTGTCGTCGGATGAGGCGTAGTGCAGCGAGGAGTGTAGCTTGATGAATTTTATAGCTTCCAACCATCCGAGAACTACCCACAACATATCATCGTAGGCCTGTGTGCGCAAAGCGAACGCATTCTCGCCAAAATAAAAAGACGTAATTTGGGTAAAGTAACGGTTGATTAGGTTCTCGTGGTCGCGTGCTTCGTCTATGCAGAGGAGAGAGGAGGGTTTGAGCGTTTGAGCGTAGGATGTCATCGCGGAGAGGGTTGCAGAGACTTGAGTGCCCATTACTGCGGCTGTCCAATCAATGGCTTTGGGCCAGGTTCCATAAGCGACGGCGAAGAAGTGGTTTTCCATTGTCTCGAGGGCGTTGAGAAGGGCGGTGTAGGTTGAAGGGTATGTGTTGGGTTCTTGTGGTGTAACCCTGAGTAACGGCGCGTTGTGGTCAGCAGTGAATGCATGCTGTTGCGGCAGACCCTTTTCGCCCAACAGTGGTTTTGAGTCGACCAGCGAGCGTTGTGCTACAGCTTCATCATTTGATACTGACTCGGCCCCTCCTTGGCCTGGGAGTGCAGTGACAAAGCTTGAAGCAGAGAGGTATATAATGGAGAAGACGAGCCATGGTGCAGCAGCGCTGCCACGATTCAGAGACCGCACAATCATCGTGTGCAAAATGCAAAGACTGAAAGCAGAGAGGAAGCAACTGCCAGCAGCTCAGCAGTAGCTACCAAAGACCCAAATGTAGTGAGGAAGACGCATATTGTACAGTTTGGAGTATGATGCCCTCTTCGCTGCTCAATTGATAGAGTAGTAAGAAAGAAGAAGCGAAATGCATGATGCAATTGCCCATTCGAGAACAAGGTTGGACGCCGCAATGTGGGATAGGCGCGCTAGCCTCGATCTTGCCGCCAAGCCCTGGCGGATCCCTCCGCCGCAGAAAAAGAGACATCGCTGATACCTGTCATGACAGAGACATCGAAGCATAAATTTGGGATCCCGAAGATGGCAAAAAATGTAGTGACAACTGAGGGATTCGAACCCTCGCTCTTTCGAACTAGTAGATACTGTTAACAGTTCCTGAAACTAGCGCCATAACCACTCGGCCAAGTTGCCGTTCTCAAGAACTCAAAATTGCCTAAAGTGCAATATATTCATTTATTTAGCGGGTATTAAGACATCGAAGCACTTGGCGTTACATAACTCAGCAACACCGCTGCCTGGGCAGTCCTCTTCGTTCAACGCTTCTCCCGGATTCACGGATTATGAGGCTACAATCTGCGAGCTCATTCAAGTAATAGAATAATGAGCGTCATCCCAGTGAGGAGGTCGTCGCGCTGTGTTCGCTCTCTGTTTCCTTACCCATTCACTACATGTGTGTCAGGCAAACACCTCATTGGTCGGCATGACGTTGCAGCAGTCATAGATATTATACTTTGTCGAACAGATTCTGGGTTAGAAAAAGAATAAGCGCTTGGGATACGCTGTCCAGAAGGGTTCTAAATAAATAGTATATACGGCCATCTACCACGTACTGATCGGAACTGCCTCATTGACCACCCACTCACTCTACAGAAGCGTTCCGAGCAGTTGGGGTGAAAGCAAATTTGCATACCTTGAACGCTTAGGACTTCGGGTGACAGCCTCCCTACTGCCGTAATCAACGAGTAAGTCGCCAGTCTCAGGGTCCACTGGTCCCGACGAAAATAGCGAGGCCTCCATGCATACGCTGTATCATACCCGAACCTAGTATGTAGAGAAGGACGTTTGCATTTACGATTTTCACCCGGGCGCCACACTCACCACTCTGGTGAAATATGCGAGATGAGTATAATGTCGACCTTTCTTTCTCCAGGTGCTTTAATGTGAAAATGACTTCGTGCCTACAACGAAACCAATAGATGCAGAATAAAGGAAATTCGCTGCTCTTGTACCTCATCTCCCGACTGTTTCGCCTACTTCAGCATCTTCTCAATCCTCTGCTCCGTTTTCGGCAGCTCCAGTATCCACCCCACCTTCGATTTCATGGAGATCCCCTTCTATATTCCCGGTGGAGCCCCGACAAGGCAGCCTAAAGAAAACATGGAAGCTGTATTTTATGGCGAAAAATCTCAGGTATCGCTGGCGGATGGTACCGTAAGATGTCGAATAATGGAACAGGGGAGAACTCTTTCTGGTCTGCTTGATCAAGACGCCACGGGGCTGCGAGGCAAGAAGTAGCGAGGAACTGGGGAAAGTGCAAGGCGCAGCCAACATCAGGCGGGGAAAACCACGCGAGGCTCTCGTTCATACTTCAGTCAAATTCAGCAGCGACATATCGCTATCCTTGACTCAATAAGTAGAAGATGGTCTTCATCTTCCGCAATATCATCATTCCCACCTAGCGTATACGCCGTTTCATCTTATGTGCTTTTTCACATCCCTCTCCGGATCTTCTACATCACCTTCATCACATTTCAGCTTCGGTCTCCGCCATGAGCCTCGTAACTGTTGTCAGATGGATTTCTTCCCTGTTGATCGCTCTTTCACCATTTCCTTGGCAAATTTCATCTGTATAAACGTCAGACCCAATCACTCTGGCAGACTTCAACAATAATTTCACCGGCGCTCCGGACCCCAATGGGCCGGGTGGCTGTAGTAGAACCCTCGGGACATCCATTCGGGATGGTATGGACCTCTCCCCTGCAGCCCTCAACGACGCTTTGAACATGACCAAAGGGGTCTCAGATTAACTGGGGTATGACAGTGTGGATGGTACAGACAAAGGGAAAACGCTTCGACAACTTCTATTCCTATTCCTTGGCTTCAGGTTTGATCCATTCGGCGCTGTAGATATGGACAATTGGCATGATTACCAGTATGTGCGAGGTATATGATTTGTATTCCCGCATCCCCCAATTACGAGGTGCTGATTGAGGTTGATGGTACAGGGAATATCGATTCCGTCGTGTCGTTTTTGACCCATAAAAACCCGTCATCCTATCCGACCAACTGGTATTGTGACGATGATTGGTTGATGTACACAAAAAACGAGGTCGGTGCAGACGGCAAAGAAAATCCGAATCCTCCACTGGCCGCGGAGAAAGAAAATTGGAAGAGTAAGCGATGTATGTTCTTTTGATTCTCCTCTCATTCTTTGCCAAAGTCCACTCATGTCTCTGACTTCATAGTGAGAAACGGCCAATATTTTCCTGGCTTGCTGTGGGACAAGTTAAGGGCCACGGGCTACTACCCACCTTCTGAGGAGGATCCATATCATACTCGCTGTAATGCTATAGTCAATGGCAAGTTGTTCACCTATGGATACGTCGCTTCTTACAACGACAAGGGTATTGGTCATAGGACAAGATGGAATCTCAGTCTGTGTCCATCTGCGTCCAGCAATTCCCCAGTTAGCTATTATTGGGAACCAGGCAGTGGCACAAAAGCTGCGCCAGAACTGCTTAAGGTGTATATGAGGTCAATAAGTGTTACGACGGCCCACGAGCTGTTCCACCTAACGTCAGATTTAGGTAAACAGAGCTTTTGCCTACACACCCCACATGCAAATTCGACTGACTGTGAATATCTCAAGACCAGCCATCATAGACCAACCTGAAGTGGTACCGCTAAACAAGGGGTTACCGCATGATGTGAGCCAAATGGGGTGGACTCAAAGCACAAAGCGTAATACTTACGTTGTTGCGATGTCGGGGTGGCTAGGGCTTGCTATGCCCAACCTAGCTCAAAACAATTCAGATAACGATGCGGCCTTCGTGCTGTGTCTCAGATACCCGACCTTAGACTGGGTGGGTACTTTTGCGATCAGCATTAGCAAGAGGGAAAGCGTCCCATTCACGGTCCCGCTGAAGGTGTCTCAGAAACTGAGAAACCATGGAATGTCTTCGACGAGGAAGATGATGATGTAGCGCTAGAACTCTCGGTCATGGAGGAATATGATGGCCGAGACATCCGGTTCTCGTCCTGATTCTACTACTGCTGTCGCATAGTGCTTGGAGATAGCGCGTGTATATAGGTCATGTTTTCATATCCAAACTGTACTCAGTCAACTTTCGCTTAAACTGAGACGCTCCAAATCTGATCCTCTATCACAGAGCAGCAAGATCTCCCCCAAGCTGATGTGTGATACATCCATGCTCCAGGTACAGGTCACACCCAAAGTGTGTCAATCTTGCGTCGAGCAAGGAGCGTTCACTTTGTGTTTTGGTCTTCCAGCTTACTCCAGTGCAAACAGGGAAAAGGTTGTGACCCGTTTCCGTTACCTATCTGCGCGCTGAGTTGTTTGTACCGAAAGCCTCGAGGGTCCTTAAGCAAGTCCCGTCCACACGAAACATCCACACGAAACAGTGTCACGAGATCAGCCGTTGCAAGAGTCTCCAAGCTGATCGTCAATGTGCTTCGACCCGCATAATTCGCAACGGATGACATCGGGCGTAGGAGCGTTTGTGTGATCGTCATTGTCGTCTTCATTCCGAAGACTCCAACAGCCGTTGCACGAGCATTTGTTTCCGTCGCTTGGAGTTTCCATACCCTCGCCGAAGCTAGCGCAGTAACCGTTTCCCTGCTCCCAGGACGTTTCCTGAGGCTAAAGTAGCGCTGTGCGCCTGCGAGGTGGACGTTGAGACTCGAAACAGCCAAGTTCGTGTTTCTGGACAGGCAGAATTTCGATTGCACCGAGGGGTTGAAAGTGCTCGAATGTACCCTGTTCTCTGTTATCCGACACAAAAATCGGTATCAAGATTCGTTTCCGAAATTTCGAACGTTGGTGTGTGGCCGTGGCTGCAGGGTTTTGGTGTCCCCATGATGAATGTGAGAGTCGTTGTGGGCTTTGTAGACGTTGTTGCGCTGTGCTAATGGGACCATCTAAGTACAAGCATAGGGGAGTTGTCAATTTCCTTTTGCGATATCGAAGTGTCCAGTTGCTCGGTCAGCGTGCGGAAAGTTTCCGTCCTGAGCGCCGTTCGGAAGACTTTCCTTCGCCATTCTACTTGCCATGTTCAATCGAAAAAGCCGGCCCTCTTTCTCTTCAGTTATGCATACCCAACAGCACAAACTTCGTAAGTCTCATGCATACGTAACATATTGAATTCTTCGTCTGCCCTTTGTGGGCCGATTGCATCGTAACATAATGGAATTGGGCCCAAAGTTGACGCGAGAGTGCTTGAGAGTCAAAAACCCACAGTACGAGAGAAACCTCCTTGAGCATTGAATTGGGTAGAAGACTATCGCAGATTGTGCCCGGTTTGATCCTCTCCTCCAGGAGAATATGGCCAAATGTGCAGGCTGTAGGGTGCGGCATCTAATCTGCGACACACAATCTACCTGCGCTGAATGCGAGAAGAGTGGTAGAGATTGCGTTCGTCTTAATGTCCGCTTCCGGCATCTCGTGTGCCCCTCAGATGAGATCACTCGTGCGGATTGTACCAAATATAAGTTCTTCTTCGGCAGCGATCAGACGTGGATTGACACCAATGGGACTATCCAATTCGTCACAGAAAGCGACAGCAGCGCCGACGCTTCACCAACGGACGAACTAGAGAGCAATGTGTTCGATGCCGTGGGCTTGGATGTGGAGCCTCGGCCCGCTCCAGTGGAGCAGTCGTCTCCTAAGTTCGTGCTTGGATCGACGTCTCAGACTCCAGCTGTTCAGGCTTCCGTTCTAGACGATGGCCCACCAGAGTATTTGGCAGCATTGGAGCAAGTGCCTTACGACCCGCCAGGTAGCGTCCTCCTCGAAGATGCATCGGAAATGCCGGCCCATTCATTGCAAGAGGTATCCCAGCTTGGAGAGAAGCTACCGACCGACACGAGTGTATCCTACTTAGAGAGTGTGCTGCCCGCACCGGAGCTGGAGTGTCCATTGAAAAGCTTAAAAGAGGGAAAGCTACTCCAGCATTGGGTCACTCATCTCGCGCCATGGGTAAGCACGAACATCCTCTCAGTACCGTGAGCCTTGGCTGACTCAGATTCAAGTTCGACGTTGGCGATAGCAAGAGACACTTCGGCAAGATCGCGACATGCATGGCAGCGTCAAGTCCCTTATTGATGACCGTGATTCTCGCTATTGCCGCTCTTCATCATAGCCGAGTCAGCGGCCAAAGTGATCTGTACAGCGCAATGACCTACCACGACAAATGCCTGAACATGATTGTGCCGATGTTGAGCGACCCGGATCACGCCAACGATGACTGCGTACTTATGACGACGACCATTCTACATCTGTATGACGGTCTTGAGTGTAAGACTGCTCCTCAATCATCTGGTCGTATCCTTTGTTGAGTCTTTATCATCTAGCTGGCAATGACTTGCCAAGGCATCTCAAGGGAACTTCCATCTTCTTCCATCCGGAAGCTACATACAATTCGTCTCAACTTCGTAGGGCAGTCTTCTGGCTACATCTCCGCCAAGAGATATACAACGCCTTCTTGTATCAGCGCAGCGTTATCACCGATCTGAACAATTGCAACTTCGAGTTCGAGAACGAGTCTGAGAACGACGACATGTGGTTCCACCAAACCTTGTACATTGCTTCTCTGGTATCGAAGTGGGCCTTTGGCGAGGAAACATCACATGCCCGATGGTACGAGCTTTGCAAGATGATGGACGTGTGGGAGAGCAGACGCCCTACCCGCTTCGATCCGATATACTTCCGCACACGAGACCCAACAAACAGCAGATACTTTCCTGAAGTCTGTTATGCGACAGATGAGCATGTCGCCGCAGCTCATTTCTTCTACCTATCAAAACTTTTGCTCACAACCCACGATCCCAACCTGCCACGGATTGGACCTCGAATGAAGTCCGCGACCGTAGAGATGCAGAAGACGGCGCTGTCATATGTGCGTAACCTCGTCGGCATCGCAGTCTGCAACAACTTCATCGTTGCCAGATTCACAGCCACTCTTGCTATCATCATCTGCGACAGTTGGTTCACGGATCGGCGAGAGCAGGAAGCTATTCTCGACTTCATGCGTGAAACAAGTCGATGCAGTGGATGGACAAGACAGAACGTACAGCAGGCATTGTTGGAGGAGTGGGGCTGGAAGGAGGAACAGATACGAGAGCGTAGTACCTCGTAGGAGGAACAAATTTACACTTGATTTCAGACAAGCCAGGCGAGCCTTAGACCGGCTAATGACGATGAACCGTTGGTGTCTCACAAAGCAATGCTCTTTCGAAGAGACCCTGCTCGTCACATGAAGGTAAAGTTCCTTACGATTGGCAGGGACACAACATACAGGTATTGAAGACGGTAGCTTCATCCTTACACCTGGCTGTGAGTTAGTGAGTGGTTTAAACAGTCTGCCTTATCAGACGAGGCTCAACAAAAATACACAACAATTCACCGAGACTTAACTCACAATCACATCGTTCCTTTCTAGACTATATTCTCCGACTCTGATACTTTCTGGTCTTTGATTTACACTACGATCCTTAAATCTATACCTACAATTTATATACTTCGACTTCCGATCTACTGTCTACTCGCTGCTCTCGCAGCAATTCCGTAGCTTGTTCTTACATTTTGTGTCCCCGAGGTCCGAACTTTTCCGGCCACGTCCCTCAACATGCAGCAAACACTGAAATCCCTGGTTATGTCTCCCGAATTTGTGAACAACTTGGCCAAAGTCCACGGAGTCGTTATTGCCTCGAAGATTCCGCCGGGAGAACAATAGTATAAGATGAAGCCTCGGGCGGTCGACAGACCTGGTCGTGAAACGCAGACGAGGATGATCTACGGCATCTGTAGCTCAGCTTGCAGGGACCTAAGACGGCTTCGAGGCCAGTTCGTGACTTGTGTCGGCCAGAACGGCAATCCGAATGGAGCGCGCTGGGACGACTGCCTTACGCCAGATGATGCCGGAAATCTGAGGTGTGACGTCTTTCCAAACAATCTTTGTCGTCTCTTGCTGATCTCATACAGGTCTGATCCCAGGTATGCCGCCTTGAGAAGCGCAGCGACGGCAGATGCTCTCTCGAGTGGAGATATTGCAGGGAAAACACAACAGAACGCAGCGCCATTTACACCCGTGCATCATATGCGATCGGAAGTTTGCTAAAAGACACCAAATCTGTGTACACTTTCCAACGTGCGTAAGGCGAAACGGAAACCCTTCTGGTGCGCGATGGAATGACGCATGGAGTAGTGCAGCCTCGCCTGCAGCACAGGAGCAAAGCCCCCAGCTGATTGGTTGCATTCTAGACTGGCTCGGGCATTGGCAGTGGATCTCAACATCTCCGATTAGAAGGCTTACGGCCCCAAGACCACGAGCCTGATGACGTTGATACTGATGTCCCCAGAATGGACAACTCCCTCTCTGACCGCTGCGCAATCTCGACCCGCAGCTAGCCTCTGCGTCCACAGACGGCTTGCAGTCATCCCACCCTGACCTTCAACAGATCGGCCCTCAAATTGAGCAGTCCACCCCCCAACGGTGTGCAGCCGTACGACCCTCAGCTGACCTGTTCTTCACCAAACGGCTAAGGATCGTATGACCCGTACCTTCGAGCGGAAATCTTGACTAATGAAACGCTGCTCTCAATGGTCCAAGCCTGGCAAGACGTTTTCAACTTCGGAGAAGAACAACACACTTTGGAGCGCCGAAACTTCGGTCATCAGTATCGTCCGTCAGGTATGGCTTATTGTACAAAGCTTTGTTCGCAAACAATGTCGCCTTTCAGCTCCCAAAGTACGCTTCGTTAAATCCATTGTTCTCTTCTCCACCCCTATAAATTTTCATCTCCCCTATCTCGCCTTTGTCTTCCACGCTACATTCCTGTCTCGACACCAAATCCGCAGAACCTGACTCATCCCACCTTACAATCCACATATCCCCTTCACAGCGGTAACCTACCCACTACGCTCCATCGCAAACTCAATGACAAAGGCGCCCCAAAAATACCTCGCGGTCATCGGCACCGCGCGCAGGCCAAACAGCGCCGATCTGAGAGATCGCGGGCTCGCCGGACTCCCTGACCCGGGCCCCGACGTCGCGCTTCGAAGAGCAGAGTTGGAGTCGGAGCAGGCGGCTTTGAAGACACAGGTGGCTTTTTGGCACGGTGGTGGGAATGTTCCTGTTTCGTTCTCGCGGACGAAGATTGATAGATGTCACGGTAGTGATGATGGTTCGAGTTCAAACCCAGAGACAATGAGGGAAGATCCGGTAGGAAAAGTAGAGGAGAACCATATCATGCATGATACCGTGGGCGATGAGCAAATTCGAAAATCGACCGCCGATGTTGACAAGCCTACCTTGTCAGAGTCAGTAAGAGTTGCCTACAAGGCGTGTGAAGCGGAAGAGGGTGTGCGCTATCTACGCGATCGAAAGCCTGTTCAGCTACACCCTTACGCACTTGAGCGCGAGGTGTACCGTCAAAGAGTAAAGGCTGGAAGAGCGGTGTGATTCTGTATGGTGGAACAGAAGAACGAAGATGTGGAGGCGCGGGGCGACCGAAGTTACAGTAATTTATGGTGACTCCGTTCTTGGGTTGGCGACTGCGTTCCAGATATCATGGCATTCGCTTGGTAGGTAGAGAATTGTCGCCGTTATACTGTTCCAGTCAATTGAGATTTTGTGCCACACTAGACTTTTGAGAAGTGGCGAAGTGATTCTGAACCTAATAACCTCGAGTATCGGTTCGAACATAATCGTCAATGACTCCATGTTTAGATGAGAGTCGAGTTCACGCTAGGAGTGGGAAAAAGAGTATGGATCTGACCAAATCGAAACGGGTTAATTACTTGTTTAGATGACAGTGATAGTATAAATGTTTCCGCCGTGACTTTCTTCATACTGGAGCCAAGGCTCTTGCTCCATATCTGGGACAGTAGTTTCGGTTTCAGTCAAAGACATGTGCACTATGCCACATCGTCGAAATTGACCGTTTGGTATTCCCGTCGGCTGAAGCATCAGTCCTACAAGCGTATTGGGATTGCCTAGTTGGAGTTCGATGGCAAAAAAGTGGTATTGATGGCCTCCGGTGGTTTCTTCTGACGCTTGCAGCTCGCCAAGTACGTCCTCGTACACTACTCCGCTCCTTTCAAGTCCCCCCATCCGCACGCCGACGCGGGAGTGCCTGCTGATATCGGTTTCCTTCCGGGGGAGGAACTGAGCCGTGCAAAGGGGACCGCGCAGTCGCAGGTGGCCTCCAGTGACTTGGCCAGTGGTATCTTGGCCCGGACTTTCGATCTTGACCTCGACCACCTCTGCTAAGATACCCATGTCGTAGCAATGACCAGCCGTAAGGCCGCGATCGGTCTGAGGGTTCACGGAAGCCCACGACCAGGAAGGCGCGCGGTACTTATGAGGCCGTGTACCCGGAGAGTCATAACGCCAGAGGAGCTGAGAGGGAAGACACTGTTGCCATAGGCCGGCGAGATACCTGTCGCGCAAGATAGTTTCCATGTATTTTGCCACACCAGACAGCGCGATCAATTTGTCTTCTTCATGCGATAATGCGCCTTCCGAATAAGACGCGATGATATTATCCCACAGATAGTAGGCATCAAACCGGTTAGTATCTATGTGAGTCGGTCCCACGTTACGCCGTATCCTTTGCCCGTCGACAGAAGGGTCCAGTCCCTTGAAACGTCGCGGACCGTACTCGAACGGTAGGCCATCAGGATAGGTTTGGCAAGCCTCCACTTCCAGGCACTCCCATAGCACTTGTCGAGCACCAAAATGAATAACGCGTGGCGCGAGAAGACGCTCTTGGAGCACCCACGCTCGTTGCAAGAGAGGTGCTCGCTCAAGCTCCATTCTCCAAAATCCATCAGATCGAACTTCGTATAATCTTTTCCTGCTATTTCCCCAGTCAGGCTGCTTCCTTAGCTTTTGGACAGAACTCTCAGGCCAATCTGTCTCAACGATGCACCGTGACACCATGTTAGCATTCCGGTCGTGAAAGAGACCGCCATGGCCATCTGCGGAGCCAGTTGCTGCGAGGTTACAGAGAGCTCCTTGATAAACATCTGCCATTGCAAGAGCTTCTTGGCTCCAATCAGACTTGAAGTCTTGGACGATGCAGAGGGCGTCGATCCATAGATATTTTAGGCCAAGTTCCAGCGTAGCACGAATTGCGTCGTTGAAAGTCCGAGATAGCAAGGTTTTGCTGAAACCTGCCTTCATCTGATCAACAGTAGCTGTCGTGAGCTTGAAGTATTGGCCAGAGCCCCAGCAATGACTCAACGTTGCATAGGAGCCATCTGGTGTGGTCTCGTTCGTAAGGATAAGACGTAGCTGATTATTTGATAAGTCGAGCAATCGAGCCGGGAGTCTAGCATTTATACGGGAAACATGCTCGTTACATTTCACATGTCCATTGATGCATTGCCCCAGCCATTGCTTGATGAGTGTCCAAATTTCCTCGGAAACTGTGTTGGTCGTAGATCGATCTCTCGTGACATCAGGAACGTGGTATCCGTCTAGCAGATGCTCCGCAGAGCATGGTATTAGCTAGATATTTTTTGAGATCCCACAGTGATTGTGACTGACCTGCTACAGGCTCAACGTAGAAAGCAGGATAGTACCTTCGTGTTGGATTCCCAATTCGTCCAGATCTGTGATTGAAACTTACGACGAGCGCAATAAGACCGGTATGACCATGCATACGGGACTGGTCAATGAACCTGTATGTGGTAAAATAATCTGCAGCATCAGTTGCCTCAACGTTCTCGTCGTCACCAATGAAGCTGCGCCATATGCAATCGCACATATAACAATTTTCTGAAGCTGCGGACTCTCGATGAAGATCCACGAACTTCTTGTAAAGGCGGGATGTGAATTCTATGGGCGCCCTGAATATGGCGTCACAGAGGGAACACAGCATTTTGAAGACAGTCATCGATCAGATTTGCAGAGAGGTCTCTACTCGCCACAGCTTGACTGGGGGCTAGTGAGGGGGAGGCGCAGCACACATATCGCAATACAGCCGAGATTGCCATGTTGGAAGAGCCTTAGATAGGTGGTATCCCTCCTGTTTCTTGCTCCTCATTCTTGTTCCTCTCGTCGCAAGAAATTGGGTTGGACTTTTTTCCCACCACCCGCGCCTTGTTTTTCAGCGTCTTCTTGTATCTAGACTCCAGGTCTTCTACCTTATGTAGCGGAAGTTTTTCTAGGCTGAGCTGCGTTGTGGACCGCTGTCTACGTGCTTCCGAGCCTCAGGATCCAGCCAATCATCGTTTAGAACCCATTTGTGCGTGTAGTTTCCGTGGGATATCAAGCGAGACAGCACTAGTGAGCGGAAGGTCGTGTCTGCTTATCGCATTATGCTGTACAAATTTGTTAGACATCCATGGCTAGACCTCTCCACATGAAAGCTCGAGACAGGACTGCTTGGCTTCATGAGAAAGACTACAGAGTATGCCGAAGCGAAGTAATCTGGGTCAGACCCTACGAACGAGGGATGTAATTTGGGGACGCTGTAATGAGCCCTAGTCTCCAGGGTGAGCTCAGGTCAGGCATAATTCCGAAGCAGACTCAAGCACAACTCACCCGAGATTTTGACGCAGAAGTCTTGGCATGTGCAGGTAAGAATCGGACTTCAGAGCCCTACAGGTAACCCTTATGTACTGATCGGGATAGTCGGCTCGTAGATGGGAGACTAGAAAACGTGACGACCTTTGCTTAGCTGCAATTGATTTTGAAGTACTGGATAGCAGCAGCTAACTTCCTCGACTGTGGATCAAGCGGTGCCCCTCTGTGAAAGAGATTCTCCGCCTCTCCTACCTGATTTTCTACGTAGAAGTGGGAGATGAGCTCCCCGCGTCACGTCTTGGTGCTAGAACTAAAATTGTTAGGCCCTTCTTGACGGGTGGACTTCACTTGCCGGTATATACCATCTATGGAATCTGCACGAAGACACACTATAGGAATCGAGAGTTGCTCGCTTGCACTGAATGCCGGAGACGGAAATTGAGACACGACCGCTGTACACCATGTACCCCTTGCGCAAGAAGAGGCGATGAGGCGTCCTGCACATACCAGCGATTCGCAAATGGCTTAGAACATGAGCGAGAGCGTCGCTTGCAAGCTGAAGCTCGGCTTGAGCATCTGGAGCGGCTTGTCCAGCAACTTGCTCAACATGGAGATGGCTCTGCCCCTCATGGGAAGAGTGTTTTCTCACCAAGTGGCAGAGCAACAGGTGAACCGAGAGGAATCCAGCATGGAGCCCGGAGTTTCAATGTCCAAAGGACTCGTCTTCAATGGCTCAACTCTACTCTGGTCTTCTATGCTAGAGGATACCGCAGGGCTTAGATCCGCTATCATACCTGGCGAAGCTACCACACCAGACGATGACATATTTGAGTATGAAGAAAACATTGGGGCCAGTCTGATCCTCGGTTCAGCAGTCCCTTTGCCCCTCCAAAAAGTGCTGTTCCAGTATCTGCCACCAAGGCAGGAAGCCGATCGCCTCACAGCCGCGTACTTTGGAAGTAGCGGGGTTTCATCCAGCGGCTTTTAGTCCGGGGCTTGCTATCAGAAGAGAGGACCAGTAGGCACTCTCTCCTCTTTCACTACACATGAACACTGAGTCTTCTGTCATCGCATCCACCACCACCAAAGTACGAACGAGCCATAATTGCAAGCAATGGACCAAAACATCATAGTCCTGGTAACGGGAGCAAACACTGGTATGGGCTTCGAGATGGTCAGAGCGCTTTGTAACTCTGAAGTAGCCTACGAGGTACCTATTGGCGGAAGTTCGCTCGTCAAAGCCGGACAAGCGGCCAATGCTGTCATGAAGGAATTCCCGTCCACTCGCAGTAGAGTCTTCAAAGTCTAGCCAAGAGTTGTATTGACCTTGTCTTCATCGCTTCTCAGAGTGGTACCGCATGCTTAAGGAAGATGTGGTGAAGGTATGGTGTATCTCGCCAGGCCGACTTGCTACGGGGCTTGGTAACGAGCAGGATGTGAGCGAATTTCTTGGTGCAGGAGATCCTGCCACAGCTGGCCAATTCGTACGGGCCGTCTTGGAAGGGCAGAGGAATATGGATGTGGGTCGCGTTGTTGTCAGGAATGGTGTACAACCTTGGTGGACTCCCCTGCCCTATCAGCGAAGGGAACTTCGAACGGTGTCTCGTTTGTGTGCAGTTCTGGTTCCTTAGCTAGCATACATCAAGATGCGAGGTTTCACCATATGTAGAATGCTGTATAACTTCTCTTCCAAACACCCCTTAGATTTGTTGTGATTACTACCTTTGGGTTGTCTTTAGGAGCGAGCTGCTACCTGATCATCACAATTGGGCGCAATCATCCAGGCTCGCGCGGTGGTAAGAGCATGTAGCAGAAATCATGCGTAGAGGGCTAAAAACCTGGATGAAATTGTAGAAATCCTACAACTCAGGCGCGGTGAATACTTTAGTGTTGAATTTCATCTGCAAGGGGAACTGTATCCCTAATGCGTTGAATTCTCTTTATCTAATACTCTCCGATAGAAAGAGCTATCTTACTCTGATCGATATCCACGAGAATGTGCGTAAATGAAAAGGAGAGTGTCCTCGTGCCACCAGCTGCTGTGAATATAAAGCGGCAGTTCTGTTTGCTTGGCAAAGCCATCCGAGAAATTCGATGCCTTTGGTCAAGGTCTGATTTCCTACCTTCCAAAAGTATGTGAAGCATCCACGTAGACCCTTCTTTCAAAGGATGTCCAACGACTCATCCATAATCATCCCGGCCCCCAGCTCCTCGACTTCTCCCGCAACAATCATATTCCTACATGGCCTCGGTGACGATGCCAATGGCTGGACAGGTGCGCAACCTGCAGAGCTCTTCCCTCGATTTGTCTCAAACTTGACTGACCTCGTCTCTCTTCACAGATCTTGTTTCCCAATTCCACGCCGCTCACAAGCTGCCCCACCTAAAATGGATCCTACCCAACGCGCCTCAGAACCGTGATGTCATGGCTCAAGCCTGGTTCATGCCGAAGCAATTCTCACCTATACCAATGCCTAAGCGTTCTGGAGAACCCGACCCTGAGGAGAATGACGAGGAGGACGATCAAGAGGGGATGACGAAGAGTGTGGAGTATATTTGCGGGCTCATTGATAAAGAAGTCGAAGCTGGGGTGCCAGCGGAAAGGCTGGTGGTTGGTGGATTCAGCCAAGGCTGTGCCATCTCCCTGCTCGTCGGACTCATGAGCAGGTACAAAGCCAAGCTGGGTGGGGTGGTGGGCTTGTCGGGCTATCTGCCGTTGAGCGGGAGGGTGGGGAAGATGATGGAGGACAGGAAAGAGGAGGGACAGGATACATCGCAGACGAAGTGGTTTCTGGGTCATGGATCAAGAGATCAGTTGGTGCCGAAGAGGATGTTTATGAGATACAAGGACCAGATTGAGGGTTGGGAAGGGGAGAGGGTTGAGGCGAAGTTGTATGAGGGCATGGGACATAGTACGGTGGGAGCGGAGGTTAGGGATTTATGCGGATGGCTTGAGAGAGCTGTCCCGGAGAATGAAGCTTGAGCTATCGGCACGCACATACAGAGTGGCTGGATGGATAACGGTCTCTACTGACAAAGGGTCAGGGCCTGTCCCAAGACCATCTGCAGGCGTTCACACACCCTCAGATGCCTGAGCCCACCTCCCTAGTACGACTACTGCGGGCCAATATTAGCAAGCATCGCTCGTCCCGCAACCGCGCCGTTGTCGAAGGGTTTGGTAGGGGTAGTTGGAGGACCATACGCCGGACCGGCGTTGGCATGGACGGGGGCGGCGGGGCCGTTGTCGAGCTGGCGATGAGGGTGCCAGTGTGCAGAAGTCCCAATGGAGAAGCTGAGGATGTAGTTGCAGAGGAAGAGAGACATGCTGGGCTTGGATACAGACATTCCTGCAAGTGATAGGTAGGGTTGTGCAAGAGAGGGTGGAGAAGCGATGCGCAGAAGACGACGTCTGATCTTCTATACAAAGGGGATTCTAGGGAAGTGGAAAGGCGTTGGGCTACGGATATGCACGGCCTGGTCAATTCGATAAATTCTATGAAAATAACGAGCTGCCAAGGAAGGTCCTGTGAGGTGGCGAGGATGGCCATCCCAAATGGCTGCTCGAGCTGTTTACTTGATGATAGCGCCGTCGCTGCCCATTCGCCTAGGCTTGGCCCGGTATACGTTAGTAGTGCAGGTTGAGTTGCCAGTCTCCAATTGTGCATCATTGCAGCTCCCGGCGAAAACAACGTCGCCTTGGGGAGGTTGGCTCAACGCGACTCCGTCGTGTCTCTGCTGTGGAACCCGCTCTAATTCGACCCATTGAAGACTGGGTAGGGGCAAGACTGCTGTCGCAGCTCCCATCAGGTTTGTCAAGATTGTTAGGGAGGCTGCGAGCAGCGCGAACAAAATCAACTTTGTGACACCATGGCGTTTCCAATCGGCCTGAGAACTATGTCGTGAGGGGAAGGCTGAAGTCCAGAGGAGTGGATTGGCGATATTCTTGACATTGCTGAACTCCAGCTAGGTCAACAAGTAGCCGATAGGGAGACCACCGGGACTTCTAGCGAAGGCCATGGCCACATCGTAGAGGAGTGCAATTGCGATCATCAAGAACCAGATCTCTCGAAGGCTTGCGCGACGAATCGAAGTGATGCTAGTATATCGAGGTCTTTCTTATCCAATCTCATGGAGATTTAGAATCAGTATTGCCTTCCCAGCACCCAGACTTGGGGTACCAGAGTAGGGATCCGCGGAAAAGTAAGGGCCCTTCTTGCTTACTCCCATGCCATAGCTCGCCATTCTGTTCGACTTACCTCTCATCTAGCGTAGGGTGAGTATCGCTTTATCATATAGCGGTGCAAGAATAGGATAATAGGGGGACGTAGTAGAGTGTTTGTATCGTGTGTATATGTGAGTGCTATCTGCTACGGAGATTCTCTTCAGTTCATGTGACTAGCCCTTCAAGGACTAAATCGATTCACGCCGACCATATACTGTCAGGGCACCAAGACCCCAAGAAGCCGGCTTTGCCCGTCAGAACAGAATCCTGCTGCTGTTTTTCCGTCGGTGCACGAAACATTTTATATTTCCCGTCATGCCAGTCGACACTCTTCCAAGACTTTCCCGTGTCGTCCATGAACACAGCGTCCAACTCAGGCCTTAGGAAGCACGCGCAGGAAAGGCGATCTGTAATCTTCCCCTCCACAGGTGGAACTACGCGATGAAGACAAGAGCGTAGGCGATGATCGCTGAGGAAGCGCAGAGAGTCTCCCACGTTGACTATGGCGTGGCCATCCTTAGGCCGAATGTACGCCCATTGATCGGTCTTTGGATCGAGTATCTGAAGTCCAGGTTCCGAACAGAAGAGCAGGGTCAATGAGCCGACATCTGTGTGTGCACCGTGGCCAAGCTGAGGGCTTTCGGCCCATAGCCGAGGGTATTTGAGGACACCAAGGGCACTCGTTGATGAGCAATGATGTCGGTGGCTCATTTCGAGGCTCCGCTCGACGGGGATACGCAGCACAAGGCTTAGTGCGCGAAGAACCGAAATACCTATTGCGTGCAGATCATTCATCAAACGTTCGAGAAGACTCCTGTGTGCATCAAGAGGGCCAGGTAGCATTATTTTTCCCCCATCAAAAAGCGGATTACACATCCCGTCTCGTGGAACCTAGACGTTTATCAATGGAGACTCATCATGTGATCACATGAGGACGAACAAGATAGGCTTCAAAGCCGTCTTGTTTACCTTTTTCGATTCCCGCGTTCCTGCCTTCCGGTTTGTATCTGGTACACTCTCAGCTCTGAGATCAAGTATGTGATGCGACTGATGTATCTACCCATTGAGTTTGTGCATGCCCAGTTTGTCAATGTCATACCCCAGTTTTTCTTCAAACGGCATGGCATAGAATTCGCCTGCTGTTTCAACACACTCGTCTACGTCTCTGAGTGTCCGACTAGTTTCTGATCCCCGCAGATCGAGGTAGAAAAAACCTTGCAAAGTGGCTGCATCCTCAAGCTCTTTCATCGCTTGAGGGTCGACCTCCAAAAGCTGCGAGAGAGAGATTGTTTCGAGTTCTGCCATGACAAGATTTGGCGCTCGAGACCGAATTGGAGATGATGCCACGCCGAATTTATGGCCGCCGCTACATCCCAGTAGTGAGACTGAATATCAGGAGGGACAAACCTCAATGGCATTTGCATGGCTTTCAAGGCAATAAAAAGCTCAAGGAGGCCGGGTGTCTATCTGCGCGGTGCCGTGGCTAGAAAACGACAGACCACTCTGAGGCTGAGAGTATGAGGTGCAGGCCCCGCTCCGAAAGGCCATCACATCACCCATTCCCTTGAGGAGGCTCAAAAGAAGCCGTCTCGATAAAGAGCTTCACGTGGCCACCTGTGATTTGGAGCGTTCTTGAGGAAGGGTTGGGCGACGCTGCGGCAGGATCAGGCTTAGTGTTTGTCTCAAAACAGCTGTATCTTTTTCAGCGTACGGCGCAGGCCAGAACCACGACCGCAGTGTCTAAGCGGATCAGCGGTCCACGGAGAGAGAATCATAAAGTGTCCGTCTTGCACGATGTAGGCATCCACATCTTCCAATGCAATGCTTATTCATGGAAAAGCCTCATACTAAACTTGGAGAGGGGATTCGCTGTGCTAGGACTTGGACCAACCCGCAAGGTGGTGAACAAAGTGCGCCCGGATCCTTAGTCCTTCATCTTGTATAGGAATCACTACTGCAACGGAAATTCAATGAAGTGTATCCATCAATCTTCTCCAGCTGAAGTCTCTCCGATTTCAGAGAGCCGTTTCCAAAACTACGACGATGACTGTAACGAAATCTACGAAGCCGTGGATCAGAATACCGTTGGTCTACGCTGCAGCCTTATCCCACCGTGCCGGCTGGTGAGAGAATATCCGGTTCCTTGCAGGATAGATTCCGAGGACGCTCAAGGTTGCTAGGACAATTCATCTCACGCTCGAAAATTTTGGGGTTTCGGGGCTTGATTCTAACCCGACGGTACACTACTAGAGTTGCAATAATCGAAATATAGACTTTCATTTGCCTTGCTCTTTGATACGTACAGTACTCATGGCGTTATGGGCAAGACTTGAAGTCAAGCATTCGTGAATACGCTAATTAGATAATTGGAGATATGGAGCGCACACCTAAGCATCTTCGCGTGACTATAAATCAGAAGAGCGCCTGTCCTGTTCGTTGTAGTCACGCACTCTTTTCTTCTCCCCCTCTTTGTTTCAAGCAGCTTTTACCTTTTCTTTTCTGAACACTAAAACAGGTACCGCGGGTTTTGAAGCTTGGAAACCAGTTGTAAGGGCTCGTGCAGCTTGTTGAAGCTGTGTCGTATCCTGCGGAATGTTAGAGGCCATGCCTGCAAGGCAGTCCGAGCTGGGGACGTTACATTCTGTGTTCCTAGGTCTTTTAAGTCGTTGGTGGCAGCTCCTACAACTTCAGAATCCTCCTCACCAGCGTTCAGTACTCGTGACTGAAGTCCTTCAAGCATCTCGACGGTTTGACGGTCGCCAGAGACCAAAGCAATTTCGAGAACAGACGAGAGGGGTTCCACGCCCAACTCGGAAGTACCGCTCTGCAGAATGATGTGAGCAACTGCGTGGAATTTGCGCTCAACAGCTACCATCAGCGGCCGGAAACCCCAAGCATCGGCTTCTGCAAGCTTTGCACCATTTCCTAGCAAGCACTTGACTAGGTTTGGACGATTGTTGAGGACTGCGCGCATTAGTGCCGAGCGTCCGTGCCTATCTTTGTGTTCCATGTCGACGCTCTTCTCCAACAAGGGTTTCAAGTACCGAAGGTCGTCTCGAAACGCCGTGGTGTATGCCAATGGATTTCCCTTCCATGCGTTCACAGCATTGACATCCGCACCACTCTCAAGCAAGGGCCTAACACAGCGTGGGTCAGGCGCCCTCGTCGCGTAACGAAGTGGCGCGTCGCCATTGTAGGCGACGACATTCGGGTCAGCGCCGTACTTCAGGAGTAGATTCAGGGATGCACTGTCTCCTCTAATGGCCGCCCAGCTCAGCGCTGTGCGGCCTTGGTAGTCTAATGCGTCGATCTTAACCATAGTTGACAATCGCAGCTGGGTTTCTAAATCCGCCTCAGCTAGACCTAGAACAATTTTGTGAAGAACGGGAAGTTGTCGCTCCTCGAGGTGTTCTTCGATATCAAAGTCCTCGGTCAATGCTGTTGTGATCTCCGGTGATGCCGTTCCGCCTAAGATACGGCCACACGCGACATCCATCGGTGAGCTTCAGAAGGTCAGAAAAGGGCATTTTCATTACCGACAGGACATCTTACTGGTGGGTTTTAGTCTCCTGACAACAATCTGCTCCTGCTTTTAGAAGAAATCTCCACACGTCGATATGGCCTCTATCGGTAGCATACTACAAAATCAGCTCACCAAAACTTGTACAGTGACATGCAATCTCACCAGTAAAGCAGACGTTCCAGTGCTAGCGTCAACATCATGTGCTGAAGCGGATCCTGCATCAAACAACATCTTCATGCCTTGAAGATTGCCGTCCAAAGCAAAGCGGAAGATGATGGCTGAATCCGGAACGACTCTGCAAACTCGCAAGGTGATGTTCCAGGAATGCAAGCTGGGGACAACTATCGTGGTTGAAGTAATGGCCATGAGCATCCATGGGGAGAAGAGATAGTCGATCTGTATCATGGGTGGAGACTTTCGGCGGCAGGATACTGGATCGCAGGGGGAATTGCCTCTAGGTGCTCTAAATTTGACTGAAACGTTGCCTATGATCGAGCTTAACCGCTCCAGAGATGTCAACGACCGACGTGCATGACACGAGCAATTGCAACCCCAATCGCACTCCCGCCGAGGTTGGAGTCGGCGATTGCTTGTACTGTCGTGACGTGGATGTCCAACTTCTGAACCTTGCCACCCTGATTCAGCCTGCAACCATGGGCTATGAGTACCTGAAGGTCCTAGAGCAAGGTCGTTGGAGGGAGCGCCCGTCGGCAGTAAGGGCGCACTCCCAGCATTGAAATAGTTCAAGGTTTGTAGGTTGCGTCTTTCGGACACTGAATTGCCCCTCCCCACGGATGTTCTGCATCGATTGGCCCTGATGGAGCAATGCATTGAATGCAACCCTTTGGAAGTTTCGTTGTGAAGCTGTCGACTCTGCATTCATTGTCAGAAGCCGGTGTACGCCAGCTTCGATACGAAAGGATCGAAAGCTAAAATCGCGTCAGTCTGTCGAGCTTTGATGCCGCCTAACCACCAGAGACCCTCGTGGAAGCACGTTGATGGTTTATGATCTTACGAGCTCACGATTAAGAGGATCATATTCAGATTGAGTTTGACAGTCTGCAAGTCTTGGCGCTTTGTGTTCAATTGAGACACAACTTTCGCGTTGTTGCACAAGCCCCTGAGCTGAGAACCGGAGCCTTTTGAGCTGACGTGGATCATTGCAAGGACCTCTATCTCATTCAGCGTAGACTTTGCTCGCTCCGACCACTGGGAAAGGCCAAGATCTTGTGGTTGGGGCTCTGCACCGTCTTGAGGAGTGGGCTCCGAGGTTCGAAGGAAGGGTTCAACGTCCCTGAGGACGACCGCAAGATCAGAAGCCTCCTGGATCAGCGCATCTAGCCCTTGGAGTGCGTGACGCATCTTTTGAAGGACTTCTAAAGTCTTTTTGACGGTGGCAATGAGGGTAATGGTGCTTGCCGTGACACTGAGGGACTCCATGGGTTCAGCTCGGTAGGAAAGCTGGAGGGTCATCTGGGAAAAGCTATTGGATATGACCACTTGATCTGGAGTGGAGAGTGGGTAACAGTGTGAGTGCATTGAACTCAGGTTTTGCACAGGTGTGATGCTCAATTTTCCAGAACTCAGACGGCAACTCCATTGAGATGCAAGTAGTAGCTATCATAAGTAGCGCTCAAATTACCAGAACGTGCTCGCTGTCCGGAATGATGGGTCAGACCCCACATTTATCAGTGCCATTGGCCAATAGTCACCTCGGAGCAAGGCAGCAGAGCCTTTTCAATCCCCCTTAGACACATCCGAAACAAATTAAACAAGGCGGTCGGACGCGCACTGCTTACTAATTTGCTCCCTGCCTGTCACCATTCGCTACCTACGTCGCTGAGCTTGTCGCGAACACCTAGCTAAACGACACACCGCGATCCGCTACCAATATGGCAGATTCTGCAGCGGCGTAGGGAAACTGGGCCGGCAGACACCAGAGTCGACCGCGCGCTGAACGCGGCTCGTGGTCTTGAGGAAAATTCGACCGGCGGCTTCGGCATGACCGAGAAAACGTTCGTACTCTACAGGTCAAGGACTGCTGTGTAGACTGGAATCATGCGCACTTAATAGCCTTGATTCTCACAGCATGCGGACTATCAAATTTTGTAGGAACTCTGCCAGCCGATCACTGCACATAACATCAATCCCAGGAAAACCAGAGACAGCAACAGTATGTCTGAGAAATGATACCAGTACACGCGCCGATCAGCTTGCAAAAAACCATTCTCCGCAGAAACACTTTTTCATTGTACCCTTGTATCGCTGGCCACTTAAGTATGACGCATTGCGAAGAGTGATGGCCTGTTGCGTTGGTCCCTCCTCTTTTTCAAAGCCCAGTCTACATCTTTCAGCCTCGCTTGCGTGGTCATTCCCGTTCTCGCGGTCTGGGAACCGAGCTGTGAGGACCCTCCATTTCGGATCCATTGGTGTCAAGCCTGATCCTAGATCCAACCACTTTGTAATAACAATTGCTGGGCCATCACTGCCAGTATCTAAGACTTCAAGTTAAAAGACAAAATTGCAGCGGCGACACCTATAACGCTTTGATTCTCGCGGCCTCTTCGATTTCGTACGATATTCATCCAAGCTCGACTCGATCAGTTAAAACATTTCATCCTCTTCCGCTACGAAATGTTAACAAACCCAGACACACTCTATTCTCTCAAGCGCCAAATCTGAAACTCTCGTATACAGTACGGCCCAGCTCTGAAGTCGAAGACACAGTCGAGCCGGCTCGGCGCACACCCGAGCCTCCACTGATAAGAGTGTCGTTCTTCGCCCCCTTGGCTCGCTCTCGCTAGACTCGTTGACTTGCAGATGGGACAATTCATCGGTGCAGATGCCGTAGCCGGGGCCGAGGTAGTGGCGTAGCATTGCTAGCTGCAAATGTTCGAAACCGAATAGGTAAAAGGAAAATGCTCCATGCACATTCACATACCGCCAGAGACTGCCTAGAGAGTTGATTTTGAGGCACCGTAATGGCTTTGAGGGCTGATTGAACGGACTCGGTGGACCAACGCGGTCGCGTGGAAGAAATTTACTCTCAGATCTATCGCGGGTTGCGGTAAGTTGGGGACTTGAGAGCCCACCTCGACCCCGAAGCGAGGTGAGGTTTCGACGGGTTACATAGCGAACCCTAGAGACCTCCCTTCGTCAATAGATTTCAAAGTTAGACAAAATTCTAGTATGCGATAGCATGTCTAATAGAAATAAGATCTTAATACTATGTGTTAGAATAATATATATAATAGAACGAGTAAAGGCCTATGAATTAAATTTATAATCATTTTTTTAATTAGGGCTATCGAGTAAGTAGGTGAGCGATCTTTGATGAGCGATCTTTGGTGAGCGAACTTTGATAAGCGATATTTGAATTCCTTGCGCTTTAATAATTATAAGACTAAATTTTAAAATTCTTAAAAATTCGGAAAGCATAAATAGCGCTTTAAAATTTAAAAAAAAATCTTAAAATTTTAATAGAAAATAAAAAAGTAATTCTATATATTAATAATATATATCTATTTTTTTAATAAGGGAGGCGTAAAAGAGCGAGATTTTAATAATTGCGAACGTTAATTTATTTATTCGCGATAATTTAGTCGATCTAACTAAAGAGCGTAGCGAATTCGAATTAATAATTAGTTATATATATAAATTTAAGATTTTTAAGCTTAACTCTATCTTATTCTTTTATTAATATATGAGTAAAGGCCTATAAATTAAATTCATGGAGTTGGATTTTTCTAAGTCAAATCGAACTCTGATCGCTTGCTGTGCGTTTTTGACCTACTTCCATCACTACAAAATTGATTTAATCTATGTGGTATACAGGCACATATGTGCGGAGAGAGGCGCGCTAAGGCCTAATTAGGAAGGTGTATCGAGTGTGGAGGATTGATCCGTAATAATTGCCTATAAAAAACAGAGAAAGGCCATGTTCTTATGGCAAGAAGTATCGAAATACCGGAAAGAAATGGAGACAACGTGCTAATTAGTGGTGTGAATCCCATAATATCTTCTGCCGTAGTGAAATTTTTCGAATAATGAAATAGCTGTAGATATCGGACGGTTTCAATTCGTCTAAATATGCATCGTTTCGAAGTAATGATTTGATGTGGAACCGTGGAGAGTATATGACGTGGGATCTTGGAGAGCTGAGCCGTGTTCTTGACGATGGTGGCCTTGTTGCCGCTTAGTTTCTCCGCAGTGTTCTCCATAGTGTTCTCCGCAGTGTTCTCCGTATTTACCTGTTATAGTTCCTCCTCTTACTTCTTAATGTAGTGGGGATGATAGGCTAAGTTGTAGTGGTGTTCTCCGCTTGCTGAGTGATGATTTGATGTAGAACCGTGGAGAGCATACGACGTGGGATCTTGGAGAGCTGAGCCGTGTTCTTGGTGCTGGGGGCCTTGTTGCCGCTTGGTTTCTCCGCAGTGTTCTCCATAGTGTTCTCCGCAGTATTCTCCGCAGTATTCTCCGCATTTGCCTGTTGTAGTTCCTCCTCTTACTCCTTAATGTAGTGGGGATGACAGGCTAAGTTGCAGTGGTGTTCTCCGCTTGCTGAGTGATGATTTGATGTGGAACCGTGGAGAGCATATGACGTGGGATCTTGGAGAGCTGAGCCGTGTTCTTGACGATGGTGGCCTTGTTGCCGCTTGGTTTCTCCGCAGTGTTCTCCGTAGTGTTCTCCGCAGTGTTCTCCGCATTTGCCTATTGTAGTTCCTCCTCTTACTTCTTCTCTTGTAGAGTATCAGACTGAGTGGCTGACTGAGTGGATGACTGAGTGACTGGCTGACGATCTAATTGAGTGGATTACTGAGCTGATAGGGTAGGTAGTATTGACTAAGCGGCTGGTCGAGTAGTATGTAGGGGAGGACGATGGCTGTGAATCCGTTCGGGCTCTTTTTGAGGGTTTTCTAACGCGTTTATAAGTAGTAGTAAGTAGCTATTAAGCTCACTTGCGGCCTCGATTACTAGTAGTAGCGGATTTGTCGAGGGACGGCCTAAAGGCGTTAGTAGGGGCTCTAAAAGGGGGGTAGAAGGGGTATACGTGCCTGAAGCGTTTAGTAACGTTTCCGCGAGGGGTACCGAGGACGATTGTATTCATTTTGATGGAATTGGTAGAATTGGTAGAGTGGTGGAAGAATAATAGTTACATAAACAGGTGGAAGGATTATTACCGGACGCGTTTGGTGTGATTACAATATTTGAATGTTAGTTTAACCCACCAATAGTAGGCTAAACTTCATTATTTTTACAGCGTTAGAAAGCGTATACTGAGCTCTATAATTTACGAAATTATAAAGTAACAGTATCTGTAGGGAGCTGGTTATTTCAGAGGGGAAGACTTCTGCACATAGATTTTTGTAGATTTTTGATGGTTGCGGACGCTAATTTATTTACCCGCGGTGTCTAACCAAAAAGCGTAGACCTGACGAATTTATGATTGGCTGCACATACAAATTCAAGGTTTTCTAGTTCAGTCCTATCTTATTCTTTTATATTAGTATAAGTAAAGGCCCATGAATTAAATTTATAGTTATTTTTTTAATTAGGACTATCGAGTAAGTAGGTAAGCGATCTTTAATAAGCGAACTTTGATAAGCGATATTTGAATTCCTTGCGCTTTGATAATTATAAGATTAAATTTTATAATTCTTAAAAATTCGGAAAGCATAAATAGCGCTTTAAAATTTAAAAAAAAATCTTAAAATTTTAATAGAAAACAAAAAAGTAATTCTATATGTTAATAATATACACCTATTTTTTTAATAAGAGAGATATGAGAGGGTGAGATTTTGATAATTACGAATGTTAATTTATTTACTCGCGGTATTTAATTAAAAAGCGTAGACCTAACGAATTAATAATTAGCTATATATATAAATTCAAGGTTTTCTAGTTTAGTTCTATCTTATTCTTTTATATATTAGTATATATAAAAGAATAAGATAGAGCTAAATTAGAAAATCTTAAATTTATATATATAGTTAATTATAAATTCGAGTTTATTACGCTCTTTAATTAAACCGACTAAATTAGCTCGATAGCCCTCTTACGTCTCTCTTATTAAAAATTTATATATAGAAGTTTTATACTTTAAAGTACTTAGTTTACGATATATATAGTTACTTTATAATTTCTTAAATTGTAAAGCTCGCTTTACGCTTTCTAACGCTATAAAAATTATAAAGTTTAATCTACTATTAATAGATTAAATAGATATTCAAATATGATAATTATATTAAACGCGTTCGGGATTTAATAATAATTCTTCTACCTATTTATTTATGTAATTATTCTTCTTTTACTATTCTATCAATTTATTAATATAAATATATTCGTTCTCGATACCCTCGCGGAAATGTTATTAAATGCTTTAGGTATATATACTTCTTTTACCCGCCTCTTTAAGCCTCTACTAACGCCTTTAGACTATTTCTCGACGATTTCGCTACTACTAATAATCGAGA